TAGGGGTGGCGCCGACGGATGAGACTGCGGAAGCGTACTGGTACGAACTAGCGGCGAGAGAGTTTCGCGCGGGGCTGGTGGCTTTGCTGGGTGTGCGGGAGGAAGACGAGTCCGGAGACGAAGAGACTGGGGAGGAGGAGTAGGCCCCTACAATTAAAAGAAGCGGCTTCCGCACATTAGAATTACTTTAAGGTAGGCTCCACGTACCCTACAGTGCAGGCACTGCCTCCGTTGTGAGCTAGCTGCAGAGCCTACATACTACTAGGACTGGTAAAATAAAGGAGCCAAGTACCTGATAAGACTGTGTAAGCTTGGACTTGGCAGGTAGTGCGGATAGGTGCACGAGCTTAGTAGCCAGGGCTACTGGTAATCATGTTCAGGTTGACTTACACAGACAATGGTTAGTTGCTTGCGCACCATGGGATCCGTTCACGTTCATGCATTCCCGCGATGATGAAAGCCTTCAATTTTAAAGCGGTTTGTGGCAAGTTACGGTTGTATATAGCTAACGAAAATGGTCTGTACGAACTGTTCAACCGGAGGCCGCGACTTATCAATTGTTGCATTGCATCAGGCCCGTCAGATGACAGTGCAATGATGTCTCAGACAGTACGTCTGATTCGATTGTAGGTAGGCTTGGGCCGTCAATCAGCTAGTTCATTAGATCATTTGGCGGCCGGGCTGGCATGCCATGATGCATGATGCACAGCAGATCGAATCACGATCAATCTGTTATTGACGGGCGTAGTAAAGACTCTGAAACTAGTGCGATTGACGCGATTCAGTGAACTTCAACGTGACCGCGACGCGAATATGCGCGTACAATTCGACAAGTTGTAGCACGGCGGTGCCCGCGCGGCCTGGATCATACGAGGCGGCCGGGCCCTCGCAATTGCATTGATGTATCTATATACGTCATTGAATTATACACCAAGCTGTACACGCATATGTCGGAAACATGCACCCGTTCAATCGGTCGTTACAAATTGATCGAGCAGGGCCCGGCGGCCGGTGCACGCTTCATGCTAAGTTGGCCGGAACGAAGGTAAGTGTATGTACAGGCTCTGAGTCTCAGCATGAATCATTGTCTACTAAAAGTAAACCTGTACTAAGTACTAAAACAGGGTTATGTATATTCCTTATGGTTCCATCGGAAAGCTGAAGCCGCCTCAATCAAACGGCCATATGGCAACGAACAGCCTCTGCTCTCGGCCGGGCCGGGTCCTGACGGTCATGGGTATTTGCCTATCATTCCCCGACCATGCGCATTAACAAATCTACATATTCGTTGCCAGCCGGCCCATGTTGCGAGGATTAGTACGAAAGACCGAATTGTTTGTGTGCAAGAAACTTGCTGCAGCGGTGCAAGGCTGGGCGAACACAACACGAATGAAATGGGCTCAGGAGGGCTCGCAAGGAATCATTCTCCCACGCCTGTCAAGATGTGTATGAATACAAGAAGAGCTCGGGTACAAGTCTCGAATACGACACAACATGAACCTGCGCCCTGCTCTAGAACTTGAAGTCTTTTTGCTTCTTGCCCTTGGAATCCTTTTCTTGCTGCTTCCGCTTCCGCTTCTTCTCGTTCTGCATAAGCGCAAGCGCAAACTATCAGAAGAAGTGATGCAATCCAGTGGCGCTCAAGAATACAGAGGCGAAGAAAGCCAGTATGAAATAAAGAGCACTCGTCAGGGATGATCAACTCAGAGCTCAGATTGGGGAAATGATGAAGATCTTACGCAAGATCCGAGCTTCAAATCTGAAAGAGAAGATCCATCTCAACCGAAGCCTCCTGAAAGAAATCTCCAAAACGCGGAAGACGACCCTCTGATTTGGCATATAGGAACCCAGGCTGAAACGAGACAATCGATTTTGGTCCCAGGTTGTCCAAACAGGAAACCTGGTCCGCTTGGGAAGACTCTGTCCACTTTGGGGAGCTCTCCAGGTTTGGAACAATCGTGCAGAGTTGGGACGGCAACTCACTTCTGCAACCAGATCGCTGAAATCCTCCTTTGCAGGCTGTAACTCGGTCTCCCTGTCTTGCTCCACTTTTCGAGCCTGCTCGTACCTGCCGCACAGAAAAGACCGACTTCGTTCATGCACACCGGCATGTTGCTATTGGTATGAGTAGACCAGCAGAGCCCGGACCCACGGAGTGTTCAAGAAGAAACCTGGTTGTGCGGTGTGACCAAACAAACCTTGTGTCCTTCGAAAAAACACGCACGTTAGTTGTATTAAAAACCAGAAGGCATACCAGGCTTCGCGATCAAACTTCGTAAAAGCTGGGACTTGAAGCGTTCGGATCAAGCTCTCTAGTTCCACCGTCGACAAGAAAGCCTTCACCGTTGACGAGGGAGCCTGTGTCCCTTGGCTCTTTAACTTTCAACTTAACCAAGAGACTTTTCTGGTTTGACAAAGATAGCCAGAGAGATTGGGTCAGGCATCTTACCGCGCTGCCAGGGAGGCGTCGTCCAGCGCCTCCAGCTCCTCTGGCCGCAGCGTGATGTCGATTCGGTCGCCCTTTTGGGCCTGCACCAACAGAGACAGTCAGTTTACGATCGAGCTAGGAACGTAACCAATCAGCTTTTGGGCACAACGCTTGATCACAGGGAGAAGCGACATATAAAGAACAAGGGAACCCCAGCAACCTGCTGCAGACCCTCCTCCACAGTAAAGCTCTTCTTTTGGCGGTTCAGGAGGGCCCAAGCTCTACTGCCGACTTTATATTGGCGGCTGTGACCAAGTTGAACTTCCAATGGTTCACGGCACAGCCCCTCAACTCATTTATCAATCTTAACAATAGAACATGTTTCCGTCTCCCGCTTGTTAAGTTCCGTGCACGGCAACAAATCCAGATCTTAATGAATATGGTGGGATATCTGGAAAAAAGAGATTGGCAACACTGACGTGCTTTCGTGCGTCAAAACTGGTTCGACAGTTTGTGCACGGCAATCCCGATTACAGTGAGTGATTGGCTACACAGACAATTTTGTTGCGATTGCAAGGCTCAAGGACTCGGAGATGAATAAGCCCTCCAACCCCCAGATAGAAAACCTACCTTTTTCGCCCCCGGCACTGCGTATGTGTGCGAGCTGCCCATAAGCTCCCCCTCCGCGACCCGCCCCTCTCTCTGCTCCAACACCTGATACAGCGGCTTTTCCGGCTGACCCTTTCTCAGGTTAATCAGATCCGGGGTTTCCAGTCCCGCCGGCGTCGTCGAAACGGTGTCGACCGACGCCATCCCCGCCTGCATTTGTTCCTCGTCCATGCCCGCGTCCTCCTCCGACTCCGCTTCGGACTCCTCCTCTTCTTCCTCGTCGGACTCCAGCTCGCCCCAATGCTTGGACCGGTCGACCGGCTCGTCCTGCAGAAGTGGTTAGAAAAGAGGGTTCACGATTCATGATTAGGAATCCGAAGGTCTGAATGAGTTTGATATTTGGATGAACTTTGAGCTTCGTATGATCAACAAGGGCTCCTCCTCTTCTTCCTCGTCCGATGTCAGCTCGCCCCAGTGCTTGGACCGATCGACCGGCTCGTCGTGCGAAGTGGCTACAAAAGAGGGTTTAGCAATCAGGGTTTCAGAGCGATCTCCAGATTTCAAAAACTAAAGATCCGGTGTGAAGGAGCTGAGCTCCTGAGAACTAACATCAAAACCCCTCTTTTTTCTTGTCGAACTCCAGCTCGCCTCAGTGCTTGGAGCAATCGACGGGCTTGTCCTGCGGAAAGGAGATTTACAGCCCAGGTTTAGGAATCCCAGGTCCAGAGCTCTTTTATTCGAAACAAACAATCTAAGCTCGTCAAACTCGAGCTCGCCCCAGTGCTTGGACCAGTCGACGGACTCGTCATGCGGGATTGGTTAGGAAAGAGGGTTTGCAAACCAGAGTTAGAGGTTTGAAATGCACCGTCAAAGTTCGAAACTTGGTAACGAGAGTGTGAGCTTCTCAGGGTCCGTATCAAGTTGTATCCGTCTCCCCTCACTGGCTTCGAGGTCGCCCGGGTGCTTGAAACTATTAATAGGCTCGTCCTGCAACAACGATTCATGGCCTAAGGGCGAAGCACAGGGCTGAAAAGTGGACACTAGGGTTTGGTTATGAATGACTGGGGACACACGTGAATGATGGGAACTGCGCAACCATCATGAACCGCTGACAAGTGCTGCCTGCTTCAAACATCAGGACCAGGAAAGTGTTTCAGAGAGCCACTTGCAGGATCCGGCTTCGGACCGGAATCTAAATAAGAAGCTGGACGACTGCGACTTTCCAGCGTTTCCTTCCGCTCAATCCAGCCCATCTTCAGGGCCCTTGATATATCAACAGCTTTCTAGAGCCACATCCAGCAGGCCTTAATGGCTGCTTACCTCAAATACCTCCTCTTCTACGTCCTTCTTCGTCGTTCCAAACACGTCCCCGTAGATAGGCTGCCCGTACTCGTTAACAGGAGGTTTGCCCCAGCCCCCGGGGTGGTACCCGAAGGAGGCTCCTTCGGGGATGGGGGCGTTGAGGCCGGGGATTTTGAGGCTAGGGTAAGAGGGGGGGGGACCATACCGCTGCAACACACAAACAAAGCCTGTCAGATTGAAAAACGTAAGATCGAATACTTGAATCTACGGTAAGAGGGGGGGGGAGCGTATCGTTGTCACACGGGCGGGAAATGGTAAGATCAGGGAACGGTAAGTCTAAGTGGAGCTCTCGCGCTGGGACTCTGAAGGTGCTGGCAAGCCAAACTTTTGGAACCGGGGACTTGGAGGCTAGAGTACGATTGGCCCAATTTCGCTCTGTGAACATAGGCATTGGGTTCGTTCTTGCTCTGGCTTACTTTCATTCTGTGAACATAGGCATTGGGTTCCTCTTTGCTCTAGAAGGCCCAGAGTAGGGCAGAAGACAAAGCGGGCAGTTTCCCGTACCTGCATGTTGACCAGCCAGGGCGGAGGGGACTGCTCGTCCATTCCCAACGCTTCTCGCAGCTCCTCCGAGAGCTCCCCCGGCTTATAGTCGTTCATTTTTCGCTGCAAGATGATGAAGGGACAAGTATTGAACAAAGCTTTTACAGGGCCAAGGCGGAGCTCAGACACCGAGCAGCAACTTCATGACCCACGACAAGATGTTAGACGGGTTGGAACGCTGGCATGGGATCCGTTCTTGGAGACAGCAAATGCCGAGGAGATGATTGCCTTATGAGTAAAAAACAGACCAACAGATCGAAAAAAACGATAAAATTGACTTTTTTAGATTGACTAAGTGTGTGGGATCTGTGTAGACACAAAACAGGTTCGGAAGTATCACCCATTCCGATGCGGGCGAGATGTCCAATCAAATTATCAGGGTGGCTTCTGATCGACATATACGGAGAATCCGGTCGACAGTCGCTCCGATTGACAAGAAAGTATTCTTAAGGCGCAATTCTTCTTGACTAACAATCTATCTGCCAGTTGATGTCTTGATCACAAATCACGGGTAGTGCACCACACGAAAGAGCACAACCCCGCTTCAGCATGCTGCGACTTGCGGTATGTTTTTATGCAGATTCTGGGGTTAACGGACCTAACGAAAACAGCTCACCTCGTACTCCTTTCCCTCATAATACAGGTCTCCTTGCCCCGTCAACTTCGGCTTCGTCTGGTGCTTGAAGAACGCGTCGTGTAGCACCTGCACCAGAAGCGCAACATAAGGGAGCTTCCTGGGTGTAGAATTCCAAGAGCGATCCTGCACCGGACGTCCCTTCCTAATATCGAAGCTTTTCCAGTTCCTTAAGAAAGGAACACTCGTGCTTTTCTGGTCTAAGACTGTGAGAGACTGCGGAAAAAGTCGGTGATACGAGTGCAGCGTGATCGTCCTGACGTCTGGTGACTGCTAAGAGAAAGATATGCACTCACTGTGCAACTGAACGATTTCAGATAACCTTGGATGCCTTGCAACTTTCGAGAACGCCGTTCTCTGCTGTCCAGTCGGAACAACGGGAATCAAGGAGTGTAACTGGGTCACCTGGTAGTCAATGTCGAGCTTGCCCATCTTGGGCTGCATCCGCTCCCGCTGCTTCTGCTTCAACTTCTTTGAGTCCTCTTTCTCCTGATACGCCTGCGCGAATTCAACACGAGAAAGAATGTCATTACGACGCTCAAACGAGGTGTCAAAAGCCGGACTAGCTAGTGTGTCAAGTGGATTGCTTCTTTCCTCGTATGCCTAAATGCGTAAACTGTGACCATAAGAGTAGCAGAGCAACGCACGCTCATCTCATCCAGGAAGCAGTATCGTCAGAAGTTCAAGCTGTGGATCCGGCTGACAAGCACGTTTCACATGTCTTGTTTGCGAGCTTGTCAACCCGTCAAAGAAATCAAACACGCAGCGGGCCAGAATTGATCCACCTTCTATAACTTACGAACATCAGTGGTCTCACCTGTCGAATCTTCTCGATACCGGTGTTTGCGATGAAGTCTGGCAGTTGGAACGGAATCTTCTCAATACCTCGTTTTCCCTGCAACCAGAAGCACGCGTTAAGCCTTTCTCAACCCATTGAAGAACTCCCTCTTCAAAAAGCTCGTCAGCATAGCGCAGAAGGGTTCGTTATTGTGTATCCCACCACCAACGCTTTCTGTTAAGTATGATGGAAGCAGGTTCCAAGGTTTGCAAAAGCGGCTCCATTGCCACCGCCGTCTTAGATCAGCAAAATTGCACCATCTGTCGTGTGCCAGCTTCGTCTTCTTTTCACATTTGCGTGAGGCGACCTCTCAAGACACGTCAACACAAATGAAGCTGCCGGGAACAACGTCACGAGGGACTCGTTTGCAATGGCGCGAAAGCTTTCGCTGTACACCTTGGTTGGACAACGGGGCATACTTCTCTGGCACACACGACCAGAGGCATGGGAGGTTCAGGAGTTGCTTTTAACCTGCAAAAACTTTCGCTTCTGCGACCAGTGCCGCGGCACGGGCACCGTGTTTCTATATGCTTTCAGGTACACCAGGAGCTTCGGGTCCATCGCTGTTGTGTCCCAAATCTGTGCACAGACACAGTTGCTTTAGAGAGCAGAATCTACAAGCTAACAAAGGGGCCGGCCACTGCGGCAAGAGGTTGCGATCACAGGAAGTTTTTCATCCAACAGCCGGTTGCTCATTCAATTGTTCTGCATATAAGTATTGGCTGAGCCGAAGAGGATAATGCAGGCTTTCTCAAGATAGCTTCAAGGCAGTGCGGGAAAATCTAGATAATCATCCCACTTTTGAGTTGGATGAGTAGACCGTGGGGAAGGGTTCAACAACCTGATTCACTCTTCCGCATCTCCGCAAACGGCGGCACTTGCTGCCATAGGGAGGTCGGTTACGACCAACTTTCTGAACGACTGAGGAAGACAGAAACCACCACGATAAGATGCCGACTTCAAGTCGTGGCCTTCATGACTGAACTGCAACTCAAACGGCTTCGTCTTGCCTTGGATTGAGGATGAAGAGAAGATCACAATCAAGGCAGAACGGATGACATTTGAAACTGCTCACCTCAACAGTCTCGGGTCGCCTGCTCAGCTGCTTCAGCTCTGCAATCTTTAACCTCTTCAGCAACTGCAGAAAGCGCGCAAAACGTGGTTTCAAGTGGGAACTCTGATCAAACACGGCTGGTTTTAGATTAAGTGTAAGATGCATGGAGCGACATCAAAACGAAGGATCAGAGCAATAACACAATGAACTGCAACTTCTCTACACAGCTCAGCGCGTCGAGGAGCTTAGAGCAGAGTTTGCTGTTAAGGCCAGCAATACACGTTAAGCAGACTTGCTCTACAAGGAAGAGAGAAAACGATACAGTCGAATTGAGTCAAGGATTTCAAAGTTATTGTCATAGTACAGACAAGCAGACTCTCCGGGCAAAGTGCGGGTCTCCCACCAAAACGTTGAGACAAAAGACCAACCTCAAACCCATCGAAAGAAGTTAAGAACAAGCAATTCTGCGGAAAACGATCAGACATGGTGGATCTTTCACCTTTTTCTTCTTGTTCGACATCTTCCCCTCCTTTTCTTCATCGTCCTCCTCTTCCTCCTCCTCTTCTTCCTCCTCCTTCTTCTTTGCCTTCTTTGCTTCTTCCTCAGCTGCGGCCGCCGCCTCCTCCTGCATGGCACATGACCAGAAAATCTAGACGTTGCCCTTCGAATCAAAATTGTCCGGGCTCTCCCAGATTGCAAAGAAACGTCCGGCAAGCACCTGAAGAAATGCGTACAAAGATGTATCTGATGATGTCACGAAATGGCTGCACAGTGCTTCGCCTGCTTTTTGTTTCAACGGAGGACCAATATTTCGGGATTTTGTTCCTGAGTATAAGATGGTGCTGAAGGGTCACCGGTGCTGCCGTTTTCAACCGCCCTCTTTAGGATTACTTTTGACACCATCAATTCAGGTGAAGCACGGTACTAGTCAGCAATACTTCGTGAAAGGAACGTCACAACAACAAAGCCACTGCAGCGTCAGTCAATAGGAAGAACTTTCTAAGAAAGTGAAGATCAGCAACTTACGTCGGCTTTGGAAGTATCCTCTGATGGCGTGAACTTGTTGAATACTTCCAGAAGCTCTTCATATCCTTCTGCTCCCTCAATCACCGGCTTCTCTGCAACGTACTCAATCTCAACTTTCTCAAGAGGCTGCAAGGGAAAAGGAACGTCAGCATAACGCAAAGAATTGAGCCGCTGATCATAGTCACAATTAGAGAGCATCAAACAGATCCGAAGCGTGTCAAAATCGCCTGATTTGCTAACATTTCACCAAAGTATCTGCAAGTTCAAGGTGAGCAATCCATCCGAGCACCCCAATCAACGCCTCACCACTTACAAAAAATCCATTATATCCCATTAGGGACTTGCCCAACCATGCAAGCTCATCATGCCTCTAAGACAGAACCTATGTCACAAAAGAACATTAGCTCAAGAGAATGGCTTTTAGATCCACAACGAAACGAGCCATAGAGACGAAGCCCGCACTTCATCCAATACAGGAATGGTCACGAAAATCACTTCAAGGGTTACGAAAGTATTTCCGGCCGAAGTTCGCGGTTTCAAACATGCATCCTGCGCGGAGGAAAATCCGCAATTTGCGAGCTTTTGATTGCACTCTGCATGTTCTGGAACCTGAATTGCCCCACCAATCGGTCGCTAGCTTCTACTCCCATACTTGCACTGTCCAACGCCAAGCGACAAGAGCGTAAAGCAATCTTGCAATTGGTGATCAAACAAAGAAACATAAAAGAGGAATGAGTAGCGAAGCCGATCATAGAGATGTAGCTCTTGAGAGATTGCATACTTCTTAGGAACCTTTTTTTTGGTAATGGTGGATGCATTGATGCAAGATGAATAGGCAACTTTTCACATTCTGTGAAACTTTCTGACAGCTCCTATGAAGTTCGATACCATCTCTGTCGAGCTTTTACCCAACCTCAGAACCATTTGATAAGGAAAACTTGGCTCCGATTACTAAAAAATGCGAGCCAGGCTCTGTCATGAATAGAAGAACCGAAGGGGGAAAAGTTCAGGATGATGAAGAATTCATTCAACTGAAAAGGAAGATCCAAAACTTTTCAAAAATGTAGCTCCACCTGCAAAACCCTCAACATCCAACTCGAGAAGCACATACTAGAGGATCAATTGTAGTCAGAGCAGAACAGCAAAATGCATCAGTAGCATATTATGACCCAGGTTCAGGGATATGTTTGCACCTCTTCAGCCTGCTGCTTTGCAGGCTCTTCAACCACCGCCTTCACTTTGTTCTGTTTCTTTTTCTCCCTCCGCTTCTGCCTCTTCTCTGCAGCCTTTGACTTCTTCTGAGGGGCGTCCCCATTTTCCAGCTTATTGGCGGTGCCATTCGCATTTGGAACAACTACGCCATTCTCTGCACCGTGAGCCGCCATGACGAGCGATGCAATTAGTATTCACAACTGGGAGTATTACCAGAGCTTGCCCAGAAATGCCTTTATACTGCCTGCAAGGACAAGGGCGCAACCCTGGTCTTGGCGCCCTTCCTTGTGGCGCTTCCTTGCAGCGCACCTGGTATCCTCCCTGGCCGCAGTTCGTCTCGTTGGCCTGTCCAGAAAGAGGTGAGGCCCAGGCCCTTCCCCTCAACTCTTGAGCAAAGTTTTCCACCAGGTCTAGTTCAAACAGAAAACCCACAGACTTCAATCTAATTCAACCAATCAGAAGTTTCCCTTTGAAACTACCATGCTACCAACTTCAGATTCGATGCGTGGGTACCAACCATTCACTGGCCGAGCATTCACAAGTCGCTACGTCGAAAGCAAGCCCAATCACAACCAGCCAGATATTCCTAGGATATTATCCTTTCGCACAACTCTCGACAAATCAAAGACTCCACAGTGGCAGGTCGGCACTTTTCGTGCCAGCAAAACGATCGAAAACTGTACAAATCGGCCCACCATGTGCAACGTGGCAAGCCAATGGCAAGGGCACATTGCAATCTGCACTTTTCAATGGACAGAACCACAACTGCAAATGCAGCTCTGATCGAATTCAGGATGGGCGCCTTCGCAACTTTCTTCAAGTCCTTGTCCTGCATTCCAACGCGCATCTTCTGACGTTGAACAGCACTTTTGATTGATAGAGGCCGCTGCACTGAAGAGGCGCAACTTCCTCCACCTGAACTCCGCCGTCCATGACTTTCTTGCATTTCCCTTTTCGCAATTACATCCCACTTAGGGGACCCTGACCTATGTTTATCTGGGATTGGGCTTTGGCGCTGCCAATAAGTTGCCACTCAAAGTATTCTTGCCAATTAGGGGCTTGAATAAGTTCGCACCCACTTGCAAGCTCCACCTGTAAAGTATGCAGATTCAAACGCAAAGGACGTAGGAACTGCTCATAGACAGATAGAGCCAGATACACAGAATGACCTCTCTGATCATCCTGCCAGATGCTGGCATGTTCAACGCACTAAGTGGACCTTTCGCGTGCACTAAGGTTTCCTCTGGTTCAGAGGAGAAGGGAGTTCCCCTCGAGAAGAATTGTGTCCTGCCGACAATCTCCACTGACACGGTGAGTCCAAGTGTTGATGACAGGTCATCTTCTGGTTGGTTATACGGTGATCACCGAGGCCTACTCGATCCTGGAAACGCTCTACTTGTCTGATTGGCAATGACTGCTGGCATTTTTGTAGCTCTTCATGCTAGCTAAGATTCTGAACAGCAATCCTCCCCTGTGGACATGCTGCATTCCTTGCCTCAGCAGCTCAGTTCCGCAATCTTTTGCAGCTTGTCCAACTGCTGTCGAGGTCGTTGACCAGCAGCTCCTTTGACACGGTGAAGGTGTTGGACACAAGGTTTCCCTATGAGTATGATGGCGGTCATATCACAGGTGCGTTTTTGACTCAATTCAAGCCAATGAAGATGCTCATGTTTGTTAACCTTTCCACCCGTCTGAAGGCGTATCCGTCTCCTGCTAACGCTGTTGTTGGAGTATGGAACTTTTGGTGAAATTTCAACCAAAGGAGACCTGTCCTTCAGGACTTTCTCTACTTCCTCCGTACAAAACCTTAGGCCAGAAAACCCACTGTATTGGTGTGACACTGTATGCTCTGTTGCAGGAGCTATGAATCTCTACCAACCCCAAGACATGGAAGACTTCTACCATGCCAACTCTGGTAACCATGAGAGGACCTGCCTGGTATTCCACTGCGAATTCTCGTCTTCGCGTGCACCCAAACTGTAAGTACACATTGCCACTCTGCAAATCTGTTCTCTTCATAAGCTCCTAATGTCTTGTCAGGCAGAGAGCTGTGTTCTAGTTCCCTCCAGATATTCTCAAAGACCTTGGGACGACTTGACCGTCCTGCAGTGGAATTGGCAGCTTTGGCAAAGCTTATTCGTGCTGGTTTGCAATACATGCTTTGATCATTTGTGCAATCTTGGCACTTCTCACAGATGTGCTAACGCCCTTTATAACTTGCAGCTTCCAGTTCATGCGCAACCTGGACCGCAAGATGCACGCTGACTCATATCCGAAGCTGAGCTTCCCAAATATGTTTATCCTGGAGGGCGGCTATAAAGCCTTCTTTGAGAGCAAAAAGGTGCGTCCTATCGCACGAAGTCTATTGCAAAGTAGCAGCTTCCAACTAAGTGTGCTTGTGACCTGCAACCGTCTCTTTATCTTCAAGGCAGACAAAGGTATTTCTTGCTGAACACACTAGCTTTCGTTCTGGCTGCCGCAGGTCCTTTGTGAACCAAAGGCATATGTTAAGATGGTGGATGCTGCCTTTCTACCGCAGCTTAAGAGGCTAACCAGCAGTCTTCGAAAAGGCTGGTCTAATCGGTCACGATCTGCATTACAAGACATGTCAAACAGCAGCGATCCTTCACAAGAAAAGGATCGCCAAGAAAGATCTAAGAGGATAAAAAGGTGCAACTTCCTTTCTTAGAAGTTGCAGCCATCTAGATCCGGTCACGTCCCGTACCAGGTGCAACTCCTCGCGCATGCGATGTTGACAAAGTTTTAGAAAGCCTGGAGACAAAGCACAAGTCAAGATAGAGATCTCAAAACAGCGACTCGCTAGCATAGATGAAGCACCGCCCTAATCACTGAGCATGTACTCAGGCCCGAGAACGTGTTGATCATTCTTCATAGTTTGGACTAGGCTAATGTGGTGTGTCTGATGTTGTCTCCCGTCTTTAGACGCTTCTTGCACAGCTCTGCCATGCTGGGTGTTGGCATCACCCCCTGAGTGTGGTCAGTGCTGACTAACAACTTCAGGCCATATCAGAGCATGTCTCCATAGCGTGTGCACAATGCAAACAGGAAGTAGGCCTTGGGAGCCTGCCGGTGCTTCTCTCCCGGGTCACTGAGACTCAGAAGGACCTGTCTTCACAAGTATACATGATCCAGCACACTCGACTGTCTGCATATTAGCAAGTATACTAAGCTTAAGGTATGGTACCTGATTGCAATCGTTAGAAAGTCATTACGAAGTTGTTGGAGATAGACTGAGGTACCGTCACGGTCCTTGTTGATGTTCAGCTAGAAGATAACCTGCCGGGTCTTTTGCCAAGGTGGATGTCATGGTTACAGTCTTCATGACGCGTATGCAGAGTTAGCAGCGTCGTGTCGGATTGGGGTTTGTTAAATCGGAAAGGTGGACCCAGTGCGCGCTAGCGCCGATCAGCTCACGTACTATAATTGGCAATTCGCAAGCTATGCATATGATGCTGCCGCGCGCATGAGCCTGCGCGCCTGGTTGGCTGAGATGACATGCTGAGAATCCCCGTACAGTCGGATCTGATTCTTGTATCAAGCTATAGATATCGCGCGAGCAGCATGCGCATGATCGACTGAGTACTTACATCTGGTGGCACGTGCGTAAAACGAAGGCCAGTGACAATCCGGATGGCTGCCGCGCACATATTGAAGGTCAGCAGATGGTCTTCGACATCATAAAAGAACTTCATGCAGTTTTGAGGCCATGTATGGTTACTGATTTGAGTTGAGTTTGAGTAGCTCCACAGAAGGACGTGTACGAACTTACCGGCTCGTCCGCCCCTGAGAAGGACCGCGCCGGGCGGCAAAAGGGCTGGCATGGGCGAGATGTGTAAGATCGACTGAAGACGAGTCCGACCACGGATTGGGCCAGCTACCAAATACATCATGCAAAGCCGGGCCACGCAGGACTCCGAGCGGCTTCGAAACTCAAACACCAGCCGTAACTTATTAGTAGCAAATTTTGCGTTTGGTGACTGGACGATTGCCTTCAGCTAGCAAGACACTGTGATAAACGAAGCAAAAGAGACAGATTAATGAACGCTTGTAACAGAGGAACGAGCTTGTAAGCTTGGCTTCCGATCACGCATCACGGCTTTCCGGCCTCATGGAGCGAGACAAGAACGTATTCCGAAATTTGTCAGGGACATGAATGGCTGCTCTTTTTGAAGACAAAGGATAGTTGCTCCTGCTGCAAGTTTAAAAGAAACAAACGACGCTCCGTTAGATTGACACTACTTCTGAATTCCTGGACGACCAGCTGGGCACGGCCTCTGACCATCATTAACAATCACCTCCGCGAAGCGGTCCCATGAACAGCTTTGCTGACCTGCAATATGTATGGACCTTAACCTTCCTCTTGCACACCTAGCAACGTCACAAGGCCGGCACGAACTTCTCTCGCGGCTAGCTCGTAGAAATAAACGTGAACCTTCTCATCGTGTGGGGCCGCCCCAAGCCACATTCCGCTGTTCAGGATCGCCGGCAGACACGGGTATAGCGGAAGCGCGGTCCCGAGCACCTCTAGTCCGACCACCGCGTGAAAGTTGCACGCTGACTCAGCGATCTTGCTCTCTTCGGCCTGTTCCACAAAGCTTGGCACAAGATGTGATAAACCGATCACAAAGCGCTCTGGAACGTTCGTCAAGTCCAGCGTGCGACAAAATCGGAACCATCGTAGACACGTGGCGTACTCCGCGCGCTTCAAACCATCTTCGAGCGCCTCCAGCGTCCGAGCGTCCAAACCATCTTCCAGAACCGCCGTCCCGATCGTGTCAACCAGGACACGCATCCATGACTCCGCCATCTCAGGATCCCCATCCAGCGGCAGTGACGTCAGCAGCTCCTTGACCAGGGTTCCGGGAAGTCCGGCCTTGCAAGCGGAGACGATTGCGTCTGCTAACCTTGCCATGGCCAGCTCATTGATCGCAGGGCTTCCACCAGCAGGGATGAGCATACGGTTCCCGATCACAAGAAGCGCAGGGAACTCGTTGCTTGCGCTCATGATCTCCCTTGTGAAGCGCATCAGGCTTTCGTAGCTGTCCAGCATATGCTCCCTCCCTGTTCTTGCGCTGGTTTCGCCGGGATGCTCTTCCGAATCACTCCCCTCTTCTTCAGAGTCTGACTCAGACGATGCTGATTCCATCTCCCAGTCTGAAACCTCTTCTGATTCTTCCTGCGTTGCTAAGCTCAGACTTGAGAAACTCTCCGCTAGAGCGCCAGCCGCTAGAAGTGTTCTCAGCTCTTGGACAGGAGTTTGGAGCCACCAGAGAGCGAGTTTCTTCATGTCTTGCCACCATTCTTCTCCAACCCAGGGCTTCGAAGCTCCTACGCTCTTTGAATCCCCATCTTTCTGATTTTCAGACCGTTGGTAGCTGACAGACTCCTTGATTCCAATCTTTTGCTGTACATGTTGCAACATGTCCAGTCTGTTGAGCGCCAGCATGTCTGCTACCAGGACTCCTTCGTGCATGGACTGGTCTGCTTTTCCTATTTCAACCAAGAACTGAAAGGTCTTCGGCAATCCAAGGAGCACGGACGCGCGGGCCACAGCAAACGTTCCATGCCAGCTTGACTGACCATCCTCCGACCGTTTCCTTAAGATGCAAAGCAGGAGATCGTCCAGGTTGTCAGTTGAAAGCGAGGCCTTCTTCAACCATTTCCACCTGAAGAGCCGCAGGAGAGAAGTCTTTCTCTGGTGAAGGTGCCACCATTGCGCTTGCGTATGGATATCCTGAGCGGCGGCAAGCAGGGAGCGGCAAGTTGCCGTCAGACTTTGGGGATCCTCCGACCTGGCGATAATCTGCATGATCACTTCTTCAGGAAGCCTTGAGAAGGAAACTTTAGAAGGCGCCATTCAGAAGAAGTTTTCTTAAAGCCTGCCAATAACTTGAAATCCCCTGCGATAGAAAGCTCCTGGTGACTTTTGAACGGTCACTAACTCTCAACCATGGAGGAGCCTTATTCAACTTTCTTACTTTCGACCATTGGCAAATGGTGAAGCGCACGATAGATCATCTAATCTGCCGTCTTTACAGGAGACTGGAAACGAGTTCAGAGCTGCTTCGAAATTCTCTGCTTCAGCGTTGCGTTCTGCGCATCTCGCTGCGTGCGCCATGCCTGTAGGCGCGCGGCCCGCCTGCTTGCTTTGTTTGAACTGCCAACTTAGCATCTGTACGCGGTAAAAGCAGTCTCGAAGCGGAGAAGAAAAGGCTTAAAATGCTGACGAATTGGTGACGAACCTGAGCTCCGCGGCGTAGCTAACGAGTGAAGTACTGGCAACGCCCTTGTCTCCTAATTCAAGATTCACAGCCCCGGGCACCTCAACCAAGATCTTAACCCAAAATCCTACGCGCTCCGCACCCCCACCCACCCTAACCACAACCTCCAAACCAACCCTACCCGTCCCCCGGCTGTGAACCTTAGGAGACAAGCTAGGGAATTGCCAAACCACGAGTGAAACCATTGAGGCGGCCAGTACTGCGGCCAGGCATGACGAGCTTACTCCGCTCTGAAGAAGCCGCGCTGACGAACCGTCCTCTACTAAGGCCGTACGATCCGCGTCGTACGGTAGAGGCAAGGAAGTGTCTACTAAACAGAACTTTCATGCAGTATATTAAATCTGAATCTTCTTAGATTCAGAAGCCCTCGTCAAAAACCTAACCTAGAACATCACGGGCTCTGCAGCTCCCTACCCACCCTAACCAACACTAACCGGCCCTACCCGTTAGTGAGTCACTTTCCCGGGTGCAGCTGTGTTAGTGAACACTTCGTTTACTGACCGTCGTACCACGTATTCCGTTGGGCCAGACGCATTGAATCCGTGATCGACTGATCGCGAGTCCGTCGTATAGCTACCTATTCGGTTGCGCCGCCGGATGGCTAAGTTCCAACACCATACATGCCTGACATCTAGCTGAACATGTAAGTTCGATCGAGCCTAGCTCAGCATGATGATCCATGTGGCAATCTTGCGCATGGGTATCATATACAAACAACGCGCAGCCGAAGTGGACTCGTCACGTGGCGGCCGCCCGGCTTGCATGATGATGAGATGAATGATCACGACAGCAGGCTTGATTCCTCGGACTCATCGTATACTTAGTATGACAAGCTAGCGTCTATTTACGATCGCATGCCTAGGCTAAGCCATATACCGGCGTCTTTCCTGTACATGGAATTGGACGATTGCAGCGCTTGTGAAATATGTATCGTTAAAATCTCGTCTTCAAGGGCCGGGCCTCCACTGCCAATCGATCTGTATCAGGATTTCGTAGCAACCTAACATGACCTCATGGTGAATCGTCTATGATGCAACAACGCCAACATAATGATCAGTGTGCGTCTGCTTGGCGTGTCAGATTATTGCAACGATACCTTGTCGGAGGTTATAGCATATTCGGCCAGCTTACCTAGTTTTGACATGCGCAAGCGTTTGACTAGCCTCAATCAGCCTACCCTTCGGTCTTGTCAAGAAGGACACGACTAACGACTGACAGTCAAGAGACCCGCACTCCTCCATTCCGGTTCGGACGAGCTACTAGTCGACCCCTTCATCCAGACTCTAGAGCATGAGCGTGTCTCTCTCTTGGTTTGTGCTAGCGAGCTTTTCTGTTGGTCTGCTCATCCGGAACTTGACGACTATGTACCGGGCTTGCAAAGACTATGCTTACTGAGACCCTGCAGCTGTTCTTCTAGTCCTCCCGCACACGTGGTTCAGTCGCGTAGCATGATCTACCTTATGCCGCTGCGTCCTGCACTCCCAGCCCCACCAGCAGTCTGGCCTTGTTGAATACGGGGCCGGCAGGTCCTGCAAACCATCGGGCTTTATCAGTTCAGGGCCCTAGCGAAAGGCTTGCGAAAAGTCCGTGCAAGCGGTGGAACTTAGCTTTCAGATTGAGATGAGCTTACTGAACCAATGATAGGGCATCACAGCAGACCTCAGAGCGTGCCAAAGGAGAAAGTGACTCCAGGAGATACGGACCATGTAAACGAAGCATCGGGGAGACGGCTGCTCCGTTTCCATTTCAATTAGAACATCATGTTTCCATCCAATTGCTATTTCCCACACACGGCCCCTGGTTCATCCGGACGGGCGAGAGGCGAGGACAACTCACCGCCGCTTGTATCCCCTCCCGGTATTTGTACAGGAGCCCGCCAACGACGCGATCAGAACAGATCCTGCAACAAGCAAAGGACGGGGTCAACTGCCAACGAGCTGACGTGTCTGCCTGAACCAGGGCCACGTGGAGTCAATGATGCAGCTCCTGCCGCCTTCAAGCTTCCAATCTCTCCGATCGAGTGCAAGCGAGTGCACTTCCGCAACTGTACCCCTGTCGCACTCGTTCGAGCAGCAAAGCACGCTGGCCTTCGTCCTAGATCTGATACGCCTCCACCATGAGCATTTCAGTAATGTGAGAAAGCGGGTGCGCACCGTTGCAGCCGCGCTTTAGAGGACAGATCGTCAGAAGCTTGTGAGCTCACCCGCATAGCGGCGAGTCGTGGGCTAGGTCGGCCGGGAGGGGCGTCCCGATCGGCCCAGTTGGCTGGATGTGGTCCCGGGGAAAATCTGCACCAAGGTGCAGACGAGTCAGCGTCAGTCTAAGGATGTCACAAGCAACCAACTCAGCCTTACGGGTTCGGGTGTTAGTAGTGAACTACGAAGGAAAAAGTCAGCCTGTAAATGCAAACAAAAAGATGGAGGCCACGGCGAAGATGACGCCGATGGAATAAACGGAATGGAATCTGTAGATTACTCAGAAGAGAGCGGTGAATGAGCGGATCTTTGACCGCAACTCATCAATCCAAAACCTTTGCCTAAGTTTGGGGAAGCAATCTCGAGACGAGAGGGTTCCCTGTCCTCGAATAACAGACTTCTCGTGGTAGGAACCGTTGAGCAAGCCAAATATGTCATGTGCAATCCGTGCGTAGCGTCAATCTCCTCGTTTGAAGCTCAACATGAGGACTAGAATCACGCGAACTCTGTTGCGGGAAGCAAGGTGTCGTTCTCTGAGTATAGCCTTGGCAAGCTAAGGGCAGTTTGCCCAGTACTTCATTTCGGAAACAAGCCAATGGATCTTCGGAGCACCTTACCCCAGTCCCCTGTTTCGACTTTGCCCAGCGATTCTTGAACCGCGTCCTGGACCGTCTTCTGGTGCTCCACGAGGTACTGCCGAAGGACCTGAGAGAGGCCGCAGCTTTGAACATTGCAGATCCGGAAGGGGGCGGGACTAAAGCGCCGTGTCTACCTCAGCGCTAACATAAACGTAGACCAAAGCATCTTCTCAGCTTTTAGCGGTTGTGGACCTGAGACATGAATATAGACGGCCTGGTCCGCATCTGTCAAGGCCACGATCTTACCCGTAATGCACTTAAACTGAAACTTGAGCTCCAAAGAAACCGCGCAAATGCGCAAGGATTTCAGCTGGACAGAAGGAAAGCAGACGTCAGAGCTGCTTGCACCGGCGGCGATCGTGCCGCCGAGGAAAAGCAGGCTTAAGGCTGAAGGTTACCTCTTGCTCAACCTGGTTGGAGCTGAAACTAGAGACGGGTAGAACGTTCCAAGTCCTCGCGTTCAGCTGCAGCCGAGCAAAAAAAGGTCACATAAGCAGTCAAAACAGTAATAGAACCATCTACAACACTGTGAGAAACCATCTTTGAGGAACGGCTCTCCACTGACACGTGCCATCAATTACTAAAGCCATCTGTTTCATTAGCGTGAGTGAATCGGAAGTTCGGAAGATGCTGAAGAGCGTGAGAGCTTCTGGCAAGACTCCAGTCGGGTTTGCAAGCAGGAGGGTCTAGCGCGAATTAGGTACCTGTCAAATCGCTTTTTGTTATCCCAGAGAGAGAGACTCGATAGCGCGGTCGAGCTATTAGGCCCATCCAGCGACGGCCACAAGCCCCTCTCTCGCTCCTAGCGTTCTGCAGTGAATCTTCAAACCAGTCTTTCGACACGGGGAGCCTCTACTTCACGCTTGCCAAGACATGCGTACGTGTCTCTGAACCGACAGACGAAATAGTCCTCCCGATTGCTCGCCTTCTTGAGGCGCATGGATTCGTGCCCGGTGCACTCGTTCGGGAGGCCGTCAAGGGGCGGGGGCAGGCTCCGGAAGTAGAGGTCGCAGCCCGGCTGCTGGCACCAGTGGCCTGAAAGAGTGTATTTGCAGGTGCTTAAGGTCCAAAGTTATGGGGGGCTTATCAATCCTCCTGACTTGTCTCTTAACGCCAAATCTGCCCATCAATGCAGGTAGTGGGTAGGAGGATTGGTGCTCAGACACCCTCTTCGCCCTATCGCCAAACCCTATACTCAGGCAAAGACGGAAAAGCCATTCCCAGGGAAAGTTATAGACTTTCATAAAGAAGTGACTGCTATAGCCGCACATTCCAACCAACAGATTGCAGGACCGGACTGGTCAGGTAATGAAAAAGATGAGGAGCTCAAACGAGGATATCGTTGTTGCCTCGAAAGATTGCAGCACCAAGCACCGACGCCCTAACAATCATAGGGACCAAGTCGCCTCGAATCGCACGTTCCTTTCTCAACCCAGCCTCGTTCTTCTCGCCAGAGGCTAATCCCCCTTGGCATCGACAGGTTTAGTGCACATGATTTTCAAAATGGCGGACGGACAGAAGCCGTGCTTTGCTCACATCTCTGCGTTGGGAGCCCTCGGTTGGGCATTACATTGTGGCAGGCGGCGCACCAGAGATGCGCCTGATTGGGAGCACAAGTGAAGCCCCCGCGCTGAGCTGCGAAAAAAAGAAAAGCGGGTGGAGATTGAACCGTGTGTGCTTTGCTCCTGTCTTTGGGAGGACCTGGCCTTTGAAAATCTGAGGGTTTTAAAGTGCCCGGGAGTCCCGATCCAAGTGATTTCAGGGTGGGAGAACGAGAAACAATCCCACGGTGAGCTGCAGAAAAAAGGAAAGAGGCAGCAATGACCAGCTCTTGAGCTTTCATGCCCGTCGTAAAGTTCACACTCCATTATTGGCGAACATTGCATGAGGCTTTTTCAGACTCAGATTCAGACACACTACTCATCTGACTGCTCGAGCGACGCAAATCGGAACTGTGACCGCTAGATCGACTTAGCATACTTCTGAAAAGCTGCCACGATTTCGTAAAAATCGCGAAGCGAGGTGTCAAAAACTGCATGGATGGCGTTTTTGCAGAGGCTCACTCGTCCAATCCATGGCCGTCTCCTTTTGCCAAACCTTGGACCTGTGGTGAGACGAGTCACCAGAATATGCACTCTGCTGCTTAATCTGACTTCAAGTGAGGGCAGCTGACGGCCTTTGGATGAAGCAGGTTCTTATTGCAGCGAACGATAATTGATTGGAATATGCGAAATCCAGAAAGTACATACCTGGCGGGCATTGTGGACAGAGGTTTTCTTGCAGGTCGTCGTCGCTGTTGTCAGCGTCACTGTCGTACTCGTCACTGTTGTCCACGTCACCCCGGTCAGCAACCGGTAGCGGGAACTGCAGAAGTCGGGTGTACACGATATGTTAAAGGGGAAAGGTGAAAATAACTTTTCGGAAGGGCTGCTAATTGGATAGTAGAAGGACGGGAAACGCGATGGTCACGAGGCCGGTCAGTGAAACGGTCAAGAGATTGTTTATAAAACACGACAGCTTCGTCGTGAAGTAGGACCTCATAGCAACTCACCGGATCCTTGTCGAATATGTTCTCCTTGTCGGCTTGTGCAAGGTCCTCAGGGTCCCTTTGCTTGTCGGGGTTCTCCTTCAGGAAGTCCTGAGCGGAGAGCAAAGAAAACAAAGATGTATTTTAGCGAGTGACATGCTATTGAACCGTCAGAGCCTGCCTTTTACATATTGACAACCGGAAGCGTTTCTTTCTTCGTCACGAGTACTTTATGAAAGCCGGAAGGCGCTCCCAGTACCGGATGTCTTGCAATGTTTTCTCAATGAACATGAAAGTCACGAGATGTAAGTCCAGCTCTCCTTGACAACGGGCAGAGCAACTTCGAGAGACTCGCGTCTTGCAAGATGTCGTTCTCTGGACGAAAATGGAATACGTCAAGGATCAGGATCGTTGTGAAGATGGTGCCAGCAATCCTCGGGACGAATGAGAGATGGCAGGTTGTTCACTGTAGCCGACTTCGGACATCAAAGCGAGTTCCCATTGTGGAGGCTTCTGACGGGACAAGCACAGATGGCGTTTAGGCGTCCTACCTCCACCAGGGCATTCAGATCACGATTCCTGCTGACGGCGGTCAGTTGGCCACGACACTTCGGACACGTGTTGGACCGCTTGACCCAGCCGGAGAGGCAGGCGGCGCTGCAGATGATCGGATGACGGGGCCTGTCAAAACCTTCTGGAAAGAATGAAGGATCCAAGGAGTATGAGCAATGCAGTTTTGGTCGGAATCAGGGGCTGGTCAAAGGTTTGCAGAAGCTCTGAGAAGGTAGCACAGACGGAGAAAAGAGAGCCACCAAAGCATGTACCTTGTTGAAAAGGCTGTACAACAAGGGCCTGCATGATGACGTAACTTGTAGTCCACATGTCCTCAAAACGGATTACAGTCACCTCATAAATCGGATGTGGAACATAGCTCACCAAAATGTGTGGAGGCAGGGAATGGTTGACACACAGTTGTGCCAGATGTCGTGGCAGATGCCGCACTCGAGCTTCTCCGACTTCTCGGCTTCACTCAACTCAATGCCCTGCGAGGTGCATATGCCGTCAGAAGAAAGCCTTTTGAGACTGCCGACTTTGGAGATGCCTCTATGGCCTCTGCTGGTGCCCACTGAATGACAAAAGGTCCAGATAGGCTGTCTTTCTTTGTCAACCATCTGACTTTATGTGGACACATCCGTCTGCCAGAACTCAAAGCAACAGGAGGGGAAAACCGCGTGAATCATGTGGGAATGAGGCTGCCTAACATCACCTTCAAGCGTTTCAGCGGGGATCCATTGATTGATGTTTGCGTTCCCCCTTGCATAGATGACCCTGTCTGAAGGGAGGATGCTCGGCTCGGACTTGCAGGTTGTGCAGACGCTTCCGACTGGCTTGCCTCCTGCAAACATATGGACTTGCATGTAACTTCTTTAAGTACTGCATAGGGTGTGAAAGTTGAGTTTTCAAATGTCTGCTTCAGTGTCACAAGACGGTCGTTTAAGGAAGAATGCTCTTCATGAATGGCAGCTGAACTGCAGCTGAATTGCTATGTCAAGTTCAACACGAGAGAGAAGTCAAAAGGGACAATGTGCGATTTAACAAGCATCAATGTGACCAGGCGCCAAGCGGACTGGTTTCCGAGGGTGCGGGACTAAGAGGGAGGCAACTTCACTCACTTCATGTGTGCGCTTCTTCGTTTCCGTCACCAGAAATATGTATTGGGGACAGCCTGCAGACAGGGTGGGCATCACTCATAGGTCCGCAAGACTGGATCCAATAGGCAATTTGAACAAAGCCAGCTCAGTTACTTCTTCTTGGTTGGCTAGGACTAGCCCCTGTCAACAGCTCTGGTTTCAAGGGTTGCCCAGACTCTTCTGTAGAACCTAGCCGTCAAAGATTGGTGGATAGAAAACCTGTCCTGAACGACATGGTGTAAGGACATAAGGCCCAAACTTTTGATAATGCTGATTGGCTTGAGCTAAGTCCAAGCAAACAGAGATGCTTTGGAACCAGTCAGTGTTCCGTACCAGCCTCAGGCACCCCCAGCGTAATCGTATCCTTGTCCGCCATTTTGACCAATCTGCCTTTCTCAATTGAAGAACCATTAAGCTGAAGACCAGTAGAACTGCAACAAGCACAACGCAATGGCAGCCTCAGTCTTCCTAGCTGATTGTTGCCTTCTAACACATAGGCGCTCATAGACAAAGATTACGTACTTTGTGATGGAGCTTCGATCTAGAAAGCTAAGAACGTGCTCTTCTGTCCGTTATTGCCTGGGATGCCATGATGCCCAAACGTACAGGCAATCTCTGACAAGAGCAGCAAACTAGGAGTCGCACTCCCTGGAATCTGTCGTACCACCAATCGTCAAAAAGGAGTTGTTCAGTATACCTCCAATTCTCAATTTGAGCTCCTTCGAGGGCATCTTTCAGAAGGCGACAGTGCTGTCGGCTGACTTTGGGGTTATCCCCCGCATGCTTTCTTCCAATGATGTGTTCGGCATCTGCCAGTATGATATCGGGCCATTTGCCAGGGTCCAGGCTAGCTGCAAGAGGCCACGCAACAGAACCTGGTCAGATTGGATTGAGGCAGCAAACACTTGGCTGTTCAAAGACTGTGGAAAGCAGGCTGTTGCACAGAATGTGGCACATATTCCACAGTAGTTTTGGCAAACAGGGCCGCCCTCACATAGCTCTGGTCGGGCAGCAGGTTAGCGATCTGAGAAGGATCAAGCTCCTGCTTTGCAGAGGGTTTCTCATTAGAAAGCATCCAAAATTACCACAAGCAGCTCGCAAGATGTTCTGGGGACTAGCACAACGTTCTCCTCCCCTTATCCTCTTCAGATAGAAAATGTAGCATTTCTTGGTAATTGGCGGCACTTCGCTTTGAGAAGCTATCTGCAGGAAAACGCTTTAAGAGACAATTACCAAGGCGACCCCACGCCTTTGTTTCTTGCGCCTGCGGTTGCGGCAACTCCATGGTGCCCTCTTCGTCAGCAATGTCCGGCTCTTGGGTATCCTCAGCCAATGCTGCAAGATTTTGTTCTCGTTCCCGACAACCTGCTGACGGTTCAACCGAAGCGCTCGCCATGTGGACTCGATTCTTCCAGGACTCAGGAGTTCCTCGGACCTCCCTGCTTCAGTGCTTGAGACTTGAGTCCCTGAATGAGAGCGCCTCCCCAAACCCTAGAATCCGCTTGCTTCAAAGTGAAAGTCAGCGTGGGCCGTTGCTCCTTTCGTTCAACGTCTCAGATTGCTTGGGATAAATCGACGGTCCATCTTCCTGGCTTACGCGTCATCCGATGAGAGGTAGGTCATATCGACGGTCGACGTTTGCAGATTTCCCTTCAGGATAATGACAACAGACTTGTTGAATCTGAACAAACTGCACAGTGCACTGAGTGCAGACTCTGCAGCCTAGACTCAGACTCAGAGTGCTCATGCAACAGTTCTTGCTCAATGCAAAAACTGTTTGTCAATTGTCAAATGCTGCTCAAATTGTCCAGCGTTCATTTTCAGCGCATGACGCGGGTACAACTGTCAGCTAAGATTATGTTCCGAGTCTGATAACAGGTTGCAGAGGCGCAATCAAAATGGAGAAGCTATCCAGGGCTTCCTCTGCCACTGGATTCGACAGATTACCTGACCACCTGGTCACTCGCATTTTAGTAGCAGCAAGCTCTGGGATTGTCGAGGGGCTGTGTCGATATAGGACAGTTTGTTCGCGCTTCAACAAGATCGCCGCTCAAGCGGAGAGGGTGACTTGCCAATTGGAGGATGCAGGAACGCTGAGAAGCGGAGTTGTGCGATACCTCCAGGACTGTGGTGGGTTAAAGTCCCTTTGTTTCACCAGCCCAATCAACAACGCAGGTTCCATCCCAGATATCTTCTGGCCCGCAATCAGCGGAGCAACCCCCAGCCTAACTCATTGTGAGATCTCTCACGCAAACTTGTGTCCATCTGACGTTGCCAGTGAAGAGCCCACCCACGAACTGCTGAGAACCATGGCAAAGTGTCCTCAATTACGGCTTTTGAAACTAGACAGCTGCCGCGCGCGCTTAGACAAGCCCGTTTCAGCTCAGTACACCTTCAAGTCCCTCACCAGTATCGAGCTCTCTGACTGCTACCTGGAAGACTCCTGCCTGCAAGGCCTGATGAAAGCGTGCCCGTACTTGAAGAACCTGGCTCTGGATGGCATAAACGGACTTGTTTTTCCAACGATATCATCAGGCTCGATTGAGTCGCTGCTTCTTAAGCCATGCGACGACATAGAGAATGTGCGCATCAGAATGCCGCAGCTCGTGCATTTGGAAGCCATATTCATTGATAGGCTTTGGATTGACGCTCCAAATCTTGTGGAACTCATATTGGACACCTGCTGGGAAATTGAGAGAGAGGTGCCATGGAAGGTTGCCACTTTGGAAATTAGAGAAGGGCCAAGATCACAAGAGGAATTGGACCAAACTCTAAGTTTATGTCCTGATGCGAGAACCGTTATCTTGGGCGACGCTTTCAATGGTGATGCCTATCAGGACGGGGTGGACCTTGTAGAGCTTCTTCAACCTTTTCGGCACCTTGAAAGTTTGACGCTCCCCTCTGACATGCACCCTTTCATTGCACATCCAAAGCACGAAGGGCCACTCCTGTTGTCGAGATTTTTTTATCTCAAGAAGTTGAAAATTGGTCTCAAAGACATGGACGCAGAGTACGATCTTGGTATGGAACTCGTTAAGCTTGCCCCAAACTTAGAAAGTATTGTCATTGATGTCAGGGACATGCTTGACGGGGAGGTAAATGACCTGGTAAGGTCGTTCCTAGAAATCCAAAAGCATTATCCCCATCTTGAGGTAGTTGTTGAGTGGCCGAAGGGTCTGAGTGTAGGGGGATAGGTGTTCTTGTGGAGGGTTGGTGTTCTTCGATGAAAGCGTTGGGTGGGCATCAAATTAAGCTCCTTGAGTACAAGCTGGTCAATCTGATTTGATATGTGTTCAAGCAATGTAGAAAACAGTCTCGGTTCATGCATAGCCGTTGCAATCTTTTGGTAAAGACTTGGCTGTCAATAAGCAATGCAACATTTTCTATGTTGGGTAGGTTCGGTCAATGTCCTGTGCATAATTATTAGTCGGTTCCTTGCGTTTTTTCATTGCAAACGCGTGAAGCTCTGCATGTAGTCCGCGACAACCATGAATCACTTTGGTCCAAACCATACGCTCACGGGACGGCCAGTCCGTTGATCAAGACATGATGAATGGTTTGTGAAAGTTAACTAAGCGGATCAATCTGATTCAAATTTGACCATGTTGTGCCGCCGTGTCTCCCTGACACATGAATGCAGCTTATCTGAATTCCAGCTGCATGGTCGATCTGGGCCAGACCTGGCATGTGACTCCCGCGGGCCCGGCGCCTAGACGTACCCTAGGTTTCAACTGCTATAATGACGGTACCATGATTGGTTGTCGGATCGATCTCGGATCGTGCTTTCGATAAAATGTTCATGTGCACGATGCAACCAATGGATATATGGCCCTTAAATTAGTTCGATCCAAATGCATGTGATCGTCACTCTTGCCAGGAGTTCGCGCATATATACGTAACCTGGCCGCCGACTCTCATTCAAACATCACCGTCTATGCAAGATTCAATGCAGCGGAGAGTGTTATGCTATAAAAGCTGAGTTCATGTTGTCCTGCCAATCAATGCAGCTAGTCCCTTCGACATTGCTCATACACACGGTCGGCCTTTGTGATGCATGAACCCAGACAACCAGGCAGTGACTACAGTACGACACAACTTTGTGTCGCAGCTGACCAGCAACTTTTGCAATCCGCAAACAGGCTGTACCCGTAATGCATGCATACTATATACAAACCGCTATGTTGGATGTCTTTCAGCATGCCCCGCAAGCCTGCATGCTTAACTGACTTATGACTACTCTAAGAAATACTACCGAAGCCATACCTCACCTGATCTATACCGCACGTCTTTCCAGTTTTCACGTATTTACAAAAGCAATGTCCCTCACTGCTCCTCAGTTTGCCCACCTGAGGTAATCTCCTCAATGTGACACATGCTCTACAGTGTGCCACCAGCTAAACAACATTGTATCAGAACAAAACCCTCTTAACCACCGATATCAGGAACTTCAAAAGTACTCAGCACATCTTTCTCTTCGTATCCGACTATACTCGAGGAGGCTACTATACGTCCGATCCGAAACACCCACGAAAAGGGCCTCCCCGTCGGGGCTGAAAGATACCCCGGCAATCTGCAAGGCCGAAGTATTCAGAGGCATGTTACAAAACAATTCAATGCCCTATTCGGCAGACAGACCTCTTGGCAAAGGCGTTCACAGGCGGCATCTGGCAGGGATGCGACTTTGAGCCCAAATTGAAACCACCCACCATGCTTCAGAGCCTCTGGAAACAACAGTCTGTGTGGACGACACACTTCCTGGATCAACTCGAGGGCTGAAGCTAGACCAGAGCTGTGTCAAACTGGTCACAACGTCTGAATGAACGCAAACGATATTCGACAAACAGCCTTGTACTAACATCTCAAGATCCTCGAGCTCCTGACACCGCCCGTTCTTACGCGTTTTGGTTTACGAACGCACGACATTACAAGAAAAATTGAAGAGCCTTGTCCATACCTCCCCAAAGAGGTCAATTTCTTGACACCGCCCGTAGTCCCTCCCCGTCTCGAAGACGTGGACAAAGTCCGCGGGCTCCACCATCGCCAGGTGCCGCCCGTCGCCCGAGAAGCGCAGCGACCGGATGGCGCCGATGCGCCCCTTCAGCACCTTCACCGACTCCTTCAGGTTTCGTACGTCCCATAACCTGGGGAAGGGTTACTGTGAAGTTAGGGTCATAGATAGCATGGTAGAGGAAAGCGGGGCCAGGATATGAGCTGCTGGAAATTGGTGCACAGACCTGGAGCGACAGAACGGAAGCAAGGAGATCACTCCAGGAGCTGCACGTATCACCCCCATACCAACTTGCCCGCTTTCAGCCCCATCGCAAGAAACAGCGGGGTGAGGACAATCTGGCATAAGGCAAGCTGGTAATAATTTCGAACAGGGCAGCATTTAGGACCAGGAACTGCAGGAGGACCCGAATGAAACATAGAGTGCATGATCACGTGATTGGGCGAGAAAATCGCGCTTCAGACAAGAGGCTCGAACAACAGAAAGAAGGGCACCCGGATGTTAGAAAGAGCAGTAGGGGGAATATCGGGATTAGCCAAAAGCAGGGACCCGGAGGATGGGCATCAAAAGTAACCGCAAACGACGGACGCGAAACATCCCAGTGAAGTATCGTGGATCGTCGAACCTCGCAACGAAACGGATTGCTGAAAGCAGCTTCGATTCTTCCGACTATGTGCGAAACGATTATGACCAGTACGACTGCAAAGAAGACGCCGCCTCAAAGCCGCAAACAAATCGCACCCGAAACAGAATTTGAACCCTCCGCAACACCAGCTTAAAATAAGCTAAACTCGCCTCCCACTTCCGTTGATTCATCTCGCATCACGCATACCACCTTTAGTGTCAAAGTCGGTGGTCAGCACCAGGTCAGCCTGAGATTCTTCCTGAAAGCCAGCTTGGAACGCATAGCATGGGAAAAAGATCTAGCCTTAGTCAAAAATGCTCTCAACCACCACGCCAGACCCCAACGCTGAAACACCTTAACCTCCAACACAACCCTTATGCCAAACAGCACAACACTCCCTGAAAAGGTCTACCCACCCCACTCACCTTGTCGTCGTGTCTTGGTTACCCGTCGCAAACACCCGCCCGTCTGGGTGCCACGCCGTCGCAAACGAGAAGTCCAGATGGCCCCGCAGGCTGGCCACCGGTTTCCCCGTCTGGAAATCAGCGATCAGGCCCTCGGGATCGTCCCCGACCACGCAAACCAGCTTCCCGTCAGGGCTAACCGAGGTGTGGTTAACCGCCCAGGGAAAGGAGAAACGGGAGAGGATGGCGAAGGAGGCGCCGTCGAAGACGCGCACGATGCAGTCGTTGTTGGACGTGAGCATGCGGACAGCCCCGCTGCAGAAAACAAAGAAGCGGTGTTAAGTTGGTTCTGAGAATATTGATATTGAAGTCTCGGTTTTGATAAGGATGGAAACGAAAGATTGCCCTGTCGAAGACGCGGACGAAGCAGTCGGTGTTGTGCCGACTGCCTCACTGCAAAAAGAGAAGAAGTGGCAAGCGACTCTGCCTCAAATCTTCAAAAGAATGCTTCGAGAAATCGAGGGTGTCGAGTTGTGAGGAGGCGTAAGATGCTGGCACGGAGAAACGTGCAATTATCAAAGGACGTGAGACCGCCCAACTGCAGAGAAAAGGGAAGCGGTGATCTCCTGAGCGTTTAGTCTCGATCTCCAATTTTGACAGCGAAGGGTGACGGCATTGAAAGCCCGGCCACTGCAGTCGTTGCTGGGAGCCCGCAGACCGCCCCGCTGATGGGAAAGACAAGGGCGATGGGCAATTCCAAGTTCCGAATTCATACCTCAATTTTTAGGGCTTCGTAGTCTTTAATGCCTAAAGGACGAGCTTCCTAGAACGCGCATGATGCAGCCAAACCGTCCCGCTGCAGAAAGGCGACGAGCTCTGAGCCTCTTGGTCGTTCAAACTGCAACACTAAGTTTTCTGCAATCCCGATCTTTACAGGTTGTAGATACGAACAGTCGGTAACACGAGGATGCGATCACCGGTTATAAAGAGTTGCGGGAGGCCCCATTGGAGAGAGTAAGGGAGAGGAATGCGAAAGCAGCTGTAGATGGGACGTTCAGACAGGGCCCGCTGTTGCAACGAGGAGCAACTAGCATCGACACCGGGGCGCTTCAAGACTGGCGGCGCATTCTTAGATATCGCTCCCTGAGGACTTTGCTTGTACAGACTTTGTTAGCAATCCGAGCTACCAACATTTGCGACTTTGTCAGCATTTCGAGCTTGAGACGAACGCGTGGCGGATGAAACATTAAAGTTGGGAAAACCTTCCAAACAGGAACCTCGAAAAAACCAGAAAGGCGCAAATCTTCGCGACAGCATGACGGTCCCCTTGTGCCCCAAGGTAAGCGTCGTGCTCTGTTGGTGGCACGGAGACTCCCACTCGAGGTGCAAGAAAGCGGGACGCAAAAAAGCGGTCTTTACCTTGGACTGTCCGTGACCTCAATTGCGTTTGTGATTGCATTGTCTGCGTGCGTGATGCGGCCGCTGTACGAGACCGTGGGAGTCTCCAAGTTCTGCACACAGGTTGCTGTCTACTTCAGTAGTGGCTTTTGCGGCTCGCTAGAGGTTAGACTATGTCTACGTTAAGTGGTGCTCAACGAAAATCAGCAGTTCCCTCGAAAAAATTAACGGGGGGGTGTTTTCTCAACGGGACGCCCGAAGAAGGGCTGCTTTCTCCTGATGAAACCGCCTTCTCCACAGACAAAACGACACTGTTTGGGTTGAGACAAAGAAGATCTGTCTGCCTGAAATTTCCAGAAAGCCTAGATGCGGGGCAGGAGTTCGTTTATCGTAATCGTCATGATGCAAAGATCCAACGGTGTTTTCCCTAAAGCCGGACCCTGATGCTTTCAAAACTCCGAGACTTGCGAACCGCACCACAGAATCCTGAGGTCTCAAGTTCAACCTGATGCCTTGCGCAAAGCGTACCTTACAGACCATCTCGCCGTGGAACCCGCCTGCCACCAGCAGGTTCTTGCTGACGCACATGGTGCTGATCTGCACCCGCTCCATGCCGCCCGTCGGGATCCCGCTCAGCTGGTCCTGCCAGCTCTGGGGAGGGGAGAACAGAGACTGACGTCAGCAAGGGCAATATTTGGCTCAGCTGGTCCTGCCAGCTCTATGGACGGGGGAACAGAGAATGCCGTCAGCAAGGGATATTGCCAAACACTGAGTCGCACACTTCAGAAGGACAACGCTGACTTTGACACAGCGCTCTCTGCCTCGTTGTTTCAGGGAATCTCTGGTCCCTGTCGAGAGTTCTCCTCACTGTGATCCCCTATCGGACGCAAATATTGTACCAGACCTCGTGCACGTTTTGTTATTGCACGTGACGAGGAGAGCATGACTTTCTCAAACAGCCAGTCAGGCCTTTTCCACCTAGCATTGACACTACTTTTGTACTCTGAAAGCTTCAAAGGCTAGGCCGATGTACGTTCGATGATCACACGACGTGCAATGAATGCTGACTGGCGTTGTCGTGTGTTAACACGAATACACGTGCCTTACCTGTCCACTCAGATTGATGACCTGTGTCACTTTGTTCTGTAGTGGCGACCAGTGGTTGATCGCAAAGTGGTGCATCACGTAGATGTCGTGCTTGGAGTTCGCCCACACCAAGTTTCTCAACTGTCAAGGAAGGGATTTCAAGTCTTTTATCGTCCCTCGTTAATTACTCACGTGTCAGAGATAACCCTCAAGAGCCTAGACGATCAGGCTCATCTTCCTTGTATGATTCCATCAGAATTTCGCGCCAACTTGAATTGAATACAACAGCGTATCTTGTCAAACAGAAATCAAGGCATACTAAACCGTGGAAAGTGTTGCAGAAGAAAAGCCTGGGTCACCAGATGGACAGGGACAAGACAAATTAGCAAAGACAAGCCTGTTCACCAAATAGACAGACAGACAGACAGACAGACGCTAGACACACAGAGGCCGAACAGAACCAGCAACAGCGCGCAATCATTTCTACAAGTTTGTCGGAACCTGTTTGCGTTTCATCCGCTACTTAAACTTGGGCCTTCTTTTTCATGCCCTACATTAGGCCTCACTTACCCGAGCATAGCAAGACGTTCCCAACTCACAGACGTTCAAACCTCACAGTCCATAAAGGAGTGGGCCGACTGACCGATTACAAGACCTGCTACACAACGGCTCACACTCTGGTGGGAATCGTCCACTCCTGCCAAAACTGTTGCCTATCTCTGTAGACCTGGCTTCCCTGCAACTCAAATGGCTGGCCGCGAGCTTGCATGTCATCATTGCAACCTATTTGTGATCTAACCAGGGGCGATCAACTGTTTGTTATCTCACCAGGGGCGATCAACTTGCCTACCGGCATCCAGCTCGCTCATAATCACGCGGTCGTCTCGTAGAGACTTGCTTAACTAATTTCAGGAAACCAGGATCAACTTGCATCTTCCTGGTTATTCGAGCGCTGGACCACCATCGGCACAATAGAGTTCTTGATCCAGATTGTGCATTTGTACATATAGCCGAGTAAGACTAAATTGAGATCAACGAGAGAAGACGCCAGAGGATGCACACATGAGATCTGAGATAGTCCATAAAAACGCACCTGGAAGTGGACTACAGTCGACTTCACCCCCCGCGCATTGTACTGGAAGTCAAACAGCTTGGCACCCGAAGTGACGGGCTGGCAGACCTGCGAGGATGGGGAACACCAGAAAATCAGTATTTCCGGGGGCTTATAGGCACACAATAGCCAGACAGGTGAAGATGCACGTGAACCAGTATCTGTATATGGTCTAGTTCACTTTTGGAAGCTTTGCCCAGACAAGAAAGATTTAAGTATTTGTTCGTTAATAAATTTTCACACAATGTCCAACTGTTTGGATGTACTGTGGGGTTAAGCTGCCTGGCGCTAGTAGCATCTCAGAAGTTCTCTGGGCGTGCGGACAAGGACAACTTGGCTGCTGCAGTCAGGTTAGGGAAAGTGTTTTGGCTTAGTCAAAATAACCTGATTCAGGGGCTTTTGGTCCAAGGCTTTTTGAGGAAGGATAACGACTGATACGTGCTAGAAGAGTGACATGCTTTGCGCAATGCCTTCTCCACTCCTTGGTTGTCAAAGTGGCTACGTGGAGAAACCAGGCAAAAGATGGGGAGGGGGCAAACTTACATTCGAAAAGTTGGCTGTGTGTCCCTCATTTTGAAGCGAAAAAAGGGAGAATTTCAAAGAAGGAACGAACCTTTTCTAGCTCTTCATGCGCAACATCCAGGTTCTCATAGTTTTTGTACTGTTGCAATCGGGTCTCCCTGTAACGTTCCCTTGTGAAGTGCATTCGCTCCCAAGGGATCCCCTGAATATCCTTGCCTTGTCTGTGCTGAGCCGCGGTGGTGTCTAAGGATTCTTCGCCCTGCACAGATAGTAAGAAAACGTCTTAAAAACCATGCAGATGGATTGTAATGGTGAAGAATATGAGCAATGAATCAAGTTGAAGACATACAAGAGAATGTATTGTACTGCCAAGTCTTATCCTTCAAGCCTGTCAGAATCTGCAGGAATAGGAGTTTTATGCGACCTAGTTCAACGACAATGGGCAGGATGATCGGGCCCCTTGCAGAACTTTTTACTATAAGTGGGCTATGGAACTTAAAATCAAAGTGACGACGATGTGGTGGTTTGCAAGAAAAAGGGACAGGAAAACTCCCTACTCTTTCACCTTCAATTGCATGTGAAATAGACAGATTGAACTGCCAGATTCCTTAATGAACATGACTGCCACCACATGCCCTCTTCACAAAGTTTCAACATGCATTGGATTTCAGAAACAAGGAAAGCACCATGCGTTTCAGTGATGTCAACCATAAGGGTCCCCAAGGTTCACCTGCGGGTTTGAAAACATTTTGGCTGAAGTAGTGAAAATGACAAAGGTTTCGTGAGAAATGTTAGTCTTCAGTCGAAACAGGTTTACAGCACTCAGCAACGTCTACTTTTCATAAGCAATGGAAAGTGCAGCTAAACAACAATCTACAATGACACGGGGCTGGCTCCTCACCTCTTCTTCCTCTGCATCCGAGTCACTCGGAGATTCTTCCATCGGTTGCAAGTTGCTCTCGTCCTCGTGAGACTCTGCCTCAGACCCGACCTGCTCCCCAGCCAAATCATCTTCTATTTCATCGTCACTAAAGTCCGCAAAGTCAAACTCGTGGTCCATGTTTCACAAAAGTTGGCTGTGCCCTGCAGAGGGGGTGGGGTTTGACGAGCGCCAAGAAGCAAAACCTAGCAAACTACCACTAAAAGCAAACGTTGACCCCGACTCTAAATGTTCCAAAAACTCAGACGGAACTTGGGAACCGAGAAACTGGCTCTCTGATTTGTCAGACTTGCCCCGTCTCTATCAAGTGAGAGAAACTTAGCATTTCTCAAACCGCAAATGCAGCAGCACAGCTGGTTCTATGAAGGGTGAGAACCAGCTAGCTAGAACTTCGCCAGATCGTTAGGCACCAACCATTGCTGAAGCAAGAAAGCAAACGGCGGCCCTTAGAATTTTACAAGGGAAGGGAACGCCCTACAGTCTACTGCCACTGGCAAAGCTGGCAAGCAAAGCAAAGCTGCATATAGGCTATGTATGAGGCGCTGGTATAGGGTTTGGCAGAACCCTAAAGCCTGTGAAATTGAGTCTGGCTCAAGGTAGCTGGCGCGCGCGGGCGCGAGGGCATGACCGGAGTCCGCTGCACGGCGGGGCGGCGCCGGCCTGGCATATTAAAGGCGGCCAGCGCCGGGGGCTCGTCGCTGACGGATTTACAGGCACAAAAAGAGGGTCTGCGCAGAACACAAAAGAATGTGAAGTGAAGGCAGTCGTTGAAGAGGAACTTCTATTATGGCTATTGTTACTAAGGTAGAAAGAGCCGCTGAGCATCGCTGCACCGTACATCTGCATGATTGATGGTCCTGCCATTCATATAGTAGAATACGGTCATTCTCGCAGATTGCATGCAAATCTATGGACAGGTGGTCTGCAATAGCAAGGTGTGCAACCAGGCTTGATTCACCACCGACCGGCAGTGCAGAATATGATTAGGCACAGCAGGCAACCTGCGAAAAGGGCATGGGGATCTTCCGAGGAGCTGGCAATCAATCTTTGCCTAGACGAAAGATGTCATTCTCATCATCCAATTGTCCCCTGGAACGGGGGCAGCTTCGGATGATCTGAGAGTTACATATGGACTGGGGCAGCTTCGGATCAATTGAGAGTTGAGCTCGCAAGATGGCTCTGAGCTAGTTTATTGATCGCCGCACATGAGCTACCTGAACTCCCAACACTCGGGATTCTAAATAGAAAGGACACAATGTACTTGCTTGTCCTGTTCAGAGCTCTATGGCTGCTCTCAGTCTGGCTCGTCTACGCCGTGGCTCCAGACTTTCTTCTCCTATTCTTCAGTCTCGCGTTGCTTCCATTCCAGCCCAAGGCCCAGCCTTCAGTCAGCTCATGGCTTTTCTTGGACGATTCCAACATCATCCAGCTCAGCATCATCCACCTCCTTGTCCTGGGTAAGCTCGTCATTTACATTGCTTAGCTCTGCCAAACGATTCGCCATCTTCACAGAGTGCTGCTCTTGCAGTCTGCCTGAGCATAAGGAGTGTTTGAGAATAGTCTGGGAAGCGGGCTGCATGTAGATAAAGGAAGCTTCGTTTCCGACAGTCAGTGGTCAGCTTTCGAACGGGGCAGCAGCTAATGACTTCTGTAGAAAGCCCCTGGCATCTGGATGAAAGAAGACAATCTATGCACCGTGTGGCTAAGTAGATACTGATGTCAGAAATCCAGCAAGTTCACACTCATCTCAGTGTACAATCAGGTGCGCAGACACAGCCTCTTAAACGCATTTTGTTACAGACTCCTGGCTGGTAGACGAGCAAGCCTACCAGCCAAGCGAGGCCGTCTTTCTGGTGAAATCCTCTAGGTCTCCTACAAACCCAAAGGAAATGACGCTTTCAACCCTGTAGACTTGAAATTTCAACATCCTGTCCTGCAGAAACATGCAAGCGGCAGGTCCAGAAGCGCGGCCGTGCCTTGCAGCGCCCCAAGACCGCCCGCGCCACCAGCAGCCTCCTCCGAGCGATCCTCAACGTCGCACTCCTCCTCTCCCTTGCGCCCCCACTCTTCTCCAACATTCTTCCAAGCTTCCTCACGTCACAGCCAGGGTCGTCTGAAGGGAGGCAGGAGGCAGCAGCATTGAGTAGGGGAAGGAATCCGGGAGGGTACTGTTGGGGAGCAGATGGAGGAGCCTGTGTGCTCTGGGTGTTCTTTGTGGCGAAACTGGTCCAGGAAGTTGCAACTGGGGTACGTGTTGTGCTGGAGAGTCACCCCCACATCACAACATTGGACGTGTTTGCGGTGCTTAGGAACAACCCGCCCACGTATTGGGGTGAGTGACCAGTCCCCGCACCTTGAAAAGAACCTCTTTTGCAAGGGCAGTGTGCTGTGGATGTTGTTGTCATGACAGACTCCGTTAATGCGGTTTCACATGGCCAATTGTTGCTACGGTCCAAAGATAGGCTCTCGAGAGTAAACATCGTGGAATCTTTCGTTTATTATCAAGTTGGGGTCGACCCGAGGGGGCTGCTACAATCGAGCACCATAAAATGTTTCTTTTTTGAAAAGCCTCGCATCTAGTTAAACAATCAATGGGGGGGCAATCTAACATTTCCGGGGTCTGAATTGTTTGGCAACCAAAGAGCCAGGGTTGTCAAAAGAAACTGCACTCCTGATGGCGAAGCCACGACCGCTGCAAGCTAGTCAACCCTCAAGCTTCACACTTCGGATGATGTACGCCCTGAGAAAGTTGTCTTTTGGCAACTCGCCAACCGCTCGTCTCCCTTGCCCTAGATTAACTTGCAGTATGCATATACTCTCAAAATTCGTCTCTTCCTCTCGAAAGAACAAGAAGAACCGTTTCGAAAAATGGGAAGCGGGCATGTGTGCCTTTCGTTATTGCAGGAAAGAGGAGAATTCGTAGTATTCAAAAAGGGACGTAAAGCAAAACGGTATCACCTCCTATGATTGCGTCAGTAAACATTCCGTCAAAACACAATCTGGGCTTATTCTTATTGCAGTCTGGTGGCTCCTGGTTCGTCACAGTTCCGGCCCAGCCGCCTGTTTTGCGGCCGCCCTTGACTGCGCCTGCCAGGTCCTCATTCACACCGGCAAGGTCGTCGGTGTGAATAGCCACTTCCTGGCCAGCTGCCTGGTCTTTCCCCAGCTAGCCCAAGTGCTGTACCTGCTTATTCACACCGCCTGCCCGCTCCCACTCCTGGTCAGCCTGCCAGGGGTGGTGGTGGGAACGGGCGCGTTTGTCTGGACGATGGCAGGGCGCTCGAGTGAGAGCACTCCCGCAGCTTTCTCGCTACATCTGTCAATGCCAAAAAGAAGCATAAAGCTGCTCTGATCCGTTATTTGTGGACCCTGCGAGGGACCACCTTCACCGTCCTCGTTGTTGAGACGTTACGTCTTTTATCGACATGCCGGAGAAGGTAGTATTGAAATCTATGGAGTCGAGGCCATCTCTTTGTGGATTACTCCAATACGGATGTACGAGGGGAACGAAGCCCATATCAAACTTTCTCAATTGATTATGAAGGGCAAGGGATCTCCGAGATTTTGGGATTTGAAGCTCGTTCACCTATCGGTGTTGCGGACAGATGTTTCAGGAAAGACGGCGTTATCGACGGTCTCACACGCTCCTTCCGTTCTTTTGCAGCTGAAGGCAGCACGGCTGCATCCGACCGCGTCTTCGACGCCGCTTATGGCTGGTCGCTTATCATAGGCACCTGCCAGCGCATCGCGTATGGCGTCCTCCTCCGAGACAAGAGCGAGACCTGGAGCTTCAGCCGCAGAGTCCTCTACCTGATCCTGCGCGAGAAAAGCGCGGTCTGGGAGATCCCGCGCAAAAGCCTAGAACTAGGGGCGCGGCTCGGGGGCGGGGCATACGGGGAGGTGTATCTCGGCAAGTGGCGCGGATCCACGGTCGCGGTGAAGCGGTTCAAGCGGCAGAGCAAGTCGGAGTGTGAATACGAGCGGTGAGGCTGACGCAAGAGGGTTCGGCTCTTGAGCACTTAGGCTGCTGGAAACTTGCAGGGCTATGCTTTCCCTGTTTACCTCGGAGATTTGAAGCGTCATGCTTCTCCAGAACTGAAGGTCGACCATGCTTCAATCAAGGCAAAGCTTTTGGTGCGCACATCCATTTTTAGAGACGAGGAAAGAAAACGGAGTCCATAAGCTGGAACAAGGCGCAATGACTTCTAGCCGTATCACCAAGAGTGGATGCATCTTCCATCCAGCTGTCGAGACCTCGAAGCGTACGACGTCAGCATACACAACTCGCACTTCAGAGAATGTATTCGCAAGAGAAGGGCTTTACCAGAAGAGGCGCCGTGCAAGCAGGCTTTACAGGGAAAAAAGGTATCGTCCTCAATCGGACCCGCTCCGAGTGTGCTGCAAGGAAAGCCGAGGAAAATGAAAGGCCCGGTTGATCACCCGTCAAGTTTCGCAAAGTACACCATTCTCTCTGACGACGTACCGAGCGTTTCATCACCTTGGTGACCTACGAGAGCTCACTTTTATTCTAATTGATTATCGAATATTTTTTCTAGGTATCTGACTTTCAAGGAGGAGGTCAACGTGTTGAGCCGCCTTCGGCACCCCCGGATCGTCGAGTTCATGGGCGCCACTAGCCGCGGGGGGGAGCTCCAGATCGTGACGGAGTTGTTGCAGGTAAAGACAGCATCCTCCTAGGACAGAATCAGCGCCTGTTTACTCATCGACGAAGGGAACTCAAAATTGTGAGAAAAGGTTCTGCAAGCAACTAGCGGAAGGGAAGTTTTGGCTTTCACCATCAAAGTAGATCCGATGTTTAGAGTTAAGCTGGGCTCATCAATCTGCAACGAAAGCTACCAATGTTGGACACTGGCAGGGCCCAACTATGTGATTATGAGCAAAGGCTGCAAATCTATGTCAGCTCAGAACTTTCGCACAAAACCACGGCTGTGATGCCGATTGAGGCTTCACACTCACTACCTTCTCGACTGCATTGGGAAGCTTATGCGACTTCCTGCACGCATTTTACAAGAAGGCACGAAAGGAACTTCTGTTCATAAAGACATCACACTCAGCATATCCCTTTCTTAAGATCGACTTTCTGCACGGCCCCAAGGGCACGCCTTACTTAGAATGAAGCTTCTGAACCTTGACATTTTGCGCAGATTGTTCCTTGAAGCAGTTTGGTAGCTCATACGTCTTTCTGCACGGCCCCACAGGCACGCCTTCCATAGAAAGCCAATAATAAAAGCTTCTGAACACGACTCTCTTTCTCTGACTGCAGTTCGGCAGCTTGTACGACTTTTTGCACGGGCCCAAGGGCATGATCCCACGCAAAAAGGCCCAAACGAAACCTCTAGATTCCGGCAGTTCGCGCTTAGCTCTTCCTCTGATTGCAGTTCGGCCCAAGGCCTAACTCCGCAAGACGACACGAAGGGAATGTACTCAATGTTTGCACTAAAATCTTCCTCTAATGACTAGCACTTTTTACTCAGCCCATCGTCTGAGAACTCAGCGCTTGTTATTCAATCTTCTCTGACTGCAGTTCGGCATCTTGTACGCCTTCTGCACGGCCCCAAGGCCATGCTCTTACACAGAACGACGGGAAAAAGCCTCCGAATCCTGAAAGTTCGCTTCTTCGGCTGCAGTCTGGCAGCTTCTGCGAAATCTGCATGCCCTCAACAAAAACAACCGAAGGAGCTCATTAAAAAGAAATAGTTCGCTCTAAGCTTTGTCTCTGACTGCAGTTCGGCAGCTTGTACGACTTCTTGCACGGCCCCAAGGGCATGATCCAGCGCAAGAAGGTCGCGATGGACGAGCGGCGCGCGGCCAAGATCGCGGAGTCGATCGCGATGGGCATGCAGTTCCTGCACACCAACGAGCCGCCTATCCTGCACATGGACCTCCAGGTGAGACCCTCTTGAGTCGTCGCGCTTTTCTTCATCATTCCTGTCAAAACTCAGTTGTGTTCTCACTCCTCTTTCCAAACGTTTCTAAAGATTCCGGTTGAATATTCATTGCTTCGTCACGCGTCGTTCCTTCAGATGACGATCAGTTTTCTTTGCGCTCCTCTTCTTGTTGTTCCTAATTTCATTTGAGGACGCCTCTTAGGGTCAGCCCCGAGCACATTTCGCTTGTGAAGTAAAAGCTAGATCCCGCGCGATTAGCGCCGAGCCTTTCGAACGTGTCTGCGCGTGATGACTGAAACAAACCTGCTTCAAGAAATTTTCTAACCGTACAAGCCGTGCTCGCATCTTTTTACGGGAGTTGGAACATATTGAATGGGTCACTGAGGGGGTGCTTCGGTTTACAATTGGTGACTTTACTTCTTACCAGAGAAGTCCTTATCAGAAAAGTATGTTAGAAGAATCAAGCCTGCCAGTGCAGGATTGCAACGGAGTGAGAAAACCCGCGGCTGACATTCATCTTCCCTCACAGCCCGGCAACCTGCTGATGGTAGACGTCTGGTCCTGTAAGCTATGCGACTTTGGGCTGTCGAAGTTCAAGTTTAAGAGCAAGGGCGACCACAGGGAGGCGCCACGTGGCGCGCCGCAGTACCGCGCCCCCGAGTTGATCGAAGGCCACTGGGACCTGCTGTCCGAGAAAGCGGACGTGTACAGGTACGTGAAAGCGGATTATTCGAGAACTTGGTTTTGCCTGCTTCCGTTAAGCACCTGTCAAGGTCAGGAACTTCACATGGATTCTTGTCTTCGGTTATTCGTCATTTCTGTGAGGAGACAACGATCCTTGAGGGGGAAGGTATGCGCTGCGAAAAGGTAGGCGGCTTTGTGACAAAAGCTGACGTGCGAAAGTAAACCCAGTTTTTAAGATTTGCGACTTGACGTTGCTTGCTATTTGAGAGAATGGAGTCCTGATGTCTGTGCGCCCTTACGTTGTGGTTTTTGACCGCGCAGGGATCTCAGAAACCACGTAGACAAGTTTCATTACTTTGAACCAAGCTACACCCACATCACGGGATCGGAAGCCCGCGAGCGCCGCAGACTTGGCTTTTTTGACGAACTGAACGGCCTCTTAGATTCCTGAGGAGGAACATCAAGTCCCACGTAGTCGGCACCGTTCCATATGACGCCAGCACCTTGCCTGTACTCCTTGCGGACAAGCTGACAGTACATTCTCTAACTTAGATCCTGATGCCTTGGCCGTTCCGTTTTTGGTTGCAGCTTTGGCATCCTCCTGTGGGAGATCTTCACGTGCCAGATCCCCTGGGACGGCCAGATCATCGAGCAAGTCTTCTATAGCGTATCCGACAATCAGGAGCGGCCCCCACTCCCGGAGAACGCCAGCCCCGCTTATCAGAAGCTCATCCAAGACTGCTGGGCCCCGAACCCCGAAACCCGCCCGACGTTCACCGAGATCTGCGCGCGCCTGCGCGAGCTCGTCGGCAGCGCGGCCGCGCCCGGCTCGCGCGCGGGGTCCTTCACCGAGGCGATGTGCGCGCAGAACGGAGTTCCGCCCGCGCAGAACGGAGCGTCCGCCGCCCACTTTGCCGCGGTCGGGTTGAGCCCCCCGACCTCCCCGGTGCACCGAAGCGGGGGGTCTTTTAGCATGGGGAACGGTTCCCCGCAACTATCCCCGGTCGGGGGAGACTCGGACTCTCCCCGCCGGCGCACGTCGTTCACCGTTCCACGCGAAGACGTGGCCGGAGAACCGTCCACCGAGGAGAAAGCCGGGAAAACGCGAGAGGAAGAAGGCGTTGCCTCGACCGGTGCAGGATCTTCCGGGCACAAGGCCGCGGCGCCGTGGGGCGTCGTCGGCGGGTTGCACCACCATGCGCGCGCGCACAAGAGCCGCTTCTCGTATGCGGGACCTAGGATAGTGACCCCTGATGCCGCACCGGAAGCGTCTTGAGTAGGTGAAGAAGTAGAATATTCCTTTGAGTTGCAGGTAAACTCAGGTAGCCAATCAGGTATGCTGCTGCATAGGCTTTTAAAATTTACGAGCGTGCCCGATCCCAGGAGGTTTATTCAAGATCGCTTACACGTGTCCGGCACTGATTGGCAGACTTATTTGTGAGCGGTTTGTGTATCTAAACGTGTTGTTCAGCGCACTAACCAGATGGACCTAGACGAAGGATTTTGAATAGTTGATACGACGTCAATTGAAGGTCTCTAAAGTGACGCAATTTGTACCAAGGCATTTGGAGCCGACTAAAGCGAAGGGGCCACATCACCGTCTTCCAATATCAAATGCGTTTCTGCATGATGCTAAAAAACTCGCAAGATATCACTGTGCATTCATAAATAAGAAAGGCATGTCTAGAAAACGATGGGGAAAGCTATAGCGTTTGTAGCAGGACAGTACTCATTGTTTCTGGTGGTCTCGGCGGCCGGGCTTGCCGGTGCGCACAAAACGTACCTCATTTCATCTTTGAAGGCAACGTGTCGAACATAAGCGTAGCGGTGCACTGACCCTCTATTCAGAACCGGCTACTTGTTGGGCCCGGGTGCCTGAGTCCTATGATTGGACACTTGGAACCGGTCTCGAAGGGGCGGCCGTCCAATCTTCCGCCCGAGAATGAGGATCGAATCCAATTTTATACTAGGAGAAACTTAGCAGCGCCATTCCGGGCCACCACTTCTATTCCCCACCTTGGGAAGCGCGCGAAAGCCATGCAGTTCATATTCCGATCGAAACTTCGGAAGTAAACACGAAACCCGGCATGCCAGGCGACCGTCCGTTCTCACTTCATAGACCACATGAACGTGCATGCATATAAAGCTCCATCATAAGTTAATTAGCGAGCGCCATGCACTCAAAAAGCCTAGCTCAAAGATGCCGGCACGTCGCTAGGTGCCTGACGTACGTTCGAGTTAAGAGTCCAGACATATAATTGTCATGGGCCATACGTTTGAGCCGTCAATAGACGAATGAATGATCGAACACGGCGCGGCCACATGCAGTCAACGAGTAAGGCCTCGCTTTCATTACGACTTGAGATGGTAATTGGATTTCATTGCATCAATTCCGTTCGAACTCGGATCATACAGCTTCCCAGTTCCTGCAACAATTTCGGGCCGGTGCCTAATTTTTATAAATGGTAACCCTTTAAAAATGACTGTACAGCGATCATTGCCTCCGTCCACAGTCTTCGTGCCTTTTGATACTCTCTTAGCCGCTGCAAGTACTGCTTTTTCCCCGTTCCAAATCGAGCGGCCTCAATGCAACCAGAGCAGGACCCATTTTTACCCTCTGCTTGTAGATCTGCTGCCGCTTGCCCGTCAGATCCATTAGAAGAAAGCGAGGAATCAGCTTTCTGTAAGGTCTCCTTCTCCAGCAGATGGGCGCTTAACCTCCTATCCGCACATTTCTCGCTCTTCCCAAGCGCCTGGGCTCGAACTCGTCCCCAAATGTACTCAAACTCTGACTCAACCGCTGCTTCCGTCAAAATGAAGTCACCCAGTGCAGTAGAAGCGGAGGTAGCTTTTGTTTCAACCCCGATCTGGGAGACCGCCGTATCTAATGCGCTTTCAAATACCGAAATATGCTCAATGTTGGACTTGCCAAGAGGTCTGCTCGCTAGGCTTTTCTCCGGGTCTTCATTCCATTTGACATTGCTTGCGCCGAACCCATCCGAATGGGAGGGCTCCGAGACTTTCGCCACTCTCAAAGCGCTCCGATGAGCGACTTCCGCAGGCATCCGGTTCCGTTCCGGTTCATTACTTATAGACGAAGCGAGGCTCCCGCTGCCCTGAACCGCGCCAAGTAGGCAGGCCTTGCGGAGCTCCGGAATCGAGTCGGCCACAACGTGGACGGCTGCGAATAAGGCCACGTGGCTCAATCAGCGTTAGTTGAGAACGGCAGGAAATTCTGAATCTAATGATACTGTCCACATCTGTTCCTACCCGTGATCGTAGCAGCGAGCATTTCAAAACCTGACGGGTGAGAACCAAATGGTCGCCAAATCATTTAAAAGGAACATCACGAAATAGTAGAACTTTGGTTAAGCAAGGAGATTGATAGAGACAATCCCATTACGGTTCAAATGCGGGTCACGCCTGACGTGGACCGCGGGTACAGAGCCCAATGGTACGATGAAGCAAGATTCTTTTCAAAAATGTCGTCCACGACAATTGCTGGGAGGGATGCGCCTGCCTGAAGTTCCAGAGCAAAGATTCGTACAGATGCCACAGCAGATGGAGACACAGGTCAAACCTTCAATAACGCGTATTCCAACTCATTCGAAGTGAAATTTGGAAAGATGTTTGGCAAAAGAGCTTCATTCGACGACGGGAGGAAATCATGATGACGGACCCCCAAGTTGATCAGAAAGAAGCCGTGCAGAACGTAGGAACGTACAATTTGGTGTTTGGGGGCAGAGAAACCATCTGCCGCGTGTATTTCAGTGGCCAGGGCAGATTCTGACGATTGCGAGGGCGACACCAGAACCGGACACTGGATTTTAGCGTCCTTCACAAGGGGGTTCAACTCGTTCTAGTAGTTGAAACCTTCTCTGGCAAAGCTGAATAATTCCATCTCCAAATCTGGGCGACTCTCAACCTGGAATATCTTGAAGACACCAAATAGTATCCACGGTTCTCACAGCCAGTAGTCCAAAAAGCCCAGCGGCTGGCTTACCTTCATAGCATCGACAGCAGGGCCGCGGATCCCCCGACTTCGCAACGCTTCCGCTGGACACCCTGCTTTTCTCGGAATGCCCTCCGCCGGAAGGCGAACTGACCGGGTCGCGCATTGAGAGAGGACATTTCGGCGGTACTTCGACCGACTGTTCGGATGGAAAACCGGAAAGGTCGACAGGAAGAGTGGCGGCCTGGACAGCAGCATTGAGGAAGCCTTCCCAGCTGCGAAGTGCGACAGGAACACTTGTCAGGAACCCTTCGCGGTAAGTGAGAGGATTGATAATTTTAGGTGGGCTTGCTAGCTCGCGCACGTATCTGGCCCCGGTGGCCTGACTTCGAACCCCGGAAAATTGACAGCACTCTTTTAAGCTGTTCTCATACTCTCGGGCTCTTTGCACGGAAGCCTGCCCGTACGTAGACAGTTGATTCGGTTTCCGAGATTTTCAGATGGCATGACTTCGTAACCCGCACAACCTGACATCACAATCTTTTGTTGCTCTGACAATATCGCGCTCTCTGCAAGGAAGTCTGTCCGTACGTAGACACTTGATTCGATATTTTTAAGCTGTTGTCATACTCCTGCGCTCTTTGCACGGGAATCCGTCCGGACGTAGACACTGAGCATTTTATTGGATGTTGCCCCCATGCTTCAGAAAGATTGATAGCGAGACCCTGAGGAACGATAACGGTGATACCCCTGAGTGGCAAACTTCTAGTCTCGTGACGCTCGAGACTCTCCTCGAAGCTTCTAGCGAGCAAGAAGTCTTATAGAGTTATTGACTTTTTGTAATCAATTGGCTGCCTCGAAATCTGGGGAATACTCCGGCGACGCGTCAAATCAGGTCGGTTTCAAATGTTGCCTTTTTCAGGCGACAAGTGGTTGCTTTCGAAACGAAACATGTGGCCGGCCCACCTGAAGGGCTCCTCGACTTCGACTCCGAACGTCACGTGCAGCGACTCCACGTCCAACGCCGTCGCGACGTGTGTCCATCCCCTCGGAATATACAACACGTCTCCTTTCCGCATCTTAAACTCGCTACAAATACTCCCGGCGAGTTCCGGTTCCAATCTGGGAGCATACAAACGCGGCATCTGCTCGCTCTCGAGCGGCTCGTAAAGCCGCCAGAGCTTGGACCCCGCCAGCTGGCAGACAAACACGCAGTGGTCGTCGTAGTGGGCCGCTAACCCCTGGGAGTTAGCGGGGGTTAGATAGGCGTTAACCCCGACCCCCGCTTGGCCTAAAGCGAGTGCCATGTTATTGGCTAACTGCGCAATCTCCGAGATCCGGCACTGGAGGCCCCGTACGGCAACGCTAAACCCGTTTTTGAAGGCTTCCCGGCAGTCACCAGCGCTCACGAACCGTGGGTTAGCCAAGTTGGTTTCGGTGACTGGAAGGGATCCCCCTGGGCCATCGACATCAGTCCGAGCCGATTCTGCCGAGCCCACTTTCGAAACCGCTTCTGAAGCTGAACCGGATTGCCCCGTTTTGCCATCGAAGTGCACAAGCTGCCCGGCAACTGTCTTGACTAAAGTGACGTCACGCCCATACACGAGCGGGCCCCCGAGCTCCTCCGAGGCCTCCCGCAACGCCGTGATGACGTCACACTCCTCGGCGGCTGGGGAGGGGCATCCGACTGCCCCTTCCAGGAACTCAAAGAACTCTTCTGAATCTTCCGAACCCTTTACCCCACTCAGGGGCCACGGAAAGCCCCTTCCGTCAGCCTCAGGCTCCTTACTCGTATCAGCTGGAAAGAACGCCGGCCGCTGTTCCCACACCGTTTGCAGAAAACCCCCCAACCCCGCCGCCCCAAAACCGACCAGAGTCCCAAAGCCCGAGCGTGCTTCTTCGATAGCAGTGCCGTGGGCCTCCGCACTGGCAGTGACGTCATTCTCGAAGCTGAAGTCAGCAGCACCCCCCTCGAGGGAGAACCTTGCGGCCAGCGCGCAGACTTTAGCCGTCTGTTTCGGGGACAGTTCACCTCTGATTTCAGCATCGCTAGTTGCTGACGAGAGTGCCTCAAGGGCCAGGGAGGACCTGCCACGTGGCAGCTCGCCAATGGCTGGAGCGGCTTGACAAAAGAGCAGCGCGAAGATGGCGTCGAGCAGGGGGAATAAGGCGGTAGGGGTGTTGGATGCTCTTCGTTTGCGTTTCCTGGGGGTGGTGGGGCAGGTGGGAGCAAGGTCGATGAGGCGGTCCCTAGAAGAGCAAGGGTTGGATTAGCGCAGAATGCTCATTGAAGAGGGGTGATATTGTCAACAGCAGGCTTAAGTGACTGCCATTGACTGCAATACTTCATTTTGACAATGAGCGAAGCTGGGCTCACCAACACTATCCAAAAGTGGCTGATTCAATGGGATTCATGCGGCGTTGCATTAGGGGGAGAGGGAAAGCGATGACATGATGTGCGCGAAGACTAATCAGCATAGTTCAGGTGCTAGGTATACATGAGCAGAGGCAGCAAAGGCACCTGCATCTTAAGGCTAAGACGTGAAAAGCGGCACTGAAAATTTGACCAAGTCAAACGCTCCTGATTTGCCTTCTGCATTTCGCACTGCTGTGACGGACATACAGTCAGTAATCAAGAAAGAGGAGACAGGGAGAACAACAAGAAGGAAAAGGAAACATGAAAAACCTTGCAGTGTTGCAACCAGACCATATCTTGCCAGCTGGATTGTCTCCCAATCATCCCTCTGTTTCCCACTCTGCTTACTCACATGAGCACTGGGAGCGCCCCTTGTGCAACCAGCGCTGCGCTCCCCTCGTCTGAGGTCGCCAGATCTGAGAGTGCATTCACACAGGCCTCGAGAACCTTGCCTGAGCCAGCGTCTGCCAGGCATGCCACGAGGGTGTGAATGAGCCCCTCCTGCTGCGCTAGCGCCCTGTTGCTAGCCAGGGAATGGAGGGCAAGGGCGCCAATGAGTCTGAGTGCAGAGACAGACCTGCAGAAGGAGGAAATCTTCGGAGACCAGTCAGCGATGAGAGTTTGTCTGGCAGCTTGTTCGCAGTCAGCTTACGAAAGACACCGGACGGACATAAGCCGGGAGAGAGAAGACGAGAGTTAAAAGATAGACGTGACCAATTCACCCCATATGCGGTCCTTAGAGTTCTTATCTTCAAGGGGCCAGTCCAGCCAACGCTTTCGAAGGCGACAGAGGGCCAAAGAAGACAGCTTGAGTGCCTATGACTTCATACCAGACCTTTGGATCCAGGCAGACTAAGTTGAAGACATATTACATAGACCCATGCCTTCAAATTGAGCTACTGCCATCCTCCAACTACACTGAACAACGCTGCTTAGTGCCGGCCAACTGGGGGCACATGATTGCTGCCCAGCTTTGAGAGACTCTTAATATTCACTCATCCATCATCTTTGCAACACGAAGTAGCCCCACTCCGCTTCAATCTACCTCCCAAAGTCTCACAAACGACAAAGTATCAGCAAGTACATTCTGGAAAAACGGGTCACCCGGCTTATCCTGCGATGAGGGGTGGTGCAACAGAATGTAATCACCGCAAGCCATTTCAAGGAAGCAGATTAGCAATGCTGACCCGCCCCAGCCCAAGTTTTTCTTATTGTTCAACTTCTAAGCAACTCAACATTGAGCTCTCTTGCGCAGTAAGTCTCAGCATTGAGTTTGATTGACATGGTGTTTTGAAAACGAGAAACAACACAACTTTGTTTCAACAAAGGAATGTATCCAACCTCAAATACGTACTTGTTCTTCACTAGAGTTACAAGAACTGAAGGCATAGGGCGCAGGCAATCAGGGACGCTGGGACCATCTTCTTCCTTCGCAATGGCTCTGCGCAGATGCTTGCAGGCAAGGTCTGCAGCGGCCAGCTTATCTCCAGTCAGCTGGCCATCCTCCTCACACTGCGAAAGACATCGCCATGCGGCTTCTGCAGCAGCCATGATTGCTCTGGATACCACATTCGATCACCTGCTTGCAGAATCTCATGAGCAATCCGAACAGGGGGAAGATGTTTGTTTTGTTAATTCAGGACTCGTCTTCGTATATTATCCAGAAAACTGACCTCTTATGTTTGTCGCATGGCCTAGCTGAAGCCAACCGGCTCTACCGGTACTTGTATTAAGCCCGGTGAGCTTGGAGGCCATGAGCCCTCACTCTGAACTGCGGCCGGGCGAAGGAATACTTATACCCGGTTGTTCCTCAATTAAACCCGCTGGATGTACGTGGATCTATGGATCTTAGGTTCGCGTGAATTTATGAGGCTTGCTTGGGCTTGCTGGGAAATCGGCAGCTTGCCAGTGCTGACCAGCTTCCAACTTCTAAGTTCTAGCAGAAAGGGCGTCATTGTACAATTTTAAAGACAAAGGCGTCATCCAAAAGACCTTTCGATCAAAACCAAAAGACACCCACCTGCTTAGGAAATCATCAAGACTATTACTTGAGTCTTTAGCGACCGCTCTTGCTATGATCGCAGTGATGAGCTCCACACCAACGCCCATATGGCGGCGACCAGTAGACCTCTTCTTTGTTCTCTTCTTTGTTGTTCACATTCCCACCGCTGCACTTCTTGACGCTCAATCGATCCTGCCTAGAGATTGGTTCCATGAAGAGCTTCAAAATCTTATGAAGTCTCATATTGACTCGACTGGAGACCCCCTGGTGTCAGCGAATCCGCCTTGGTTCAAAGCACTGGTCTGGTGTGAGCTGATTCTCCAAGTGCCCTACTTTGTGGTCGCAACTTATGCATTCATCAGAGGTGAGGAAATTGCGGAGCACCCAGATTCTACCGCACATTTGTGTCCGACATTGGCAGCCCCCGCTCATTTCTTCACCCTGGCCGATGCTTCATAACACACTGCAGGAGCCGCTGTCAAATCAGCCTTCACAGCCTCTTTGTCTTGAAGCCTTATGAAATGTTCTCATCCGCAAGAGCATATTCATCAGTGCTTGGAAGTCTGCCACCACCACAGTGAGAGAATCACTAGGTTGCAGCGCCTCTGCGCTCTGCACCCATCAGTGCCACCGCTTGTGTGAGGCACCCGCAAAGCGAAAGTGAGTAAGCTTGTTGACACTCGAAATCTATCTGCAGAAGTATAAATTGCTGAAATGGTAGCCTTTCCCGGTCCATTGTAGGAAAGAGGTGGATCAGGACGCCAACAATCATGTACTGTGCTCACGTAGCTACCACCATGGTGAGTATGCGCATCTTGTTAGAACTTCAATGCAGGGGGTTTCAAGGCTTGGGCTTTCGTTCTTTCAAAGTATTTCTCATGAGCCCAGACATTTCGATTGGTGTGAGTAAGGCAACTTTTCTTCTGGGCCCTCATCTTATCATCTTATGTGTTGGGGGGCCGGTCTACTGTGTTGCACTGGCAGCCAGCGCAAGACTAGTCATCGATGATTGTTACATTCCCTATGCGGCTGGATTGACATTTTGGCCTGCTCCATGGGACACTTTTTCAACCAGAAGGAGGTTTACAAGCTTCTGCTTACTATATCAAGACATCTTGCCTGTGTACTGGGTTGCCAACGTTTGACACTGCTTTGAGGTATTGCAGGTGCCTATCTTCTTTGAGATCATGAGTGCCGCTTTGTCGTCAGAAAAACGATCAACTCTTGTTGCTATCTATTTGCCATTTTTGGTCGTCCCGCTCTTATTGTTGGCTCGCGTACTGTCTAGTAGTCCGGACAAGCTTTTTTGCGCAAAAGAGAAGAATACAAAGAAGGAGTAAGTACTACAGAAGACTGGTCGTGTTGAGGACATATATCATTGATATTGCCACATGGTACCGTCAGATTCGTCAGGAACATTGCTTAGAGTCATTCGCAAAGGTGCGTGGATGCCCGCTGCTCTCGGGTGGTGGCAAACGCAACCGTCAGCCCTCAGTGTGCGTTGGTGCCGGCTGATTTGTTTAACAGAAATGTAAAACAAATGCATGACGGTCATAGCTCGCATGCTTTCTAATACTCTGTGTCAATCGACGGTGATGCACGCGCAGCAAGCTGGCTCATTTCAGCATATAGTTTCTCTAGGAACTCCTTCGCAGCATATACATACGTGCTGCATGGTATGCCAGCGGCTGCAGCATGATTATGCATATATAGCTAGGCGGCACATGGGTCATGTGCGCGTCGAATGTGTCACATGCCATGGCGACTCGACATGCAGGCTACTTCGATCGAATCCAATGTTTCAACATCGAATCACTTAAAGCTAGTCGGACGGTGTAACCAAGCTCACAAAGACTGGCGGCACGATTGGAACATAGCTAGGCGGCATACTACATGCTGCGCAGTACCGCCGCATCATTCCAATCCACGCTAGATCCTCATCAGATTTGTAGGCTGGCATGACGGTGCAGGAACCGTCATTGGATATTTTGCAGGTCTCTCAAACATAAATCTAAAAGTATCGAGTGGCATGACCTCCTTATGATTGGTGCGTGAGTTTGCTATACAAATTCCCACGAGTTCATCTTTGGTCAGTCGAAAAACATCGAAATCTCTTCAGACTACTTAGGCTGTCTTCGAATGTCATTTTACCTTCTTAAGTTCTCTATGTTCGTTTGACTCTGTCTCCCCCTCTGCTTTGATAGCGTCTACCTTCTCCGTCACAGCTGATTCGTCAAACGCTAACAAATGCTTGAACTCCCCGTTCCAAGCGCAGTGCGTTCCTAGGAAACTGATCACAGCTGGTACGATGTAGAGCAAAGCTGGCTGAGCAGCTTGGAAAACGTTCATGACCACAATCGTCAGCCCTAAACCAAACGTGTATCCCGCAAAAGATGACCAGAAGTATCGAGGGCCGGTTTTCCGCGACACATCGAACCGGAGAGCCAAGGCGACAAAGATGCCTGCATGACAAGGGGGATGAAGGCTCAGTGCGTGAAGTATCAGCCTTCCAATTCTTATACCCCAGTTTCACTGGGATCCGTTGGCCACTCAGGTTGGACAGCCACCATCGTCACGAAACAGTACACCTTTGTCTGGCACCGAGCTTGTCCGCGCCCAAATGTTAACTAAGTTCTATGTCCTCCACTCGAACAAAGTCAGAGACTTCCTTTCAAACGTGCGACACTCACAATCAGTACGATTCGAACAAGCAACTTGCATGGTCGGACCGAGAAGCAGTTTATGCACGCCTGACGCAATCTTGTAGCCGAACCAGGTCGAAAGGTAGCCCACGGCTCTGACCTGGAATCACGATATCCCCCAGTCCCAGCATGGAGAAGGGGCGCCCCTCGATGCCCGTTGGGAACAGCAACTGTGGGTGCAAGAACATTCAGAGCGACTGTTAGTACCGCCCTCGTATCGGTCTCCAAAGAAAAAGCAGTCATGTAGAAGCTGTCTCTGTAGCGACTGTCTCTCCAGCCCCAGAGCGTTTTGAGCGACGCTGCAACTGGCATGTAACCAACGCCAGCTCGCTTCAAGACTGATCAGAGACTTCTGAGCAGCGACCTAGGACGCTGACGCTTCAGGCGCAAGAAACAAAATGGGCGTGTGCCGAGCATAAGCGGAAAATGTATGTCGAGCAGATTGGGAACTACCAACCACTCGTAAACTCCCGGTTAATCGTTCACACCGACATAGTATTAAATTGGAGTTGCCTCAGAATCTTGAGCATGAAGAACCCTCGCAGAAGTTCAAGTGCTCTTCCTGGCCGGCAAATAGCGGGAACAGATTTAGGGAGGGGGAAGAGCGGCGGCAATAAGGAAATATGCAACGGGGGCCAGGTCAAGGGGGCCCCCGAGACCGCTTACCTTGATTGGGGCGTCAAACGACTTGGCCACGCTGACCATGACGGGGGTGCAGAAGACCCAAAAGATGTCGTACACGAAAAGGCCACACTGCAAAAAAAATCAACAAATCGCCGTCACATTTCCTTCTTCGAGGCAGGGTCTGCATCAGGCCGCTTCAAGCAGATGGGTACGGGAAAAACTACCCTCACCGTTATGCTGTCACTAGGAGCTGACCGGATGCTTAAGGGAAACCCAGAAGCGAGTTGGATACGCTCGAAGCCGCCGCATCTAGAAGATGATCTACAGTATTGACGACTCGTTCCAATTGGACGGATTTCAATCAGCTGCAAATGGGTCAGAGCCAACTATAACGTCCATGGTACGGCTGCAGTTGCCCTCTCGACCGATTTGAGAAGAACCAGACGGCTCAGATCATCCCAAGTGCAATACTCCCATCGGCGCTGTCCGCAACGACTCAAGGGTACTACTTACGAGTAGGATGGCGCCGATCTTGAACGACCCTAGAGAAAGCATCTCAATTCCCTGCAAACACAAGCAGAGAGGTGGATTGGAACAGAGAAGCCTGATGGGGGCGCAGTGCAATTACTGCAGTAATCTCGCGTTACGATCATTGCATGCAGCTGTGACCACGCCCAAGGCATGCCGCTAGCCAGCCGGAAATTTGACTAAACTGTAGATTAAAATTCGAGGATGACGTTACACCCATGGAAAGTTTGTTAAACAATGTGACATGTCAATCGAAGATTTGACCGATGTGACGCGCTGCTATACTTTTCGTACACGATGCCAGAGCAGGGGCCAGAATGTAACCAAGAAGCAAGTCGTCCAAAGCAACCAGACTTTCGACAAGCGAGCACCAGTCTCGTCGATTGGATGACTGGTAGAAATACTTGCTTGTAATTGCCATCTTCACTTCCAAAAGCTCGTCAACCGAAGCGAACGAGGTCTTTTAGGAGATAAGTTGAAGAAAATGAATGCAAAGAGCAGGAGCAAATGCTCGAAACAAGACTCAAACCTGGTCCAAGGTGATGAAAAACGAACAATTGTCCGCTTTCGGAGAGTCAAAATTAGCCTCAAAAGCTGCTTCGTGTGAGAGCGTAAGGTATTCGCATCTTGCTCGAAAACACCAATAAAACGCACCTTCGAATGTCGGAATTTCAAACACAATCCCCAAAGAAAACCGTTCGGAAGCATCACTCTGGATTACGACCGTCGCACCTGTATAGAGAACGCCAGCCCGAGCGCGTTGTTCGCCAGCCAGTGCTTCTCCATGAAGTACCATGCACAGAAGGCGGTGCTCGGGATGGCCGCAAAGACCTGGGCGTAGTCGAGCTCGAGATCGACGGCTGCAAACAACGCGACAAAAGTATTCTCTCTGAGATCCAAGGCTGCAGAAAACCGTAGGGAAACGCAGTCGAGTTCGAAATCGACGGCTGCAAGTATAGCGAAGGAGCTACTCCAATCAAGGCAAGAAACTCGCGGAGTTGTCTCAAAGCACACCATCCGTGTGGTCTGATTTCGGTATCTACTCGCAGCAGAGAGAGGGCTGAGGTAACTTTCATCAGATGGCGGTGGGATCAAAGTGTGTACGTAAGATGCTCAAGCTTTGATTGACTGATTGACAGGAGCAGAAGGTGCCACATGAGACCAGGAAGTGAGGGAGAGGACACAACCTCAACCCAAAGTGACGAGTCAAAGTCAGATTAGGGCTTGGATATCACTTTCGGGTATTATGACTGTCGACGACTTGAATAGTGGCACTTTACAGGGAATGCCAAGCACTTGCGCTGCCTCCTCCTGCGCGGCAAACTGCCTCTCACCTCCGATGAACGGGAGCGTCAGAGCCGGGACTCGCTTCTCATGCCACGACTTCGGAAGGAAGAAAAGGAATGAGACGATGGTGGCACTGCAAAGATCATAGAAGGCGGCTTTGGCATGGGCGTTGGAGTGGTTTCACAAGCACGAGGGGATTACGAATGATTTGACGGAAATATGCAGCATTTCTTCCGTCGGGTGCTCGCTTAAATTGTCCAACATCTTCTCTCTAATTTATCAACGATTCTGAAGGACAAGGCACATGTGCAGAATCTAGGAATTGGCTTGGCAACATGCTCTGCAAAGGACAAGCTCCGCGGCCTTTCTGCAATTATCGAAAGCAAGATCTGCCTCGATTTGCTGTTGTCAGGTCAATCGCTCTTGCTGCTGGCTTCCTATGCGAGGCTCCATCTTTTTTGAATATTGAAGCGATTGTTTGTTTCAAGGCACCGTAGAGCCAGCACAAAGGAATTGATACTGAGTCCTCACCTAAGGGCCAAAACGCCCAGGCAGACAAAATACAGTGTCAAGACGGTGTTGACCAGATCCTTTGGTAGGAACTTGAAGAGCAGGAAGAGGGAAAAGAGGACTGCGCTGCCGATCAGGGGGAATCGAAGCGCGGCATCCCTCGACATGGTTTCCTGAGCACAAGAAGCAAAAGTCAGCCTCAATCTAACGAAGCTGGGCATTTTGACTTTCTTTGCACCGGTCGCGGAGGAAGACTTAAGTCACGAAAACGGCAAAAGCTTCGCATCTTAATGATTCTTCAGGCAAAGGTACCCAAAGAGAACCGGAGGAAGAGCCGGACCGTAGACTACTTGTCGCAGCTGGTTAATCACAACATGAGAATGAAGAAGGTCCTAGGGGATGGCTTTATTAACACCACCGCTTCGCAACATCGTGCTCTGACCTCAGATGTAAAGAACAAACCTGATCTAAGAGCCACAAGTCCGACGTGTGTATCTCTATGATGGATTTTGTCAAGCGCGAGCCAGCGAACTCCAACGTCGCAGCCCCGTTCAGGAATCGAGTGTCATGAAGAGATAGTTGTGTCCCAGCAGGTAGTTGCTCAAAGAAAATTTCACCACCATCTTTTTTCTCCACTCTAAATACTTTTGTTCACCACAGAAAGAGCTGGGGTGCGTGAGCGCCCCTGAAGACTCACCGTGGGAGGCATGGGCTTGACCGAGCGTAGGCACCCGATGAGGACCGTCAGGCATGCGGTGATGACAACATTGTAATTTGAGTTGACTGTCATCACAAGCGGTAGCAGTGACACACCTGGAGGGTCGAGGACAGTAGAAGTTACACCAAGGGCATAACGAGTAGCTGAATTTTGAAAGAGGTCAGTTCACAGGTAATCTAAAAAAGGTGGACATCATTGCACTTTGCGTGCAAAGCTTTCCACAAACTCGGAGTAGGGTTCACCATGACGTGCCTCTCTTTGATGTGCCTAGCGGCCAGCCAGCCACATGCTTCAGCTGCTAGGGGCAAAGTGCAAACAGCAGTAGATCCTTCCAACATGTATGTTCGGGACCGCCACTGGTTATCAAGTCCAACTGGTGCGGGAAATTGGATCAATAATCATGTGACAGCAAGATAAATGAGAGCACGCAAAGCTGTCTGATGATGCAGTTGAAGTGTGCCACCGGTGACATGACTCGCACGCTTCTTTCCTTGCCGCTTCAGACCTCTCACCTGTCAGAGCTGCAAATGCAACATTCTCCAGCCGAGCGATCCAATCGAGGGGCGCCATGATTTCAGTCACCAGATGTAGGTTGCTCCCTTCCAAAAAGCTTCTCAGAGCTGCCGAGTCCCCTTTGAACCACTCCTAATGCTCTGAACAAGGCAAATGCCTACTCAATTGGCTCTGCCTTTTAGGTAACTCCCTTTATTGCAAGCTCTTAACCCGCCATGGAAAGACGAGTAGCACATGTGATCTCCCAGAAGAGCTACAATGATCAGTGCATACAACGCCACTGCTTCCTGTAGAGCTAAACCCTTGCCCACGCTCCAGAACGAATGCTGATCAATGCTTCCTGCACTGGGTGCAGCAATTGCCACATGGACTTTCACGACAGTGGACATGCATCATAGGTAATCATGTGCCAGCTGAACGAAATTTCAATGAATTCTTGCACTGTTGCAGCTAGATCCATTAATTCATACCTAGTCGAGCGTCAACTCGTAAGTTGTAACCCAGATCTCGTAACAGGACCCCAAAACTTAAAGGTTACGCCGTACACATATCAGTTCACCAGGTACCGTTGTACCGTCATTTGCCAATACTGGTCCAGCAATCCCCTTAAAGATATTTCATCCCAACACATCCACATAATACATAGCTTGCCTTCAAAATGCCCGGTCACCATAACCCGAAATGGTAACCCAAGGGACTTACGAGCCCCGGATCCCTACCCACCCTACCTACCATACCAACCAAAACCATTCCCCGGCCTTCGGACCTAACAGGAGACAAGCAACAAAGCGAGACAAGGGATCGAGTTGCCACAATATCGTATGACTTTAGACCAACATGGGTAATACATTATGTATTTTATAGGACGGGTTTTAATGTGTTACAAATTAGAGAGAAGTTGGTTACGTCGAAACCGGTATCGACATTGGAATGATGTTGACCACGTTGAAATTGCAAAAAGTTTGGGAGGCATGCAGAGAGGCGCGGTGTACTTCCCCACCTGGGCCCAACCTGGGGCCAGATGCCAATGCCAATGGTGAAGGGCCACGGACCACGGTTCCACCCTTCAGGCATTCCTCGAAGCAGCAGGAAGGCCCGAGTACCCCGCGCTAGAGGCAATGCCCAGTTTATGCTGAGTTTGCTAGGTTGTTGATGTCAGAGATCTGCAAAGGATTCAATCCAGAGAATTTTCACGGATAAGACTTGATCCTGGGTGCATTCTGCAATGGGTACAGGCGTGGGCACTGTTCACAATTGCATTTTGATGAGCGTTAAGGGGAAAATAGGGACTTTGTCAGGAAGACTTGATTTCCTGACTGTCTGCGTGTAGGAGGGTTCTGACGGCGGGAATTGCCGGTCTTCCAGACTCGAAGAGACGCAGTCCTTGCTGCCGAGGAACGGATTGAATTGGTTGGACTTGAGCAGTCAAATGGGATTGGCTGCAACTAGAACTTGAAGGATCGAGGACTTAAGACCCATTAGAAAGCTATTTGACACTTGCGCACAATTTACGCAGCCGCCGTTGGAAAGAGATTGGGAGTACTTGAGAAGACCCTGTGATATGCAGATGCAATAGCCTAAGGTCAGGGATTGATGGTGAGTCACTGCCTTTCTTTGATGCAATTAGGAAACTGCTTGTCAAGTTGTTAGGATTGATCTGACATGGTCCAATGTAACTTGATCACTCTCTGATTGTCCCATCATTGGTAGCTTAGCATAGGAGTACAACCCAATCCTTTCCTATCAGATGTTTTACCTTCAGCTGTCCATCGAAGATCAGAGTGCGCTGCAAAGCCATCTGTGGAACTTGTTTTCATTTGCGGATCTTACTAAGTAAGAACAGCGATTTCAAAGATGTGGAGCACTTCACTTCAAGGGGCTCTAGGGTTCTGCCATTGCCCATGTGCACATTTATGTCAGACTAGCAACTACTTCTTGGTTGGCTCTCCACAGAGCAGTCATTAACTGCATTGAGAACTATTCTCAAAAACGGCGACCAGCAGACCTGCTGAGAATCTGCAGGCATGTTTACTCGAGGGGGGGCGATGGATAAGACCACTGAGCAGGTGAATATCTCTTGACATTCTCTGAATCAGCATGAAGTTTAGTCACGAGTACGTGGACAGGGACATATGTTGCAACGCTATCGCACAACTTTCAACGGAAGAATTTGCTGATGTGCACATTGCATGGGTCACTTTGAGAAGTGGCTCTGAGGGCTATCTTCAGACCCCTGACAACAAAGGCATGGCATCACGATCAGAAAAAGAGCGCAGTGACCATCACAATGGCAATCAACCGAACTCAAACGCACCCCCAATCGGATTGACAATGCAAGCAGGACTTGTGGAGAAAACGTGACCAGCTGGTCACATAAGAAGTGTTCGTTGCGGCAACTTACAACAACAAGAAGGGGTTGCTAGTGTCGAAGGGTCTGCAGGGTGGCCCCGCTCAGTTGCAACTTAGCATTCAGTCCAGAATCAATTCCAAAATTGTTCCCCATTGACTATTTTCCTCCCGTGCATCTGTCAAGGACCAGTCACCTCCCGCTTTATTTAGTTTTTGATGCAGATTTTCTGAACGCTTAAAATTGAGGTCACCAGGATTCTTCTTGTATGAAGATCATAAATCAAGCGGCTGATTGACGCATCCAGCGCCTACCCAACCTGGACCCGTGCAAGGAACAGGCTGCTTGGCCTTTCTACTTCGCCTCTGCTAGCTTGGATAGCCCCATTGCATGTCTGAGCAGGCCATCACATTGAAGGGACCGGGGCACAAACTCTTGTTCCTTTCTGGTCCTAGAAGCTTCAAAACTAAAATAGAGGTAGAGATTAGTGAACCACAGCCTTGACGAGAGGCCTGCAAGGGGATCCCTCACAGGGATGCGGTTGCTACTTCTGACCGTTTTCCTTGACGACATTGAGATGAACACTCCTACAAACAGGTTCCCGTGGAAACACTCCTACTAAAAGGTTCCCGTGTGATGAGGAATCTGCATTTGATTCTTCCCTGCAGTATATCACAGCGCTCAAGAAGCCGCGTTCCTCGTTCCTTGTAGTATGAACAGCGCTCAACAAGTTGTGTTCCCTTCTTTCTTGCAGTATTATGACAGCGCTCAAAAAGTTGCGTTTTTTTCTTCCTTGCAGTACGTTACGGCACTCAAGAAGGGCGCCACACTGCTCAAGTATGGCCGCCGCGGCAAGCCCAAGTTCTGCCCGTTCCGCCTGTCTCAAGACGAGATGGAGCTCATCTACCACCTGGGAAAGGACGAAAAATACCTGAAGCTGTCCACCGTAACCTCCCTCTCGACGGGCCAGAAGACTGCCGTGTTTCAGCGGCACCCGCGCCCCCACCAGGACCACTTGTCCTTCAGTCTGATCCACAGCGGTGGAGAGAGGAGCCTTGACTTGGTGAGTAAATGCAGCGGCGCTCAAAGTCTATAGATTCATGTATTCTCGAACACTGGAAAAATGTTGGGAACATGTAGCTGAAGCCTGCAAGTAGCTGAAACTTTTGGCAGCCGCTTTCTGTTGGCGCTTTTAGTGAAAGGCTTCAATGTGCTCCAAAGTCCTAAAAAGACTTTGCATATAGTATCTGCCCGTATGGGAGATTTGGATAAGACATTAAAGCAGAGGAGGACAGCAGATACCTCATTGCTAACAGTCTCGAAGTCTGTGGTCGCTGTAATTGTCCATGCTAAGAAGATGACCACTCTTGCTATGACGAAAAGTACACTTACACTCGAAATACTCTTGCCTGCAGATCTGCAAGGATGAGGACGAGTTCGAGATATGGTACAAGGGCCTGAAGGCGCTGTTTTTGGCTCATCAGCGACGGCTGCACTCTGCGGGTCAACAGAGCAGCCCTGTTCGTTCTTTGAAGGACGCGGCAGGGTACTTTCACAGCGAGTCGAATCTCACCAACCGGACCGTGAGCACGCCTGGACCAACTTACCTTTGCCCATTTGTTTGCCGCTTTACCTTTCGGAAGCTATGAACACTGCTCTCTGAAGAACGCTGTATGATGACTTCCCAAGTGAGTCCCCCCTCTTGGATAAAACAAGCGATTATGTTAGGTGCATTCGTCAGTATCCTGGATCCGACAAACAACACGCGGAGTCAAAGCTGGTCAATCCTCTATGTTGTACTCCGTTTTCTCGCAATCTCTGCGACCAGAATACCATATTCAAAGCATTCCGCTCATTCCGCCCATCCCGCTCCCTTGCAGACCATCTCCACGAGGTCCACCCCGCCTGCATCTCCCCAGTCCGCCCTTTTGGAATACCACCCCCCCGCCAAGCCAGACGCGCGGCCCCTCAGCCGAAGCGCCTCAGCAGGAGAGGCCATCGCAACCGTCCGATCCCTGGACGGCAAACGGCCGACGTACGAGCCGTCGGACAGCGGGGCCAGCGTCGTCGAGGGGCTGCCGATGCGCTCGGTCTCGTCCGAGCTCCCGCGGGTGCTCCTCTCGAGCGCCGCCAGCACGTCATCGAACAACGACGACGAGAACCTGGGCGACGTGTACATGTGGGGGGAGGGTCTTGGAGACGGCGTTCTTGGGGGGGGGAGCTTACGCGTCGGGAGCGGGGGGCCGGGGGCCCACGTGGACGCGTTGATGCCGAAGCTGATGGAATCGACGGTCGTTCTCGACGTGCAAATGATTGCGTGCGGGGGCCGGCATGCGGCGCTGGTGAACCGGCAGGGGGAGACGTTTTGCTGGGGGGAGGAGGCGGGGGGGCGGCTCGGGCACGGGGTTGATAGCGACGTGCAGCAGCCGGAGATCGTGGACGGGTTTGCGGGGGTGCAGATGGAGAAGGTAGCGTGTGGGGAGTACCACACATGCGCGGTGTCGACATCGGGTGAGTGGAGATGCGTTTTACGGCCCGATTCTGCTTGTCGCATCAAGAGGGGTTTGAGCTGATGCGGCAATGGATAGAGATGTAAGTGTCGAGAGTGTAAATGAGGGGCAACTCGGCGCTACCTCTACTCAGAGACGAGTTTGATTTCGGACTGCACGCTTACGGCTCACAGCCTGAAGTCAACCATACCGCTATGTGATGCAGGGTTTGCAAGAATCAGGAAATGAGTAGAATGCTCTTGGTTCTCGCAGGAGTCGATGAACGTGACAGAGACAGTCACGAGGGAGTCACGAGCATCACCTTTTGGAGTTCTTTTTGCAAGCGTTGTCAATCTGCAGGCGAGGAGAGTCTCGGCTGTCAGATCTGCACTCATAGTTCCCGATCTGGCTCCTACGGATCTTTTAAAGACGAGCAACGTGAATGTTCTCCCAGCTTCAACTTTCTCTGCTGACAAAACAGTCCCATCTGCAGGCGAACTCTTCACGTGGGGGGACGGATCGTACGGCTGTGGGCTGCTGGGTCACGGAAACGATCTGAGCCATTGGATGCCAAAGCGGATCGAGGCTCTCGACGGGATCAAGATCGCGGAGGTTGCTTGCGGTCCCTGGCACACGGCTGCGGTCTCGACGTCGGGGCGACTTTACACCTGGGGGGATGGCACGTTTGGAGCGCTAGGTGAGTGGATTGGTTGGTCTCTGGGATTCTTTATCCGTTGTTGTTTTGGGAAAATGGTTAATCATGCATCCTTCGATCGTGTGAGGACGTAGTAGGAGAACGGCAGAATCGATGCGTTCACTTAGCTTTGACAGGAGCGGAATCCTCCACCTTTCGCTTTTCAGAAAGAGGACTCTGGTTGACGCGGAAAGGATCACAAATCTGGTCGAGGTTACCACGAGAGTCAAGCTTCGCTTTACAAGCGCTTGCGGAATCCCCAAATCACCGTATGTCTTGACCTTGACCGAGTTGTTGTCTTGACTTTGGGACCTAGTCAGCAAAGGGCTTTTCAACAATGTTCACTCGTCTTGTACCTGAATATCGTATACCTCAACAAGGAACCCCCACTGATATTTTGGCTTCTTCAGGACTATATCGTCTTAACTAGATTGTCTCGCTTTCCAGGGCACGGGACAAGAGCTACCGTAACCACGCCGCGCGAAGTCGAGACGTTGAAGGAGCTCCGGGTGTCAAAAGTCGCATGCGGGGTGTGGCACACTGCGGCCGTTGTCGAGCACACGACTGCAGATGGGCTTTCGTCACTCAACCGGCTATACACGTGGGGGGACGGGGATAAGTGCCGGCTGGGCCATGGGAACAAGGTGAGGGCTGCTTTCAAATCCCCTTGGCCCTGGGATAGATATGATTGCTCTGCTTTGTAACCTGCTTGTCAGCACTGGTGCTCTCAAGTATCAGTACTGAGTAAGGAACAGGTGTGTTTTGATGGAGAGCCAGCACGCTTTCTCGGGCCAGCACAAAGCAGCTTTCAGGTTGCCATACAGTTCCGTGTGTGCTTCTCTCCGCAGCTTTGAGGACTGGGATCGGAACATTTTCCAAGTTAAAGCGAGAAGTCGTGGTTGAGGGGACCACTAGTTGGCCAATCCTGGTCGAAGCCTTGCGCTTGCTTCTTCTGATACGTCTCGCTTTTGAGGGGACCACTAGTTGGCCAATCCTGGTCGAAGCCTTGCGCTTGCTTCTTCTGATACGTCTCGCTTGCACCCACTGCGTCCTGGCTTTCTAAGAATTGTTGTTGTCACCTGGACCGAAGGAAACGAATAGAAGTCAACACCTACATGGATGTTCAGCATTAAGACACTCGGGGTTGGAAAGGCGGTTCGGGTGGGTTTGATGCGGAGCGCGTGACGTTTGTGGTTTGGAATCTTACCTAAACCCTACACGAGGTACTTTCTTTAGAGGTAAAACTTCTTTTACGTACTAGAATCTACGGATATCACTGATGTTACGAACTTCAATCTACCCTTGCAGGAGACCAAATGGGTCCCCACCGTCGTCGAGGCGCTGCTGGGGGAGTCGGTGGTCCAGGTCGCATGCGGGCACAGCATGACCGTTGCCCTAACTAGCGCGGGGTCCGTTTTCACGTGCGGCAGCGGGGTGTACGGACAGCTGGGCAACCCGTCCGCGTCCGGAAAGGTGCCCCAGCTCGTTGAGGGGAAGCTCAAGGTAAGGGGTCGTCCATATAACGAACAGATTCTTATATGGTTTGGAGCATTGCATTGAGGTGAGGGAAGAAGGCTCAGAGGAACATTTTCTGTCACAATTGGTTTAAGATTTGACAGCTCAGATCGAAGTGGCGGAAGAAAAGGGCAAAATCCTGAGGCGCTTGTTGACATTGAAGTGAAGCACGAAGCTGGCTGCAGCGATTCAAAGACATGGTGTGCCATTTTTGATTGTTCACGCCTTCTTAAGCACAAAAAGCAGATGAGTAACGTTCGCAACTTGGACCAAATAAATTGCTTCGCTCGTCAAAGTGCTCTTTATGAGCATTGAACAGACTCATCAGAAAAGCCCCCTCAAAAGTGACGCTGTCACTCACACCACTTACCCATTCTGAGCCAGCTTCTAAGATGCCATGACCCAACGATCGAATCCGATTTTTGCAGGGCCAGTTCGTGGACCAAATTGCCTGCGGGGCCTTCCACGTTGTCGCGCTAACCAGCACGCAGCACATCTACTCATGGGGAAAGGGCGCGAACGGACGCCTCGGGATGGGTGACACCAAGGATCGGGAGTTTCCCACACTAGTAGAAGCGCTGAAAGACAAGCAGGTAAGAAGCGTTGCCACTCACGATGCTGCTTCGGTGCGTCGTCTCTGAACTCGATGCAGCGCTTCATGAGCAACCTGCCGGTTTCAGAAGGCATAGGAAGCCTTGAAGTTAGACGACTAAGCTCGTCAAGTCGCAGATACATAGCAAGAACTTTCTTGGGGAATTTTGACAGTGTTGCTTTCAGTATACAATAAGCAGGGTGCTTGAAAAGCGCTGTAGTTTCTCCTGGTTTGGTAGGGCCTGGTAGCAGCATCGTGGTTGATGCAAGAAATTGGTTCAGTGGATTCTGGAGTTCGGAGAAAATCGTGAGCAGAATCCACACACAAGAGTCCCCTGTCCTCTTTTTGGTGGTCATGCCTTTGTTCATCCGCCCTAGACCCTCGATCCTTCTGGCATTAACCAGGTCGGCGCCAATACGTGCAGCTCTTTTCACCTTCTTCGTCCCTTGTCTTGACCTTTGCTTGATCGTCCCAATTTTCCGACGACAAAACCACCTTGTGTGCACCTCCTCATTCTTTGCCTCCAAGTAACAGGAATTGGAGCAGATAATAATATTGTTTTGCGGTCTGCGTGATCCCTTCACCAAGTCTACCGACCCCTCCACCCGATTCAACCAACCCCGTTCTTTGAATTAGGTCGTCGCTATTTCCTGCGGGTCGAGCTTCACCGCCGCCATCTGCACCCACAAGTGGGCCTCGGGCGAGGACCACTCCAAGTGCAACCACTGCAAGAACGCGTTCACACTCACCCGGCGGCGCCACAACTGCTACAACTGCGGCCTCGTCTTCTGCCACAGTTGCAGCAGCAAGAAGGCGCTCAAGGCCGCGCTCTCGCCCAACCCGGCCAAGCCGTCGCGGGTCTGCGATACGTGCTTCAACAAGCTCTCGAAGGTGGGTTCGGTTCTGTTCTTGATTTGTAGTGCCGTAAATGATTTTACAAGTCAACCCGAGAAGTCTTTGTGCAAAGGTTTGCGTCAAACCTTTCAAGTGAGGGTTGGGGCTTTTCGGGTCGATTGTAAAGAGATCTACGTCAACCCCGGCAAGCCGTCGCGGGTCTGCGATACGTGCTTCAACAAGCTGTCCAAGGTGGGCTCCATTTCCTTTATATTTTCTTGGATCGAGTGTAGGGCGTTTCAACACTCCACACGTACTGTGTGTTTTGCATGCCTGGCAGCGATTAGAATCTGGCACAGTCGCTGTTGGCGAAAAGGCCTCTCGCCTAATTTGGAGTGATTTCACCAATGGGCTGTGGGTCGACTTAAGAACAATTCAATGTTAAGTCGAGATTCAATGTCAAGTCGAGATCTGCGATGCACAATGGGAACGAACTTGCGCTATCGTTGCCTCACAACCGCCGAATCACGCTGGGCTTGCCCTTTCTTTCAAAGCGAGATTGTTTCGCATGTCAGAAGCTCATGGCTCTTCTTTCTTCCTACCCAATGCAGGCGGCAGACATTGGGGACTCGTTCACCCTCCCCGCGTGGAAGATGGGTGTTCCGAAGAACAACGTGCGGTCAGTCGGGAAAGCGCCGGTCGCGCCTCCGAAGCCCGCCCCTGCCAACGACCCGTTGCCATATCGGACAAACGTCAGCGGCCCGGGCAGAAAGGTGAGGTGCTCTTTTGGCCTCTCCGAACGAGAGCCCACACGAAACTAGTCTGAGCACCTTCAGGGACTTGCTTGCTCTCAAAGACGAAAGGGAGTTCTAGGAGAAAAACAGAGCTGATAGATCGAATAAGCTGCGAAACTTGCAACCACTATCTCTCAAAGTTGCCTATAAGACTTATGCACTTTTAGAAAGGAACTTGAGAGGCAATTCGTGCTTTCTCAGTCCAGGAAAGGCAACATAGATTGGGAGCCGTCGACTGGACTTTCATGCCATTTCCTTCTCGAGTTGGCTGGGAGGCTTTCAGCAGAGGGTGTTTTAGAATATCCAGCACCAAATCTGCTTTCGTCAAACGTATCTGCATCTCAGGATTCCTTGTGTCTGAAGTCTTCCCCCATCTCCCTCTTACTCGCAGGAAGGTGCTCGGACCGGTCGCGTCACTCCCTCCCCCTTCCCGAACGCCTCCGACGGACGCCCCCCCCCTGCCATCGCACAAAACCCTGCCGTTGCCAACCTTCGCGAGCGCCCCCCTGCCTCCCGGACCCCCCCTCGGGGCCAGAGCCCAACGCGGCGGGGGGCTGCGCCGAACAGCGGGTCGTCTTCGCCGAGGGGGGGCTACGAGGAGCTCAAGAGGATCAACGATTCGCTGCACCAGGAGGTTGTGAGGTTGAACGCGCAGGTGAGCAGCTGGGATAGCGAGGAAAATGTTTGAGGGTACTTTGTAATCTGTCCGTGGTGGAAGGAGTATTGTGGCGGCGGCGCCAGACAAAATTTCATCGTGTCAGCTCAGAATCATGACATGACGCGAAGAGTTCATTCTTGCAGCTGAACAGCTTGTCTTCTTTCCTCTGGACGTGGGGGATGTCTTATCTTCGGTCGTCAAAAACCTCGCTGCCACTTAGCAATGCAGCAACGATTGCTAAGTGTCAAGTCTCTGTTATTGATCCTCTCGAAGGTCTTTCAGACGTTGACTCTTGCTCTTTAAGGTTTGCTTCGTTCAGCTCCTTCACCTGCTGCGCAAGTCTTCTAGCAACTTTCATTTGCAATCCCTCCGGAATTGGACAGTCAATTGCAGCTTAGACCCAGCTCGTCTTCTGGCATGAGGTTTTTGGACTATTCCCACAGACACAGCGCCATTTATACGCTAGCATGTAGTAGGAGGAACTAAAATTCGTTTCAATCTAAGGAACGCGGAGTTCCAAACCTCTTGAGGTCTGTAACCGGCCCTACCCATTTAAACGCAGGTGAAGAAAATGGCGGTTTGGGGCGAGGAACAGAGGAGGGTAGCCGGTGCGGGCGGGCGACTGAGAAGACGGTCGTCTACAAAATTGCAAACATCAAAAGCTAACCCCACCAACTTTTCCATGTGCAGGTGGAGAAGCTGGCGATTCGATGCGAGGAACTAGAGGAGGGGAGCCGGTCGTGCGGGCGGACGCTGAAAAGACGCTTTGCCTACAAACCCGCAAATCGCAACATTCCTACCCCCACCAACTTTTCTATGCGCAGGTGGAGAAGCTGGCGGTGCGGTGGGAGGAACTAGAGGAGGAGAGGCGGTTCCTGCGGACGGACGCTGAGAAGACAATTCATCTACAAAAGCGCAATTATCAAAAGTCCTAACCCACCAACTTTTCTATGTGCAGGTGGAGAAGCTGGCGGTGCGGTGCGAGGAACTAGAGGAGGAGAGCCGGTTCGTGCGGGCGGACGCTGAGAAAAAGGTCGCGCAAGCAAATGCAGCCGCCCATGAGGAGGCAAACAAGGGGCGCGCCTCGGAGGAGGTCATCCGCTCGCTGCTCGCCCAGGTACGGCTGTTGTCATTTCGCATTATCACAGGGTTTGTGATCCGTCAGGAAAGGTTACTGCTCGACTCGTGAGGCTTTTTGGGTACCTGCCCTGTAGCGACTAGGGTTTCTCAAAGGCTCCTAGAAAGCGTGCCTCGGAAGAGGTCTCCGCTTGCTGCTGCTCAACGCTCATTGTGCCGTTGTTATGTGCAGGGTTATGTGGCTGATTAGTAAGCATTGTTGCCTGCTTAGGGAGGTCTGGTAGTTTCGTAAGAAGAAGGATGTTTCTTGCAGAAGCAGCCCAAGTTTGGTTACTTCGTACTTCTTCCACTCTTCAGGTGACAATCTTCTGAAGAAAGCGTTTCCCGAAACAACACTGATAGATCAACCACCGCAAATTTCGTTCTTATCCAGATCCAAGAGATGGCGGAGCGCTTTGTGACATGACATTCTTTGAAGAAAGCTGTGACAACGTTCCTAGGACACCTCTGACCAAACATTTTCCAACCCCTCCATCCCAGACAACGTGGATTGGTTCTGAAGCGACAATCTCTGCAGAGAGCTTCAAAAACGTTTACAGATACGTTCATAGACACGGTATTAAAGCTCTCTTGTTAATTTTGAGACAACAACTAGATTTCCTCTCCCTCTAGATCCAAGACATGGCGGAACGGCTCCCGGAGGACTCGTACCGGTACGGCCGCATCGGCGCAGTGCCCATCAAAGCGAACGAGACGTCTCCTGTCACACGGAGTCCGGAAGGGTCGATATGCGACGACGCGCCGCCACCTGTTTCAGCGGACCCCCGGTTACGAGCCTTCAGCCTGAGCCCTGCAACTGGGTTGGCGAATCGACCAATGGAGGTAAGTGAACCCATATCGAGGCGGTAACTCTTTCAGCTTCTGTTGCTACCTTTTGCGGATTTGAGTATGGGGCTGAAGGTTTGCGAATCGTGCTCTAGCCTTGGCCCTGCGACCTTTGTGACGGAGACACAAGAAGCGAATTCTGCACGAATGGTGCTCTGTTCAGTCATGAGGTTTGTCAGCTTGTGTGTCTTTGGTCCAAACATGCACCCAGGAAATATTTTCGATGTGTCGCCCGAAATTGCTCTGCGATTCACGCTGAAAAAGCACACAAGAACGAGTAGTCAAAGGCCATCGTTCGCTCTGTTGGGGGTTGCCTGTCGAGGAGCAGGTTTGCAGTACTTGCGATTGCTGTTTGGAGGAAAGCACAGAAGCACTGCGAGCTTTTGGTGTCGCTTCCTTACTTGGTGCGGATACTCCCCAAGACAAGCGTTAGCCAAATGCATTGGATAATGACAAGGAAGTCGCCGCAGGCGATGAAAAAGCAGTGATCTATGGGGGCCCACGTTCGCATGACTTGAGCGGTTGCAAGCTGATTACGTATTAAAAGGGAACTCCGAGTGGCGGCTGATACGCAAAAGCCTCAACCCGAGTCCTGACTCCAACCGCATGCTTTCGCGCAGTTGTCTGCCTTTGAGGGGCCAATTATAGGTGTTAATCAGCTGGAGACACTGTGTTCGTCGAAACAGTCGTTCCTTCCACAAGCTCCGTTCGGTATCGATCGACGAAAGTAAACGCAGGTACGGTATGGAAAAGCCTCAACCCGAGTCCTGACTGGAACCGCACGCTTTCGCGCAGTTGTCTGTCTTCCAGTCGGCGAAGTGGGACGTCGAAACCAGCCCCCGGGGCTCTCCTCTCAACCTCAGCATGACGAGCTCCCAGGGGGGCGGCCAAAGCATCGAAACCGATTCCCTCAACGAGAAGAGCACGGTTGTTTCTACGGAGGGGGCCTTCGCAACAGTGACGGAAAAACCCCCCAGGCCGGGACGGTCCAAATTCAGCGCGAGCTCAGAGTCGAGAGACGGGGAGCGAGTCGAGCAGGTGTCGCAAGGGGTGTATTTGACGCTCCGGACAAACTCGCAGGGAGAGATGGAGCTGAAACGAGTGCGCTTCAGGTGAGCAGATCGACTGTTCAAGATTCGTCGAAAGTTGGGGGAAGTTCTGGAACCCATCTTTGGGGACCCCCAGGCCGTTTGCGCGCAGTGATTGTGTCCAGTGAAAGCTGACAAATTTCTGGCTGGTCAGAAGCCGCCCTAGAATTGATAAAGCTCATCTCACATGTCTTGCTGACCAGCGTCTTTGGTGGCCTGATTGAGGATTCCGCTGCAGCGTTCCTGCTGAGGGTTCCGCTGAAGGACCGGCTGAGGGTTTTGGCTGGAAAGCTTGTAACGCAAACTTTTAAGCAGTGGAGTATGCAGCGAGTTTCACTCTGGGGAGTCAAAAGTGGCCTGACAGAACGGACATCTGATCTTACTATTCGAGAATTTACACAAACCTCGAGAAATGGAGGGAATAAGGCATGACATGAATCCCACATGATGGGTACAGGCCTCGATCCATCCTCGAAAATCGCAGCCGGTCAACAAAGCCGAGCGGTTAAAGAGTTTTCTCGTGGCGTTTTGTGGTGTTTTGAAGCCGAGCTTGCGCGCTTCGCCCGTCTAGAGGCGCGTCAACGGTAAAGGGACATATTGCCCTTACCTTTTTTGACTCAATTCTGTCTTGTATGTGCAGCCGGAAGTTGTTCAGCGAGTCGGAGGCTGAGCGATGGTGGGCCGAGAATCGGGCGCGAGTGTTAGGCAACTTTGGAATCCACGTCACTTGAGATGCACGCCGCTCGTTGGTGCAATCTTGAGGTGTACTTTGCAAAGCCACATTCAAGGATCGAAAGTTTTGTCTCTAGCGTGCCAAGAATGTTGTTACTCGTTTCGAACATTATACGTTCACAATATACAAAGATAGCAAGTCCCCCTGCAAAAGCCTTTTGCGTAATGGGGCCACTCAATACGAGCCGGAAGATCTATTGAAGATATCAGTCTCAGGATGTGTAAGATAGTCAGGCGTAGTATTACATTCGAAGTGCGGACCTGTTTCAAAGAATTGTGACAGCCGTCTCACCAGCCGCACAAAAAAGTTGCTTCAATCGGCGGTTCATTTGGTGGGGGCAGCAAGATGTGGGGAGAAGCGGTGGGGTCTATCAGCCCACGTTTCAGAATGCATTTTTGTGATCCTTCATGGTTGCCTAGCTGTGTGTACAGGCTGTGCATGTCACTGTGTGTGAACTCTTGACATTTCCAGCTGTAGGGTCCTATCGATCCGCGGTACTGACGTCACTCTGAGGTATCTGAGGTTCCTGAGGTACTCAACCGTCCCTTTCAATATGTTGCGGCGCACTGCGCAGATTATCATATCTAGATGGACATGCACATGGTTGAGCGCTTCAGTGACAGTCCGAGTGTCATCTAGGGGACCGATGTTTGTTATACTGCCACGAAGGGGTACACATTGCCATATGTTGTTGCACCATGGGTCCGCGGAGCTGGAATGGGTTACAAGTATACGTACTCGCGATCCGTGCCGTGCCAGTGCGTGGTAAACTCTTAAGCACTGCATTTCACGTTCTCATATGCATAAGAACCGTGCCAATGTGCATGGCACTGACTCATACCGTTGACGTACAATTGTACTGGTACATGTAGAGTTATGTATGTTGCAACTGACAGTCGATGGCCGCGTCGGATGATGATTGTCCACACGAATTTTTAACGTGATTTTTGAATCCAAGATCATTGTCGTCTTTTAGAAACAAATCAAGGTTTGCGCATGAGTACTGAAGGGTGCGATGCAATGTGCGATGCAGATTGCAGATGTAGTAGTCTACCCAACCAGCATATTCACGTTCTAACTTGGTCTGGAATTGACGATTTGATGATAATGCACTGACGTTTACTGAGTGCAAGATATGTTGCTGGAGATTGTATCGTACACCCGAAGCGTTTGCAACGCAATGTTCTACCTCACAATATGTGTCTCACTACAGATTCAATAACGTTTCTAGGTAGACCTGTACGTGGACTGACCGGTCTGCATTTTCCGTTCTTAAATACAACTTACACTGCCTAGTAGACCAACCTGGAGTCGACTAATTCACGGTGTGGGTTTGTCAGGGACGACGCATCTTGAGCTTAGCGTTTGACGGTTCCAAGCGCCGAAGTCCCTAACCACTCCAACCGTCTTCCTTCTAACAAATTGTCAATTCGCATGCAAGGAAACCTTCGTATACCGGGGTGCGTTCTAGCGTGAACAGACACCCTCCCAGAGCTCCCTCATTCAGCTTCGCACACGAACGCCTCTCCAGGCGCCACGTGGACCAACGGGACGACCGCCACGTGGGCCCAAACAATCTGCCACGTGGCACCGATCTAGACCTTCGCGGCGTCTCTCACGGAGCTCTTTCCGTAAATGCCCAAGTCCTTCTCGGCTGCCGCCGCCGCGGCGGCCTTGCTCGGGCCGCGCTCCCCCTTCGAGTTCTCCGCGAACTTCATCGCTCCGTCGTGAAGACCCTGCTCCCGTTCCCCCTTGGAATACTCGGACGCGTAATATTCCTCCTCCGTAGCGGTCGGCTTCTTGCTCGCGGGGATGAACATGCCCCCCCATTGCGGGAACCAGAGGGTGAGGAGGAGTGACGACACCGCGACGATCATGATGCCCATGTAGTAGATTCCGTCCTGCAAAGGAAACGGAGCAACGGAATGAGAAATAGGACGGAGACGCATAGTGAGTACAAGCAGAGCGGGGAACCCTGGCGCCACTAAGAGCCTCAGAAAGGAACAATGACGGCAGAATGTGACGTCTGGAATGACGCACACAAAGGGCCAACCTCTAATTAGAAGTGCTAAATATACGTTCGCTGCATCCGGGTTTGGCTTGGAAAAGGAACCAAGTGCGCACACATTACCCCAACATCTGGCTTGCGCTTAATCTGGCGGCACAACTCTAACGGCAGCTCTGTCAGATGTCAACGTGAACAAGAGTATCAGCCTACAAAACGATGACAAATGCACAGCCTAGAGCAAAACTTCGCTCGTAGAAGTCCGTGAATATTACCTGTGTGGCGTATGTAGTCTTTGGTCCGAAGAAGATGGCGGTCGTGACGGCACTTCCGGCGGAACCCCCCGCGCCGACCAGACCAGAAATGACGCCGAGAGACCGGCGGGAAACGAAAGGCACGACACCGAAAGTGGCACCGCAGGCCGCCTGAATAGAGGACGCGTGCGCGAGTGTCAGAGTTGACTATTGCTCGCCGGAGAAGATGTTTACAAGAGACTCTTGTACCGATAGTACCGATATTATCATTTTCAATAATAAAGTGCCGTTCAGCAAGGGAGCGAGTATTGGCATGAATTCTTCGAGTATTGGCATGAATTCTTGATTCCCGAGATCCAAACTACTGAGGAATGTTTGCAACACAGCTCGAGACCCACACCGTAGACCTGTCAAGCTTTGTAGTCTCAATCTCCACTTCGACTCCTCAGAACTCTTATCCTACACAACAGCCTTGTAGTCAAGAGTTGCACAACTTCGAAATACACATCTCAAAACTCTATCCTACACTCTACCCTACAACAGTCTTGTAGTCAAGAGTTGACGACAACTTCGAAATACATAACTTAAAAACTCTACCCTACAACAGTGTAGTCAAGAGTTGCCGGCAAATTTGACTCTCAACACATCTCAAATCTCTATTCTACAACAGTCTTGTAGTCAAGACTTGACACAACTTCGAAATACACATCTCGAAACCCTAACCCTGTTGTTGGAAACTTCAGACTTGTGGGCTGCTCACCTGGCAGCAGAACGAGAAGAGCAGTAGCAGAATAACGGAGCTCCCGAGGTTCGCCATCTTTCCGAGGATAATGCAGAAAACACCGCCCAATGTCTGGATCATCCACAAATGCCAGATGCGGCCGCGCATGCCGAAGTGCTTGGCTGCAACGTCGGACAGGATACCCCCGAGCGGGCGCGAGAAGAAGTTCATGAGCCCAAAGGAAGCGCCGATGGCACCTGCGGGGAGGGTCGGGGGAGGATTAGCGAGGTCAGGGGGAAGGTTCTGCTTAAGCTTAGGGAGCGGGTTATAGCAAGTACAGAGGGAAGTGGTGGGCGATCGAGAATGTGACATGGGGTGACTGAGGCTACTCAGAGAAAGAGGAGATGAAGAGAGCTCGATGACCTGGCTACGGGGGCAAGATAATCGAGGTTGAGTGTCAAAGCTGCAGAAGGTGTTTTATCACTGGGGGTGCTTGACACCTTCGATTGACGATAAGCGGGAACATTGCACGACCTACTGACTGCCCTGATGGCCCTGGGGCGCCAAGGCCCACAATTGACACCAACAAGCATCAGAATCAGGGGACTCAGCAATCGGCCTACCTGCGGTGTTAAGGTCGACGTGGAAGCGGTCATAGTAGTAGTTTGTGATGACGTTGTCGACGGTCAGCTCGACACCGAAGCAGTACCCGTACGTAAGGGTCATAACCCAGGTCCGGTAGTTGGTTAGCGCGTAGTAGATCACAACCCAACCCTTGTCCTGCGCCGCTTTGCCCTTGCCCTTAAGTGCGGCGTACTGGCCGTCGGGCAGATCCTGCAAAACAGGGTTAAGATGTGGGGTTACTAGGGTCCTTGATCTAACTTCGAAGTTTGCTTCAAGGAACGAGGTTACTAATTTTCCAGCAGATGGCTGCGCTTAGGGACGCGGAATTGTAGAGACATTTTTTTTTGCAGTTCAAACAATTTGCCTTTGCGGTTTAATCAAGGCTTTTGATAAGCCTGCAGACTGGTGGAGGATAGAGGGCTACATTTGTGATGGAGTCAACTTTAGGGTTAAGGTAAACCAAGCAATTAAGCGGCCGCTGATGGACAGAGGAACTCATGGAGAACTGTCCACTTGCGCAGCAAAAGAAGCAATAGATGGGCTGTTCACTGTTCGTTCCAAACAGTCCAAAGCCCCCAGTTTGCCAAGCAATGATGTTGACAGATTCGGAAGAAGGGACAAGTCTCCCATGCTTTTCAACGCATCAGAAGCCAGGCATAGCCTTATCCGTGCAAAGTAGATTTACGTATTACTGCGAGCAGAACCGTAGGGTTTTTACCGGTTCAAAAACACTGGGGTATCACAAGCCATTGCTAGAAGAATCTTAAGCTATTGCAAACAGAGTCGTAAGCTCTTGCGAATGGAATTGCGGGCGATTACGAGCAGCATCATAAGCTATTGTCAACAGAACCATGAGACCCGCGCTCACCTGGGCAAACTGCAGGCACAGGAAACCAATCAGGATGTGCATACACCCGGGGATGAGGAAAGACACGCGCCATGCCTCAAAGTCGGGCAGCCCGCACTTGCTGATGATGGTGAAGAGAAGGGGCATGATCAATTGCGTGGCACCACCCCCGAGGTTGCCCCACCCGGCAGATGCTCCGTTTGCAACTCCCACGATCTTGGGTGTGAACATTGAGCTCATCCAGAACTGCAGAGGGGGTTGCGGAAGCCAGGGTTAGCATCATGGGGGAAGGGTGGTCATGTAAGGGGGAGAGGAAAAGAACGAAAGGGAAAGAAGGGTGAGGGCTGCGGGAGGGAGCCCGCGCACAAGTGGTCAATCTGGAGGGGAAAAACTCAGAACTTTTCAGAGACATGAGGAAGTTGAGACATGACAACACATGTAGATCAAGAGAGGCTTAAAAGGCCCAAAAATGCTATACCCAGCGGAAAGGTGGAAACTGCATCTGCTAGGCTTAAACATACAACAGCACCCTGTTTGACACTCAAAAGTCCAAGTTGCTTTTGAACATCGCAAAGTCCTGGCTGTACTACGACGCGAAAGAAAGAGATGCAAAGTGCGATATCGTGCGAGGCAGACATCAACCTCTTTGCTGCCGATCCGACACCTATCACAGGATTAACGAGACAGATTTACCAGGCAGATCTAGCCCTTAAAATCCCAAGGACAACAATTGCAGACCTGTGTGCGCTTCAAAGGAGACATGCCCAGCTGACCCGCACAAGTTTCTATCCCAACCTGGCCACCTGGACACCAGATTCGCAACCAACACTAGTTTAGCAACCAACAATCAAAGTGTCAGCGTCCCACACTCTGCGGCCGGACTCACCTGTGTTGACACAAATGTTGCGAGCGAGAACCCGATGCACATCCGGCAGATGAGGTACCCGGTCGCCGTGTGCACGGCCGCCATGCTAAAGACAGCTGGCGCGGTGAGCATCATCAGGAAAGAGTGCCCGAACCTCGGCCCAACCAGATCGCACACCCCACCCATGATGACGCGGGAGAAGATGGCCCCCGAGACCGACGCGATCGCGGAGTTTGCGAGCTGGAACTTGTCCATGTCCAGGTTGTCGCGGATAATGGGCACGAGCGGGGGCGCCGCGAACGTCGACGTGAAGGCGATGAAGAACGCGAGCCACGAGAGGTGGAACGCGCGCATGTGCGGCATCGCGACCGAGAAGATCTTCATCCTCGTCGCCTTGTGCTCCGAGTCCACGGGCAGGTCGAACCCGAGCTTCTCGGCATTGGCCTGCGCCGCGAGAGCGTCGTGGTACCCGAAAGTGGACTCCTTGCCCGTGACGCCCTTCATCGAGGACCCGGGGGCCCCCTTGGCGTCCATCCCGATGTTGGAACTAGTCTGCTCCGCCATTGTGCCGCAGTTCAGAAGCGCGTCCCACAGGGAGAATGTGGGGTGCTGAGAGGAGTCGGGAGTAGGATCAGCAGCCTGGATCACTCGAGCTGGCCAAACTGTTTTGCTCTGCTTCTGGAGAAAGGAGCCGTTCTTCAAGATTTATATCGCGCTCTAATGCTAGAAGTCTGCTTCTGTTTTGGATCATGTCAGTAGGGCAGACACTGCATTACCAGACGAGTCCTGCAGCTAGCAGGTGGGCCTTTCTGTTCCTTCATGCTGCTACCACATAACATTACACAGTGACAACACTGACTCAGCTCACTGTTCGGCAAAGCCCCCATGTGACCCCTGTAAGAGGCGGAGAACAGGTCTTCAGACTCTTGTGCTTGCGCAGCGCCCATGACCTGAATCTCTGATTCTGCCGCAACGCAATCGGGCCTGCTGAGCTGGTCAGCGCAATCGGCCAATCAGCGCTCGGCGTTGGAAGCACGTGGTCCACGGGCAAACGCAAGGGGGACGTCCTTCTCGCCAAAGGGCGCCGATCAATGATTGGCAGCTCTCAAAAGCTGCGGGCTCTCATTCAGAGCCGTCCGATCGTCCACGCTGGCAACCAGAACCGGAAAGACGCAGAGGACGCCGGCAATGGTTGATGACAACATTGTCGGCAGTCGCCAGTGTACGATACACAGTGCACACTGCAGTGTGCACTATTGCACCGTGCGGCGTGCGGTATCCCGGGCCCGGGGCCGCATTGATCTGAAATTGGGAATTCAAATTTCACAGGGGCGCGCCGCGCCAGCCTCCAGCCCAGATTTTTGTCTGATTCTTTAGTTGCAATTTGCCGTCGATTACTAAATCGGACGGCTGCATGCTATCCGGAGACACTAGAGTCCACGCTGGCATGCGGTCCGAACCCCGGGCCGTACTACAAACCTGGACGGTGGACCTGGCCGGCAAGATTGAACGATGCACCGGTGCCGAAGGCACCCCACCGGCTGGACATCCGGCAAATGCTGGGCGCCTAGGTAAAACCGGCGTCCGGTGCATTGACCCGTGTGGCCAGCCGGTAGAAATGTAGGAGGGCCGGTAGACAGCCGGCACCGCGGTGAAAGTTGGTGGCAAGCCCTGGGCCAGGGCCCAGTAGGGCCTGGCCGGTGGCTACAAGCCCGTACTGAGTATTACAGGTCTTGTAATACGGCCCGGTCAACCGTCGGGTCATGACTCATCGGTGACCGGATGGCTAAGCCTAAGTCCGTAGAATGTATAAATCCAAAAACCATCATGGAAGTGTCGAGGACTAGCGTACACCATCTCACCATCCTTAGCTGAGCAAAATCCTGATGGTAGGTATTTTGATGATACGCGTAAATCTCATGGTACATTGACACAAATAAACACTGGGCTTAATTGGCTTTCCGTTTACCAGTTCAGCTTGTGAATGAACTCGCGAGTCGCAGGCCTTCTGAGATCAAGGTCATCTAGAAAGGCTCTTGATATTGCTTTCTCAAAAAGTTTCAGGCCAACTTGAACGTACCTTAGTGTTGGGGAAATACCTCCAGCATACACTCAAGCATACCAGTGCAACCTATCAACCACCGAAAATGCGTTAATTGTATGGGATTGTTCCATTCGTAGATGCTGTAATATACCATAGCATTATGGTATATAGCATATATATGGTATATATGGGCATCATGTATAGCCCATATACCATGCAATCGGTGACCCGGACACGTATACACAAATACTCGTGCTGAACCGTCGCGGAGAACGTGTCAAAACACAAACTCAACAAAACGTAAACATGCATTCTGCCACCTTGCTGCACTGTATATACACTAATGAACTCGGAAATCTTTTAATTATAGGCTGTAAGAGAATCCTACACATGATCGATCGACCCAGTCAATGTGTATAATTCCATGTTACTATTGCGCGAGTATGTACTCCGATTGACATGACAGGCAGTGCACCAGCAACCCAATGCGTGCTTGGAAAGAGCCTGCTTTGTGCACGTTGACGTTTGCTAGCCGTATGGCTTGGTCCAATGAGCTCGTTCTCTGTTTATATGGTGGATCCTTGTTTATAATACTTACAACCCATCTCAGAACCTATAATGTTCGTGACCTATGACCGACTCAGGGGAAACGTGACAAGTTCCTCAATCCAAAGCGATTCGCTGACTGGCAGCCGATGCGCTTATGCAACAAGCACTACCGATCGGACTCCCAAAACTCACGGCCGCAGCTGCGCGCAACGCTGGAGTAAATACAGTTTGCCAAATCAACCTCGTTATATTATGCTTGCCCTTGGGGTTCCTGGAGAATCAGGTAGCGGAAGTCCCATTGATAGCTCTGTACGTCCATGCACTTTGAGCCGTGGCCCTTCTTGCCCAGCAGCCGCTCGCGGATGGCCTGCGCCTGGTTGTCGGTCACTTTGGATGCGACCTGAAGTGATGTTCCAGAAATAGGTCAGAAGATTGGTGCATTCGAAGCAGGACATATTTTACCGGAACGGTGTACATTGTTTGAGCTCAGATCAAACGATCTAAGTGTCGTTGTTCCGTTAAATCTCGAGATTGAACCACAGTCGTCAGCATACACACTGGACACGCGACTGGACTCCAGTGGTAACACGAAGTTGCCTCCTCAACGCAACGACGGTCGAAATGACTCTATAAGAGATGCTGACGTCATTCAAGACCTCGTTCAGGTGTCGGCATGGCACACAAGCTACTTTGGAGGAGGGGCTCGAACCGGAGTCCGTATGACTGGTGTTGGATGGTGTCATGCGAATACGGGTGACGAGAACGGCGCCTCTTTGACACTCACCCAATCCAAGAGGGATGCGGCGTCGGTGGAGAAATCATTGGCGTACCAGTGCATGATTTTTGGCACCAGGACTTTGCTGCAGCGGCAAAAGACCATTGATTTTTGAGGATCTCAAGATATTGAGGGTTTTGAATCTGAAAAATAAGAGCTAACTCACTGCAATTGGTGCTACTGCATGCTCCCCCGTAATACCAAAATAGAGACAAGGATTCTGTTATCCTGTGATCTTACGGACTTAAAGGAGCTTAGGACGTGCAACCCGCTATGGGCTCGAAGCAATTTATCTTATTGCAATGAAGATGATGTCCGTTCACACCGATGGCGTCTACTTGTCCTCGAGTGCGAGTCGTAACCGCTTGCGATATACCAAAGGGTGGAAACCATCAAAATGCATAAAGTGCTCGGTACTGAAAACTGGGTCGCACAACTCCCCGGTTTTGAGTTCCCGAGAAAGTGATTCGGAAAACAGTTCAGGTTTGAGGCAGCCAAGGAGCCTAGAACTTTCCAGGTGACGTTCAAACAAGGAAAAATCTAAGTGTGGACGAGATATGAGCAATCTGCAGCGCACTAGTCCAATCGATAAAGTTCAGCGTCGCGGGCGCCTATGGGCAAACGAGTGAAAGACTTATTTTCTTTTCAGAATCGAAATTCCAAGAAAGTAGAAGCAAAAGGGTATGCAAAGACGAAGCTAAAAGGTAGATCTGAGGGCCAGTCTACGCGAAAAGACTCTCTGAAGCGCCCACCTGCGCGAGAAGCCCACCGCCGCTCTGAGGAAGTCGCGAGCCGCCGTCTCTAGTTGCTCCGCGATGGATTCCGCACTGTACACTCGCAGGGCAGGGCCGCTTCGACAGCCGGAACAGAGGGCGAAACTGACCAGCGGTTCGGGCCTGCACGAAGGAAACAGCAACTCACCATTGATAAGGTTGTTACATTTGAAATTTGGCAATCGAAAAACGGCCCAAGACCCATCAGCCGGAGGTCCGGCTGACCTCAGCCCGTAAGACATCTTGATCGGGATGCCCACAACCGCATGCCCCTCGGGATGGGCACTTTACGACCGGACCCGACAGCTGCCAAACTCGTGCAATGTAACCAACAGGGCATTTGCCAGAGCCCGATCGGGCCCAGGTCGTCTCGATCGGACCCTGTTTACGCTATAGGTAAAAAGAAAGCACCTCGGAAAGTTAGCAGTCCTAGGGCACTCCGCGCAAACCCATGGACGGCTACACGGAAATAACTTTGTTATCTTCGCCGCGTGACTCTCAGGAACAGTCCAGATCTTTGATTGCTCGTTGATTGTTGACACCAAGATTGCCCGGGGGTCAGCTGCTGGCACTTTCGGATCAAAAAGCACGCGGTGCAAGTATGTTTGATGTGCCCAAAGACAAGAATCGACTAATCGGGACCAAAGGGCTAGCCTGTGAAGCAAAATGTAACGTCTGTTCCGAGGTGGGCGTCCTCGCTCTTGGACCGATGCATCGGGAATCTACTTTTCGCGCTCTAGTTTGATCATCCGGAGTCAAAATAGACTCGAAAAGCAGGATAAGAACAGGAACTCATCTCGATCCAGAACATTTCACTTGGTGAGCGCCATTCCAACGAGGGGCCCTCGCGTTTAACCCGGTCCACCAAGAGTAACAAGAATCTGATTATTGGCGCTCTGGTTTGACTACCCGGGGTTAGAAGCGTAACGAAACAAGGGAAAGGGTAACAAAGAAGCTTAACCCTGAAACCAAGCACCTGGTGAGCGCCATACCGGCCCGCGGATCCCCGCTCTTGAACCGGTGCACCGGGGAGTAAGACGAGTCTACCGCTGCCACTCTTGTTGAAACAGTCAGGGTTAAAGTACAAGGCTACTCCTAAAGGATAGCATCTTAACCTAGACTCCCACTGACCTGGTTACCGCCATCCCGGCTCTCGGATCCTGCTCTAGAACCGGTGCACCAGGGAATAACAAGAGTTCAACGCTGGTATTTTTGGTCACACCATTCAGGAGGGACAAAACTCTCGTCCAAAAGTACGAGGCTAAATCCGAGCGTCAACCTTATTTTGAAAATACACTGACCTGGATAGAGCCATCCCGCCCCGGGGGTCTCCGCTCTTGAACCGATGCACAGGGAGCAGCCCCGCCAGCGCCGGGCGGAATGATTGCGCGCGCAGGATTGAGTGCTCTATCTGGAGACTCGAGTAGACGAGTCCGCCTATGTGGTAGCACGCGCGCTGCATCAGGAAAATGCGCTTCACGTGGCTCTTGGGCAGGCCGTTCACCAGGTACGCCTGCGGAATGGACTGACGTGTTAGCGTCCTCGAGCCTTGAGCATTTGGAGTAGCTTGAGTGCGATGCTGAGGTATGTCAACCCGTCACTGCGTCAGCGCGCACGCTGCATGAGCGGAGTGCCAATGACGTCGACCTTGTGTAGGCGTTTCGTGAGGCGTTTTGGGCCCTGCTTTCCAGAATGTGAAGTTTCAACCTGTGTCGCTTAAGCTGGAGAATATAATGCAAACCAGGCCGCCAATAATCCGCGCACTGCAGCAGAAGTTGCCGGACAGGGATGTTAAAATGGAGCGGTGCTTCTGCCGCGACTCACGTGCAGCAGAAGCGTGTTGTAGACGTTGATCCAGAACGCGAGCTTCTCCTCGTGGCTCAGGTCCCGTAATTCAGCATCGATCAGCAACTCCGCCAAGATCCTGTATCAGCACGGGTATGACTCATGAGAATCACTTGAACCTTGCTCAACGTTGCTGCACCGTAATCTGGCAGCGCAGATATCGGCTCTAAGAACACTTGAATGCTGCCCGGATCGGCGCTGGCACCCCCAAATAATCAGCACGAGTATGAAAGTACTCGAGTCCCTACGAATGTCGTTGGTACAAGCGTCTAAGAAGCTTACGACAAGCAAGCCCACTGAACCTGGACGCTTTGCTAAGCAAAGGTCAGGCTGTTCGGCGAAGTTGCAACGCAGCAACTGGCTTTGGTATTAGGGGTCGTCTGTTTGATCACCGACCCGATCGCCAACCCAAACAGCCTGTGCCGCTGTCAATGTCTCCTTTTAGAGAACGAATTGCCTCTCGAATCCATTGACACACTCAAATCCAGACTCAGATTCGAACGTCAAAGTGACGCCAGCCTCTTCCGCCACCGATGCATGCACAATCTGCCACGGTCCGAAAACCCAGAAGCTCAAATCCATTAACAACCTACTCCCCCTTCAAAAGTGACTGCGAAAATTTTGAAGCCCCCAAACTCTTCGCTTCATGGAGCAACCTGCCGATTTTAGTGTAAACTAAGTTAGACTAATTTCACTCAGCAGCAGGCTGACTAACTTACACTAAACTCTTTACTAGAATTGGCAGGTTGCTCGGGAGAAGCTGTAGAGGGCAGTACCTCACCTGAATTTGAGGAACGCCTTCGACTCCATCATCACGCCCGCCTCGCCCTTAATCGTCAGCAGCTCGACCGTAGCCTTATACGCCCCAATATCGTCCACCGCATTATTCACCCTCACGCCGTAGGGGTCTCCGTTTGCCTGCCTGTGCTGCCCCCCGGCGAGGTAAACGGTCATTATTGCCCGCAGCATGTCTTGCGAGATTTGCAGAGGGGAGCGGGGTGCAGGGCTCACGGCGCCGAGAGACTCGAGGGAGTGGGAAGAGGGGGAGCGGCGGGGGCTGTTGCGGCCGGAGGTGCTTGCCGGCTCGGAGACCTGCACTTGGGTGCTTAAAATCTATGGGAAGGACTGAAAAAGTTTCTTGATTCTGGAGCTGATCAAGTGATATTGGCTGTTCTGGTAAGATTTGAGAAGAACAAAGCGGCCGAAGGCCGGTACGGCCGACTGAGCTTACAACCTGCCCAGAACTAGGGCGGATGAGGGGGAGAGGTCGAGATTTGGGGTAGGTCAGTGCTCAAATTGCAGGGTTAGGGTTTCGGCTGCAAGCTTTAGATTTGATTGGCGTGGAGGCGTCGAACAAAGCGTTCTGGGATCAGCGTTCACATTCAGACTTGTCGGGATCAGGATCTACATTTAGAGGACTCGGGCCACTGTGGCCAAGCTGCTAGCGATCTCAAAAACGACACCTGATTCCAGGTCCGAAAAATAGTGGGTCACCAAGAAGATGGTCAACTGCACTGGCTTGCCCCCACAAGAAAAGCTCCTGACCACTCTCCAAACGCTTCTTTATATAGTTGTTTTCGTCATGTTTTGATCAAGATTTTCCTGCTCACTGGTCGGACATATTCTCGCACCCAAGTAACCCATTGTCAGCGCTTCCGGACAATTCAGCAGCGCGCTCAGATTTCGCTGCGGCCAGAGCGCCGTAAACGCGACCGTGTCGAACTCATACAGCTGGCCTACTCTTATCGTCCCCCGTTCCCTTGTTTTCCCAAAGTGTTTCCTTTTGTTTGCTTATTCTTCGCCGATTAAATGTATTCAAGATAGAACACCAGACGGAGAAGGGGTTAAATACTCGCGGGCCCGTTAATTGGCGCGCTTGCTCGTGTGAAGATTGCGTTCTATCTATGCTGCAAAAGCATTCACGACGACCATCCGGGGTCTGGAACGGGCATTGCTTCGTCTACTCTTTCCTCTTGTCCAACCCCACAAATGCTTCCTCGTCGAACTTCTCGTGCCAACAATTGTGATCAGTTCTCACCGGCGTGTTCAGTGGCGCGCTCGTCTTCTCCTGCATCCAGGGCGCCGTCTGCTGCGGGCGTCCGAAATCGTACAGCTCCAGAACGGTCTCCGCCACCCGAACGTCCGTCAAATCCGCGCCGTTCGATTTCAGCCGCTCAATTTCTTCCACGAGCGCGCCCCGGTCCTTGTACTGCAAGCAAAGCCGCACTTTTGGGACCTCATGCTTCAAGGAGTGACCATCAATTGGATCAGATTTCCGCAAAAGTTGAGCTCAGCTCAAGCCGCTTGGTCTTCCAACGCCTTGAAGCTTGTGCCAAAACAGAGTCGGCTATGCAGAGTTTACAGAATCCAGCTGCTGACGGGAAGCTTCTGCAGGATCGCACTTGAGGACCTCATGCTCCGAGGGGTAAGCATCAGCTCAATTAAGTCTTGCAAAAGCTAAGCTCAGCTAAAGCCGCTTGATATTTCCACGCCCTGAACTTTGTACTGGCACCAGGTCGGTTACATAGAGGTGCAGAATGTAGACAAGCTGCTAACCAGACCTTCCGATGGATCCAAGCCGCCCATCACCTTCACGAGCGCGCCAAGATGCGTCAACCACCACGACACCCATTGCGCCCACTCGAGATGCCACTGTCAGCGGCTGACAGAAGCATGACGTCATCATGGAGAACCCCTCGCTCACCTCCTCGGTTACTGCTCGGCTGCCCCCGCTGTTGCTTCGGCCATATGCGGCGATGGGCGGTTTGCCAGAGTCGCCGTGGGGCTTTATTGCGGTTGCGGGGGGCTGAGACGTGGCTCGATCCAAGCCGAGGGGGCTTCTGGAAGCGATTGGAATAGGGACGCTCGACGCCGTGACAAGACTACCTGCACGCAATAAGATTGCTTTAGGTTCTGTTACTGCTTCGGGGGGGCTGAGAGCTAGGCCGATCCAAGCCGAGGGGGGCTTTATGAGGCAACCGGCGCACGACGCTGTGACGAGACAACCTGCACGCAGTGGAAAAGGTGAGGGCTTCAGGCCGTGGGAAACTTGGAAAAATGGAATCTTCACGTATTCTTCGCGCCAACACCTGCGGACATACTTGATTTGAAATGGTGAGCAGGTGGCCAAGCGGACTGGAGAGCGGCGGCCAGAATTCCTGAGATGCTTGGTAGACTCTTCTAACGTTTGGAATTGGAGCCCGCATCGGCACCGAGTGCGTGCGTCGTAGGCGAGACGTGCGGTCAGCCTCGTAGCAAAGCAGGTACCTCTTCGACCATTGTGATAAAAGGGAAGACATTTGCATCTCACTGCTAAAAGCGCCCGTCCAATCCTTGTCCGGAAGGACCGGAAGCGGGCAGCTGTAAAGGACTTCTCCCAAGGAAGGCACGAACCACCGACTCCATCCTTCAAACATTTCCACCTCTGGTCATACGAGCTTAAGCGCGACTACTTACTTGTGGACGGCTCCGCTTGAGATTCGCCCACCGCGAGCGTCGATGGCCGCCGGCTTGAGGCCTCCGCTGACGCCACAGGGTCCTTGAACTTCAGCGCTGTCCGCTTGTGGGTCCGAAGCTTTGTCGTCACGTGCCACTGCGATGAAGAATATGGACTGGTTTTTTCGACCGCCCGCTCGTTCAGCATGGTCAGGGGATGGATTCTGCTGCCACGTGCCTGTCTCATACCGGAACACTGCTCAAGAAACGCTTGCTTGCTGCTCAGTAGATACATTGCCTGGTGTCCAAGTAGTCTAGTGTCCCCATGAATCCAAAAGCATTGAAGAGAAACGTCACCACCAATAGTCTCTCCTCTCTGTGGCGCCGACAAAGGAAGTGAAAACTCAACCTGAAGACCGAGACACATACTAGGACATGAATGGAGAAGCTTTTGAATCCACTTGGGAAGAAGAGGTCCCATAACCTCGCAGCTATTTCCTAGATAAGACGAGTCCTCTCATTCCGAAAGCCCATGGAATCGACGCATTGCAGGAAGCACAAGACGTCTTCTATGTCAGACAAAATGATGAAATGATGCCACGTCATCGGATGCGCACCTCTCCAAAGCACGCGGCGCAGAATATCTCTCCGCACGTCTCGCATGCAAAGCTGGCCCGTGACACACCGCCCCGCCCCTGCGCACAAACCTGGCACCGCTCGTCCTCCGGCACGGAGGCGGAATCCGGCGAAACGGTCAGCCGGAAGGAGTTCCGCAGGCCGAATGAGACGCCCATATCTGTACCACAGAGCGGTTTCGAACTCAGTTGGGAGTTTTCATTAACCATTCCACACCTTCCGTTCTATAACGACAGAAAGGTGCTTTTGTTCAGACAGGAAGTGTCCAAAAAGTGTCCACTTCAGTGAACAGCATCTTGCATGCGTACTCAAGCTGCATCCGCATTACAACGAGGCCGAACAATCAGCGTAGCAGCACCCGTGCAAGTATGCGCCGGCCCTTCCGAGAGTCCCAAACTTCTACCAGTACGCAGCACGGAGCCTGCATCAGCTTCCTATTCCAAGGCCCAAAGAGGCCTTATGAACGTTGCAATCGTCAGGAGACTGCAGAGTACGGAATGGCTAAGCTAACAGGAATGTCTCGCTACCGTCAATAGATCGAAGTCGAACGATGGGCGATTTACAGCTGTTGTTATTGAAAAGGCTGTTCTTAACTTGGCCGAAACTCCATCCGGAACCCAGATCGTGCTGCCCAAGGCCAAGTCTTGCAGACTGGACTCATTATTTAAGAGTCGGACAGCTGCGGAGCGACTTCGATTATCAAGAAATTCTGCGATCCGCCTGGTGTTACCTGGCTCCGACGTCCAGGCCCTGTAGACGACAGAGTTGTACCACATACCTGGCTCCGGTTCGCTGTCCTCGGGCGACCCCCACTCCATCAGGGCCTCGTAGAACTCCGCCTCCATGTCTGACGTGTCGCTCTCCTCATCCACCGAGCTGCGCGGCCCGCCAGTCTCGCTGCCGCTCTCCCAGGAGTCGTCCCGCCGGATGCGCCGCCTTTCGCCTCTTCTATCCTCCTGCAAAACTGACGCTGCGTGTGTGAGAAATGTTGGGATGTTGTCGAGGGGAGGGGTCTTGCAAGTTTTCAGGCCCGGTTGCGATTGCTGGACTGGTTGGAGGACGTCCAGCCGAATGCGACGCCTTTCGCCTCTTCTATCCTCCTGCAAAGCCGACGCTTTGCAGGTGAGGAAGCTTTTGAGTATCATCGACTGCTTCCCTTTAGGCAGAGTCTTCCTATTGAGCCGTTTGGTCTCAGGAGTTTCAAGGAGTGACGGTGGCACCGGGTGCGCTTTTCGCGTGTTTCCCTCCTGCAACATTGCAAAGGGCAACCTTTCAAGACGCGAGGATTTGACTTCTCTAATAGGGTTGTCCCTTTTAAAACCTAGAATTGAAGCATCATCTTCTAGCTGTACAATGCTAGTTGTCGGCCTTTTTATTATACTGTGGAGTGCGCGCATCAGTGGCCGATGGAGTCTGTCCGCCAGACTCGGTCTGCATTTAAAGGATTGTCACGAGAAACGTTTCATTGACGGTTCATTTTTGTTCTGTCCCAATCTGGCATCGTGTGATCTTTTTCCACAGCAGCAACCATCTCCGGATGCCTTCTTTTCGACTATTTTGCCATACCTTGAAAGCCTCAAAAGGACAATACACACATGCCGACGGTATCAACGAACGAAAGCTTACCTCGCCCTTCCTGTCTCGCAGTTTGCCACGTGGCGCATCCTGACTCGACGCCACGCTAGCCGCGTCGTCCTCTATGACCATCGGCTTGCCCGTCTTGGGGTCGATGATGTCAGGCTGCTTCACCGCTGACTTCATCTTTTGTCGTCCAAAGCTCTCCAGTTGGATAATCTGGAATCAGGGAAATCACGTGAGGGCAGATTGTCAAGAGTTGGGATATCCAAGTGCGGGTTGACTCGCTCTTTAAGTAAACAAAGTACCATTGCTTTGTCTGCTTCCAAATGACCTAGCTGCTAAAACAACAATGTCTATACCTCAATATGTCAAGTGCAAAGTTACACCAATCAATTTGCTTATCAAATGATGCCAAAACAAGTCTGACCCAGGAGCCAAAAGTATATCTTCCTTTGGACTGCTCTGTCTGGCTCTGGAGGAGTGCAAGCCGAATAGTTTCAAGAACACCTGACAAACCGTCCAAACATTCCCAAGCTTTGACGATCTGACTACACCTGACGAGGCGAATCTTCATGTGTTCGAAGGACAACCCATACCACAGGTCCAGCCAGAGGAAGCTGCTACAGTGCATTTTCATATAGCTCGTGTTCACAAGTCTGTATAATCAACCGCACCAAAAAGCTTGACCTTCCAAATCACGTATCCTCACCTGCTCAAAAGATAGCCCGTACCACAGGTCCAGCCAGCAGAAGCAGTTTCGATGCGTCAGCAGGAAGATGTCCCGGACCCCCTTGCATATGAACTTCTCCGCCCGGTTCTGGACGCCCCAATACCCGCAATAGGCTTTCACTACCTTGTACGCACACATTGTCGGGGACGCCGTTTTCTGCCAGCCAGGCTTAAGAGGGCCGAGTCTGCATGAGAAGAAGGAAGTAGACATTATCTAAAGGAAGGTTCAACGATAACGAGGAACTTTCACGAAGATGAAGACGGCTCGGCTTAGTAGGGGTCGTAGGGTGCATCGGAAGTGGGGTGCGGAGCAGTCGCACTGTGTTAAGATTCCGGGTATTAGCTGATGCGATACTTTCCCTTACACTGACTCTCTTGAATTGGGATCTCGACTAGAGTAGATGCTGTACGGGGAGATTTTGACGAGCGCCTTCTAAGTTCAGGTGCACAATCTTACAGGTCAAACCTGTTGGAACGCCTGGTTTGACCCGATCAGATGCAAAAGCTCTCTTCCGTCGCTCAAGCCATGTTCCAGAAAAGCCGCGCGAATGTCCTTGACCCTGCGCCCTTTCTGGTAAGCTTGGACACTGCGAGGCCCGAACTCTTGGCTGGCGTGGCAGCTTCTTCAACTGAAGGCCCGGTTTTTAGGAATCCGTTCAAACCGCTATGAGGATTTGTACCCTTACCCTGTGAGCTTCGACGCGACAAGGCCCGGGTCCTGGTCGGGGCGGTAGTCTCGTTTTGCCACTTTGTCCATCAGAATGTCCATGTAGTCGATCTTCCGCTGCGCAAGCTCCTCTGGGTCGAGGTTTAAGGCGTTCGGGTCGGACCCGTCGTCGTCTAGATGGATGGAATGCACCTCGATCCTCAACTGCGAAACAGACCAAAAAGAGTTCCTGATCATGATTAGAAACAGAGCAAAGATTCCTTTGGTTGTCGGTTGTTTACCTTGCGTTGACTGAGGGCATCTGTTTCAGGTTCAAGGGCGTTCGGCTTCAGGTCGTCATATAATTAAGTTGAATGCACCTCAATCAAGTACTGCAAGAGGCGGATTTCCGCAACGAAGTCTTGAAACAAGATAAGAAACTGAAAGTTTCAAACTCCTGAAAGTTCAAACTCCTTCTGAAAGTTTACAAGGTCATTCTGCACTGCTGCACAAGCAATTCAAGCGGATGCTTGGTGTTTTCAGAAGCCAAATTGGTGAAACTCCTAGGAAAGACGGGTTTGACTTCCAACCTCACGTGGACCGTAAATGGAGATTTCGGAAAGATGGCGGACCATGCGTTGAGAAGCACGGTACTGATCCTGATGTTGCCATCAGTTGAAAACCAAATTTTTAACTGTTCGCAACTGGAAACCAGAGCTCAGAAGATCATTTTTACTGCTCGGAGCTCCACTGGCTGACAAATACCGCCTCTTCAAGGAGGGGCAGAGGAAATCGGGTCCGCACCTTGCTGAAGAAAGGGCATGTCATCACAGTTCTCAGGTACGGAAACGTGGACCATGTCTTCTCATCGATCACCAACGCGTTTGCTGGGACCAGCTTTGTGACCCAGTCTGGTAAGCGGTCCCCCAGTCGGTACACTGAGTGCGAGAACGTGCCCTCGCCGTATTGCTCGTCGTAGAAGGGGGAGGAGCTCAGTAGCTGCCCTCCCTGCCCCTCTTGCGTTTGTTGCTCTGCAAGGAGAGGCAAGATCTGGAACCCGTTCTTTGAGTCAACTCTTAGTAACTTTCGGTCGTTTCATACCTCAGCCCCATATTGCTCTTTGGAGAAAGTGAAGGGGTAGGCCCGGATCCATGGCCCCCTGTTCCATCCTCAGTGGTAAATCACTCGTTTGCATTTTGGCTGTGTTAGGAAGCAGTGTTTGGAGTTTGATCTCGTTTGTTCTATGCTGTATTGCTTCTGTTGCTGGAATGTGTGTGGCAACTGACCTGCCCAGGCCCTCTGGATATTGTAGATACGCCTGGCTTCAGACATGTGCTGGTGCACTTGGCAGTTGAAAAGGATAGTTACGTACTTCTAGAAAGTGCCTAGGTAGACAAAGAAGAACACTCAGCCTCAGCAATTTGTATAAACTATTCCCGCCGCAAATAACACCCTCAATCAGAGAAAGATACAAGCATCAAAAACATTTGACATCTCCACTTAGCTGATTCCGCAACAAAGCCACCATAGATTCCAAGCGCTGTCCAAAGCAGGGTGTGGTGGTACTAAGTGAAAACCCTCCAACATCATTTCGAAGTACCGTCTTATTTCGCCCGTCACCTTTTCCCTGCGTTTCTTGTCAAGAAAAGGAATAAAAGACAATCTGCAGTAACTACTGCTCTCATCAGACTTTTTCAAACAAGAACAAGTGCCACTCGTTCCTCCGCAATTGTTGCGCCCAGCCAAGGGGCTTGCCTGCATTTGTCTCCTCTCATGGGGCTCAGAATAAAGTCCATTTTGACAGACAGCAAAAAAGCAAAGTAAAAGAAGTATGTAGAGAACGATTTTGTGTTTTTTGAAAGCGCTTCAAGGAGTGAGGGGACTGGACTAAATACACTCTGATCCAATCAACCCACGCTTTCAACTTCTCAAAACACTGATGTACAAGGAAAATACTCACCGTTTGTCTTCCAGTTAGAATAACGCATGCCCCGCTTGAACTCTTCCACTGTCATCGGGAGCACAATGCGGAACTCCTGCAACTGGACCATCTTCGCCCGTTCTCAAGGCAGCGTCGTCTGCACTTGTCAAAGTGGCCCTTGATCAGCTAAGTAACATTGAAGCAACTTAAAGTGCTCCCTAGGCTTCCGCTGCCTATGTGCACTATTGTGACCGGTTGGCAGTCATCTGAAAGCTCTGCAGGTGGCACCCATGTTACTTAGAAATCTGTCTGATAATATTTGTGATAATATGCCTGTATTCCATAAAGGTTTACACGTTCCGAAGCACATGCACTCTTCACCTCCCTTTTCTGCATGGACTTTCAACCCGTTGTGGTTCGCGACAAGCTCCAACAAATCACTGATTGGAAAGCAGCAGAAGCAGGCTGTAGGACCCTACTCAGCAGCAATCTGCATCAGATGGAGCGTCAAACTGGTGGTACAAAGGCGCCCTTCTGCTCAGGACTGGGCGAATCTGCTACGCGCCCGCGTCGCCCAGCTACTCTAGAGTCTGATGTCGTCACTCTTGCAAGGTTCCAGCCTCGTGCGGAGGATTCCAACTAGAGAGGGGCGCTTGATGAACATCTTAGTAGGTACACCGCCCGACCACGCGCCGCGCGGCCGCCGTCCGGGCCGCCACGCGGACAGATTGCAGATCATACGGTATGAAAGTGCATTTAAGCTATACGGTACCTGGTAATACTGTACCTGGTAATACATACATACAATGTACCTACCGTATGGCACGACCCTTTCACACCTCCTCGCTGCGAACAATTATGTTTTCGCTTTTTATTTTTCACACCAGCCCAGCGACCAATTTCAAAATTTCACACCAAGGAGGAAACCCTAATTTATTAGCAGTGCAAACCACCGTATTTGCACGTAACCGCAACCCTAACCAGCTTTTCTTTGTTTCACAATTTCACACCGGCCTGTTCAGAATTATTTATTTTTTTCACACAAGCCCAAACCAAATATTTTTGGTGTGAAAGGGTCGTGCCACTACGGTACTATCATGTACCGTAGGCTCAGCTGATATGGGTGCCTTTTCTCGCGTGAGGGAGCGTGCGCTTGCGAAGCGGCTGGGACGAGGCGCCCGTGAGGAAGGGAAGGGATTCTGGCTCCAAAGGGTTTCCTTTGTTTAGAAAACTGTCAAGCCCTTCTGCTTGAGCGTCACGGCGTTCTGACAGGCTCAGCGTAGCTGCCACAGGCCTTTTGGTTGGGTAATCAGGCCCAATGGATCAATGGAATGGCGCGTACGGGCAGCAGGTATGTTTGTTGCACTCATAATTCCAAGTCGGTTATGGTATGCGCAAGGTGTTTTGGATTGCAGGGGAAATTACAGGCTAGTCAGGTTAGATTTTTGAAAGCGTAGGTGATGTTGTTGCTTAATCTGGACAATGGTGGTCCTCGATAGACTTTGATGCTTCTGACTAGACTGTTGAAGAGTTGGTCTTGTTGGGTTTTCCACTGGCGATGTACCACTAACTTCGGCTTTCTAAATGTGGATGACCATCAGACTTGCTGAATAGAGCATCTGCTGTTGCAGGGACAACAAGGGTATGACTACAACGCTGCTTATGGCACTACGGTGAGGCTTGTTTTGACAGTGCTTCCTTTCTGCAATTCTATTCTTGGCTGGCAGAGTTTTATGCTCAACGTTGCTACTCACCCTAAAACCAACATATTCACCGTTGGACACTTTTTTGAACTTCCACCATTGACCAAGTAAAGTCTAATACGGCTTTGCAACAGAGGAGGGAAGCGCATGTGTTTCAATTCTGCGAAGGTGGCGGGATGAATGGCCTTAAGCCTTCGTAAGGGTAAAACCCGAAGATAAGGCCAAGTCAGAGCCTGATTGAATGGTGGCAAAAGCCAAGGATTCAATAAGAAATATTTCTTTCTCTACAGGGTGCGGGAGCAACAACGGCCGCTTATGCCACCGGTACTGTGGGCGCTTATGGGGCAGGCGATACCAGCACCGCCGCCGGGGCGCAGTATGGGGCTGGAGCGTACAGTGCTTCAGGAGTGGGTGCTGTAAGGGCTTTTGTGCTAAAGCTGCACCATTGTCTAGCCGCACCCGTATACATTCTCTCCGACATGCTGTCTCCAGGCACGCCTTGTTTCTTATCAGTCGTTTGTATTCGTGCACTTGCGCTTGCGAGCTTATGATGGTTATGTGGAAGGCTTCTGTGTGTGTAAGTACGCATCGCATCTGCTTTTCCAGGGAGGCTACGGAGCGACAGGCTACGGCGCGGCAGATACAAGCTCAGCAGTGAGTTGCCATGCCCTCTTCGCTCCTTGTGCATCTTGTCTCCAAGAAGCCTGCAATTTGCCCTCTTGTCGCCGAGAAATCACTTTTCCCCCAAGTGCTGAATGTTACTTGAAGTGTTTCTTTAGTTCATGTCGCGTAGGCACCTCTTCAGACCCACCCCCACATGTGCCCCCACACCTGCACCCCCCCAGTCCTCATGCAAAGCTGCCTTGTAGCCTGCTCACTTATATTCTTCATGTGAGCGCAACCTGTCTTTTGAAGCTGCTTTTATTTGTGCTCGCTGCAGGCCCGTTTCGGAGCGGCTGGCGGCACCTCCACTTTCGGTGCGGGGGCCCAGTCATATGCGCAGGGCGGAGCGGGAGGGTATGGCGGGTATGCTGGTCAGCAGGTGGGGTTCTCAAAACACACATGTACAGACTCCAACTTTGGTTCGCTGCCAATCTAGCTGCCTATGAATGATTTCTCTTGTATTTGCTGGGTACGCTCTTGCATCTTGTTCCCGGCAGACAAGTTGCATATGGGCACATGAATCGCCATTAATATTCTTTGAAGGCTGGCTTGAGAAAAAGCAACCTGCTTTGTTGGTGTGATGAGAGTCTTACTTTCTGGCCTGTGGTAAGGTCTCATTGTCTTGATGAGGGCGCAATAGGGAAAGGTGACATGTTGAGATTCAGCTTCCGGAGTTGTGAGAGTCGGAGCCTTGGAGGTTTCCTTAGTTCTTGGCTTTGCAAAGGGGTCAATGCAGATTAAGTCGTCACTCTTGATGGTAATCTCCGGGGTGGCTCCAAACTTCTTGTTGTTGTGACCAATTCAAATGCTAGTCTTAGTATGCTACTTTTAGTAACATCTCGGGGCTGGCCCCATGCAGTTTTTGAAAGTTCTGGCAATCATTGTGCCGTCCTTGTGCAGGCTGGGGCTGCCCGGGGGGGCCAAGACCTGGAACAAACTCTCCAACAGAAGCTGTTGGAGAAGCAGCGTCTGGTGGGTTTTAGCATGTCAGATTCAGTTTCTTATTGTCTTCATCGGGTGTTGAGGTTCGGAGATTGTCGGTTGTTAATATTCAGGCCGTCCGACTCGAGATTTTTGCATCTCCGTGCGCACGCGATGGACCTCCATGATTTTGGACGTTTCCAGCAGACCCCAGACTACTGAGCATGGATTTGCAAGTGTGTATATACGTATGAGGCTTCTGTCAACGCTCGTAAACTCACCATCGCAAACATTCATTATCATGTTCAGGTCCAGGAGTGTTTGCGATTAAATCACTTTGGTTGACGCACTCCGCCGCTTCCGTTCAGGTCCAACAGGAGGCCCTGCGGCTGCAGGCGGAGCGTGCCCGCGCCGAAGCAGAGGCGCGCGCGCGCGCACAGGCACAGCAGGCACAGCAGTTGCAGATGCAAAGGCAAGCGGAGCAGCAACGGCTCTTGCAGCAGCAGCAACAGCAGCAGGCCGCGCTGGCAGCAGCGCAGGCAAGACCTGGGTTGCAGAGCGCCGCGGGGCGGGGGACGGGGTTAACCGGGTACAGCGGAGTGTACGGAACAGGTGAGCTTCTTGATTGGATTATAAGGTGGGGGAAGGGGGTGGTGGCCCGGGGAGGGGTAGATTGATTGGTGGCGAGTTGGGAAGTCTGTCGATAACAAGGCGACGAGGCTGTGGTTGACAGAGACAGAAGCCGTTGAACCCAATAACGGGTTCTGACTGGGTGCAGCCGGCAGGCACTGTTACAGCCAGGGTCGTTTCACCACATCAGAGAAGCTACTTAGTTCTGCCGGTCAGTCAGCAGCACAGAAACGTTTTATTGTTTTAGCTTTTACTCATCGCCAGAGCTTACGCATATTCGTGTCACTTTCTGTCAGGCGGCGTTCGTGGTCCGGCCCCTTTTGCCCAGACCGGCTTCTCCGGTGGCGGCGGCATGCAGTCAGCAGCGCAGATGTACGCTCAGCAGGCTCAGCAACCGCCGATCCAGACGGGCGCCCTCTCGCCGCCCAACATGGGTTTCCGGGCAGGGGGAGCGCGTGTCGAGCCCCCCCGAACGTTCCAGGGGGGTCGTGACGATAGACGGGACGATCGCAGGTCAGCTCACAGATGGCGTCTCTTGCAGCTTTTTGTTGATCTGCTAGAATTGGCCAGCAAAGCCAGGTCGAGAGTTGGGCCCGATTGGGATGCATGCGTGCTGACGCTGAGTAGTATGCTCGTCAATGTGCAAGAGGAGTCGCGCTTTTGGATGCGAGAACGTTTTCTCGCTTTGCGTATATCTGCATCGTGGAAACCGTACATACTTGATGGGTCTTCAGGAGATTTCTGTAAGTTCGCGCCAGCCACTGGGTCAGTTCGGAAATCACGGGTCAAGTCGCATCTGCTTGATAAGTAGTCCACTGAGTCGTCTAGCCAGGGTACTTACTGGTTTTTAACCTTCCCTGTCGTCTCTCTCTCTTCGCTTCCGTTTTTGTGTTCACCTTCGGGGAAGACCTTGTTTTGGAAAGGAACAGTGGAATGGATTCTGTGAAGGCTGACGAACCTCCGCTGTGGCAGGGACGACCGCTTCGACCGTCGCGGCCCAAGGGAGCCCTATCGGGAGGGGTCCAAGGACGACTATAGGAGGGCAAGGTCTCCCCCCCGCCGGCGATCGCCCCCGAGAAGGTCCCCTCCTCGGCGCAGGTCAGGACGCAATTCCAGATTGGCATGCTCGCAAAATTCACTTGGCTAGAGTAGCGAGGTGGTTCGCGGGCCTGTACTGGGGAAAGTGTGCACGACTTGAACCTCTCGAGAGGCGGGTCCGCTTGAGACGGGGATGTTGAAGTCAGTTGTTGGGTCAGAGTTCTGTGTGCTTAGTCAAGCATGCAGTCCAAACTCGGGGCGGGGAGTCCTTCGGCGCGATTCTGAATTGCCAACGCGTGCGGTAGCTTGTTTATCCCGAAGCAGTCAACGAACGCTGAACTGGTGCCAGCCTTTGAGCTGTAAACGTGATGCGCAGGCTTTTGGAACCGGAAAAAAAACGCGGAAATTCTGAATTCCAAGCGCTGACCGTGTTGCAGGTTCGACAGCCCTCCAGCAACCAGGCGGACATCTCTGGGGTCGAAAGGAGGAAAGGTGGGCGTCCGGTGCCTTGCAAAGGTTGTGCTTTTATTAAGATCATCACCGCAACCCTTATCGCCTGTTTCGCAGTGCTTCCAGATGTGTAGTTCTTGTCTGAGGGCTCGGCACTATTGGCCCCGTATGCGGTGGCATCTGGAACAGGGCATGCCTGCTCAGCCAACATTCCGGCGTTTGACAGAAGTTTCGACTTTCGATAAGCAACAGCTCTCAACATGGATACATTCATTTTTGCCAGCTAGTTTGCCTTGCTTTGGGTTGCATGCCAACTAATCAATTGGATTGGTTTTGTAGGTCGAGCCCTTCACGTGGTTGGAATACGAAAGGGATGTCCAGTCAATTACTCGAAGGTACCCCAGGCTAGTGGTTTCGCCCGAATTCTCGAAGGTAAGGGGTCCCGTCTTCTCTCCTTATTTGTCAGATATGCGGACCTTTCTCACGGAAGGGGTCCTGTAAATGGTTGCGAAAGCGACCTACGTTGTGCTAAGAGGACGTTATGGATAAAGAGAAGTGTCTGATGCCTTCTACCTCTGACGTAATATTGGATGTTTGAGTTCGCTCTGGCGATCTGGTGGGCTGCATTCGGTTTTGATTTATAAGGTGTGTTGATTGATTCCCAAGACCGTTGGAGTGGAAATGCTTTCTTCACCTGAGTGTTAAGATGCTTGATAGGAAGCATCTGTACGTGCGGTGATGTTTAGCACTGGTTCCTTTTTTGGTGCATGCCTCTTGATTCATCTGGTGAAATGGTTTTGAGACGAAGGGTCAAGCTACTAACCTAGCTCCTTAGTAAGCAGAAAACGCCTGAGTCAAAAAAGAAAATCCTCATCAAGTTTCATCTCGAAACCTGAGTTCCTTCTTGCAGTTGGTGGCTTGCTGGGTCAAGAGCGATGCCCTCGACATCCCGCTGAACAAGCACGTGCAGTGAGTCCGCTTCAAAACAACTTGAAGATCGAACATTGTTTCGTGGCAAGACAGATTGGTGATTAGCATGCTGCGGACGATCATTCCACAGCTTGTGAAGCAAGAGACCCTTTTTAGAAGAGAAGGTCCTTAATCTGGTGCGCAAAAGCGGAGTAGGACGGCGTGATAACGAACAAGTGGCAGCAGAACAGACAGTCTGCAGCAGTACATCAAATTTGTTTCAGGCCTTCACAGAACCACATGAGTCGCATGTTGCAATTCGCACCCTGCTTTGAGCTTACGAGCCTCTAGAAACGAACCACTCTCAAACTACTCTTCGATGCATTTTGTAGTTTGTTGACATGGTTTCTGTCTTCTCCACAGATTTGAGCACGAGCTCGTCGATGCGGAGGCCGACGAAGCTCCGGCTCCCGAGGGCGACAAGCACGCGGCTAAGGCGGCTGATGGCGAGAAAAATGGGGACGTGGCAAAGCACGAGCCGTCAGTGGAGAAGGCGCCTGAGGCTGCCAAGACGTACCCAGTTGGACACGTCGTCTACAACGCGAAGGTGGGCGATAATAATCTATAGCCTTATCCTTTTCGGATTCTTCCGAGCCTCTCAGACAGCTCAGTTGTTTGCAATCAGACGAGAACGGCAGGCTCACTTCTCTCGCTTCGTTGGTTCTTGCAACTTCTAAGAGGGGTGCGACAGTCTGGCAACGACGTATATGCATGCACCGCCTTTCTAGGACCAGAGCTATCGGGCAGGATTCAGCTGCTGTGGTGTTAGACCAGGAAAAGCTTCCACTTTCGAGCATCGACGATGCCAGCGTATTGCATCCAAAAATCAACGAGACACGTTTTCTCTGATCTCGTCTCTTCGATTAAATTGGGCGGAGTAGCACTGCACCAGCTCTGGACGAAGCTCTCCTCTCTATGCTCAGGAACTTCGCGGCGGACGACTTCACGTGGGGCGTCTGCTGCTCTCGACGCGAGCAGCCTTGTTCCAAACGAACCCAAACTTACGCAGCACAGACTACTAAAGCTCAGGCGTATCGTTTTCACAGGTGCTGCTGCTGAGTGGCCTCGACGAAGCCCGCTGGAACGAGCTCTCGACCGAGAAGGGTGGGGAAGAGCATCTTCACTTTCTCATCAAGTTCGTTACCCTGCGCCGGAACAAGGAGGCGATTGCCGCTATTGGGGGGACCTGGGACAAGGACCTGGACGGGGGAGATCCTGCCACGTCGGACGCTGCTCTCATTAGGACGGCCATCAGGCAAGGACTCTGTTCTGTGGTTTCAGTCTTCTCAAAGGAACTTGACAACCGGGCATTTACTACCATCCAGTGTTTGATGATCAGGACACAAGGAACGGGCTGTCCAAGCCTCTCGAGGCAACTTGGAACCGAGAAAGCCATCCCGAGCCGTTGCTTACCATCAGGACACAGGAAGAAGAAGATGAGGCGATCCCTTCGCTCACTGGGGCCTCCGACGGAGGCTTTTCCTGTATAAGTGGTGGTCTTTCCTGTATAAGTGGTGGCTGTAAGGATGACTTTCGATGCAGCCTTTGCGTCTGAAGCTTAATTGACCAGATTCAGGTTCTGAATGTAACTAGGTCCGTCGAAGCTCTCTTTCCGAACCCGTTTGATTGACTGCTCCGAGAGTGCCGGCAGTTGCAGTTGATCTGTAGAAAAAGTCACGGTTGAATCTCATATATCTACGAGGCACTGTTCCTCACAGCCTCTCTCTTTCTGCAGAACTACCCGCGAGGCGACGCAGCTCGACCTGAGCAAGGCCCGGAAGTGGGTCAAGTTCGCCCAGATCCACTACGACCGAACCAACTCCGAAGGAGCGTTCAGCCACAAGGAAGTCACGACGATTTTCGTCCCCGATGTCTGGAACGTGGTTCCCTCACTGGACGAATATGTCAAGGCGTGGAGAGTTAAGGCACTGGCGGCGCAGCGCGCAGAGCGGGCGAAGAAAGCGGCGGAGGAAGAGAAGGAGAAGGACGAGGAGCAAAAGAAGCTGGAAGAGCAGAAGGTGAGACGATGAGATCAGAGCTTTGCACTGAGTCTGAGGAGCATCAGTAGGGGCTTGACAATTTGGTTTTTCGTTCATGTTGGGTGTGTGTTGTTTGGAGGCGGGAGTTCTCTAGCAGACGTTTTTGGAGACGCAGGACGCAAGTACGGACATCAAGTCCAGGAATGCCAAAAGCGTGAACCGTCGTGATACCAAACTTCCGAGGCATATGTGTCTCTGCTGAGACCTCGAAGTTCTGCTGAGCACTTGTGCAGGTTGATCGCCAGGGAAGTACTGCTTCGAGGGACGCGATTAGCTTTCACTTACGAAGGAACTCTCCGCTTGCCGATATCCTAACTCGCTCATGGAATCAGGCTGCTCTGTTGAACTAAAACCAAATCTGAGACGCTCTTTTTTGGTCGTAAGATAAAGGTTAGGATCTTGTGAGCAATCACAACGAGGAGAGCTGACCTTTGTCTTTTCTGGTGCAGAAAGCGGCCTTGGATGCTCTGCTAACAACGTACAAAGACACTGCGGTGAGTTTCTGAAGCATCTGCTTCTCGTCTAGTCAAAACTTCCTTTACTTTTCTCAAAGGCCAACTTCTGGCAGCGTTGTATGAGTACCTCTGTTGTGTGTTTTGGGCATCCTGGCGCTTTTAAAATCAGTTTGTTGGACTCCTGACCAAATGAGAGGAGATACTGAAATTCATATCGTCCTGTTCTGGTGAGCATCTGGAAGGTTCGCAGCTGTGTTGCAAGACTGAGTAGAGTTTGTATGCATGGCCCTCTTCGCGCGCCTGAAATGTCAGATAACTAAACTTGACTTGATGGACATGCCTCATCATTCTGCAAAACCTTTTGATCTGTGCATCATCCCATCCTCCAGACCGCATTTGAAGCCCCAGTAAAACTCGGCCCTTAGCTTCACCAAACTGCACAGCGGATCTGAACGTGCTGAATTTTTCTGTTTGCAGGAATCTGTCAAGGAGGAGCCCGTTGCAGAGGCACCAGAAGCGAAGCCCGAGGTCAAGGAGGAGACCCCCGCGCCTCAGCCTGAAGACATCAAGATGGAGGAAGCCAAGGAAGAGCCGGCTGACGGTAAAGCGTCGAAGAGCACACCTTTATCTGCTGGATTGACGGCGTTTTCAAGTAGCAAGCAAGAAGCTTTGGGCGGTCCTCGACATGTGCACTGCAAGCAGGGGCGAGTGTATGCCGGCTCACCTAAGGCAGTTTGAAACACGGTTGACTGAGCTTGAAACACGGTTCAATTGCAATACGTCAGCCACTTAGGCCTCGAGACATGCTTGTAGAAAATCCAGAAAGACTGGAGGATTTCTTCGTGTGTTGATCACACTGGGTTGGTAAGAGGATCAGCCTACTTGCAAATGCAGTGGTGCGTCCGCACATGTCGCTTGTTGGGGATTACTTAGAAATCAGGTCTGGATATCTTTACAAAAGCCTTCAACACTGCACTTGCCAGCATCAGTCACCTGCTGACGTCATCTCACTTTCACCCCTGCAGAAAAGCCGGTCGAACCCGCCCCTGAGGAGCCCTCCCCCGAGTCCCTCTACACGCGCCGCCCCAGCACCGCTCTGTACAACAAGGAGAAGGCTGACGTCATCCTGGCGTGGTTCAACGAGCGCAAGCTGACGCTGGCGCCCGGCAAGAAGCCAACCAAGGGCAACCACGTGGCAGCACTCGTGGCCGATGACCAGGCGTACACGAAAGCACAGGCTGCAAGTAGGTGTCCCCTTCTCGTGTGTTTGCAAGTCGGTCTTCGCGTTTGTTGGGCTGTACTTATTCTTCGTTTTGTTGGCGGCTCTTGGTGTGGTAAGCTTTGGTTTTGGATGTGGTAGGGGACTTGCGCATGGTACCCAGAGGTTGCTTGAACAAGTTTTGAGAGTAGTCAGAAGTGGCTTTGAAGGTCAGAGGGGCCGGTTGTTGCTGTGAGATGGCACCGTGCTGGCTGCTCGTTTGTGATCGGGGTGTAACAAGATGTTCATCGATAACGATGTCACTTTTATGATTCTTGCTATTGGGTCTTGGGTTTTGTTGCCATTGGGTGTCGTTCTGCTAACCAAAAATTCGTGTTTCATGCAGCAGCAGGTGAGTACCGTGTTCCTTATCCCTTTCTATTTGTTTCCCTTTTCCTTACCTTTTCAATTCAATTTCACAGCCCTGGTTCTCATTCTCGTCTGGCCCCCTCTTCGAACAGAGGCGGCGGAGGCAGCGGCAGCAGCGGCAAAGAAAGCGGAGCCAGAAACAGAGGCGCCTAAGTCTCCTGTTGTGACCAAAGAAGAAGCGCCGACGCCGATGGAGGAGGTCACTTCTCAGAAAGAGGAGGGCAAATCTGATGACTTGAATGCAGACGTTAAGGCAGATGTTGTTGAGGAAGACGAGGAGCTCGATGAGAAGGCACCCGACACGCCAGCGATTCACCTCTACACGAAGAAGACAAAGACGGCCAAGGTGAAGAGGCGAGCTTTGTCGGATTACGGACGAGGGTTACAGAGTCCCTTTGCGACACGGTATTGGTTCGTCGAGCTTCATGGTCGGATTGGAGGTTCCGATCGTGAGGTTTTCGTTTGCTATTTAAGTTTAATCTAAGCAGGTTGCTCGAAGAGGGGTCTTCTCAAACAAGCGTTGCAGCTCGAGGAAGCTACTCTTCTCCTCAATTTGGCAGGCAAAGCCGCCCAAACCACGTTGAGTAAATCTCCTTCTGCTCAGGTCCTTGCTGGAACAGTCTGTGGAAAAGACACCAGCGGAAGTCACGGCGAATAATCTCGATTTTGCCTTCATGCTTACTGAACTTCTGGTATGCTTTTGCTTCCGCAGATCCGCTCTATGAACATCTCCTTGGATGGGCTCTTGGACTACGAGGAAGAAGACAGGGAGGAAAGTACCTTCGAGGTCAGTATTTTCAAAACACTTCTCGTCACAGCTCCTTCTTTTTCCTTGGACTATGCAAGGTCCTCAAGAGTTTCGGTCCCCATCTTGCTGAATTAGTCAAGTGAGCTACGTTCCAAGCTGATTCTCACTCTGTTATCGCGGTGACAAGCGCTTCGGAGGGTGCTTTTTGAGAGCATCCGGCTTTTACAACGTATTGAGCGTGCCTAACGCGTTCGAAACAATTCCCTTTCCTTCTTTAGAGGAAAATTGCGTGTGCTTTTCTTTATGCGGGCTTTTGACGCATGCTTCAGTGGCTTCAGTGGCTTCAGTGGCCTCAGTGGACTAATTCATTCAGCCTTCCATCTTCATATCTGCGCCCACAGGGCTCTCCCGACGCCAGGAGTTAGCTCGACCTTTCGTTCCTCCTCTTCTCCTGACCATGCAGCGTCACCTTTGGTTTCACTGATCGAGCGCCTCCTTCGATCTACTCTTCGTAGCTGTCTGCTCATTCTGTGCGTTTCGTTTGCAGCTGTCCCTGTTTGCCGAGCTGTTCCACGAGATGCTGGCCTACAAGCACGGCCTCTCCTTGTTGCCGTTCCTTGAGGTGAGGCCATCTCGGATCAAAGCTCTGTCCCTCACTAGCTTCACCCATCATCTCATGTATGTCGAGGAGTATTGTGAAAATTATGTTGGGCCACTCTTCAGGTTTCGAAGGAGGGTTTTGACCGCTTTTATCAGGGCAGTACATGGTTTTTTGACATGGTGACCAAGCAGCTTCTTGCATCCCTAAAAGCGGTATCCTGAGGACCTTGGGACTACCGTATGGTTAATGAAGCGCCGTAGGATGCTCTCCTCTGCAAGAGTGTTGCTCGTCACCATCGAACCCTGAGAGTCTCAACCCCTAGGCTCTATACGACACGAGGTTCAGGACACCTTGATCATAATGGAATTTGGGTCTCAAGTCCTTTATCAACAATTTGCAAGCTCAGGTCACATGGTCGCTGAATTCCCTTTTTCAAACACGAAGCCGTTGGCTTCGAGTCCAGCTTTCTGCCTCTGCAATAAGTGCATCCACCCCTCAAAAGCCCAATGCTCGACACTTGCAAACCAGAAATTCCTAAACCTTTGAATTGCCAATCTCTGCTGGCGCTCAAACCGCCACAGGCGCATGCTCGACATTCATTGTTTGGAGACTCTTAACGCTCTGGATTGCGAACTCTATTCTGCAGGAGGTGCGTGTGACCCACAACAAGAAGCGAGAAGAGCGCAAGCGCAAGCGTGAGGAGGAGCGCCTGGCTGAGCTCAAGCGCAAAGAGGAAGAGTCCGTCAAGAAGAGGGAGAGGGACGAGCAGGAGAAAGACGACGACGAGCAGCCGGCAGAGAAGAAGGCGAAAGCAGACGAGAACGGGGACAAGAAGGTGAGGGAGAGGACTGTCGATCGTGAGGGCTCGGCTTTGGTTTATACTACGACGGTGTTCGGTGTTAGAAGAAGGGGCTCCGTCAGGATTCGATGGTCGTTTCCGCTCTTCTGGTCAACCCAAGAATCAGTGGTGAAATCGTTGTTGTTCATAAAGCGAATGCCAACGCAAACAGAGGAAAGAAGGTGAGGGAGGGCTGTAGACGATAGGGGTTGCTTTCGTGCTCTCTTGTCACACGTTGAAAATAGAAGTGCTAAAATTACATGCTGCTTTGGAACTTCAAAGTTGGTGGTCGTTTCTTATCTTTGTGTTGACCAAGACGCCTTGGTATAGGAATTGTCGGTACTTCCTTCGATTTTCCTTGCGGAAGAAAACTCCTGAGCTCGATTGTCCGTCAGAGAGGATCTAAAAATGCACAGAGACGAGCTCCGTCGTCCAGGAGTGGGCCAGCAGAAGCTTGGTCGCCCTACGAAATTCTTGTTTTTTCGGAAGAGGGCGCAATCGCGTGCAGCAACCGCCGTAGAAAGGATGGTCCGTCTTGTTCTGCATCGCTCCCCGCGAATTGCATGGCCATGGCTCAGTATCATTGCTTGAATTTGAGTAGAGAGGAATGAGATGTCGAGAACGTCTTTGACAGTGAGGGAACGAACACATGGGAGGTCTAAAGGCTTCAGTGGAGGACTGTAATTTTTGACGTGCTTTTTCCACATCTCCAGGAGAAGGGCGACGATGCCAAGAAGGCCGATGCCACCGAGTCCAAGAAGCCTGAGGCGAAGGACGAGACGAAAGACGACAAAGCGAAGGAGGACAAGGAGAAGGACGAGGGCGAAAAGAAGGTGAGCTGTCATGAGCATTATCAGGGGCCGCCTCTGTGGAAACCATGTATCGAGCTGATGTTTCATTTCCGCAGGCTTTGTATAGGACTGGAGGTGCACAATTGTCCATATAGCTTCTAGCAGAAACGAACTAGAGGCGACAGCTCCGCATCTGTTGCTATGCCCTTGGGATCTCCAAGTCACAGACAAACGCAAAGCGCCACATTGCCCAACCACTGACGATACTTGTGTTTACTCTCTTTAGGCTCGCAAGCAGTACGATGTTAACTGGGAGCTTGTCAAGGTGAGCATTGAGTCAGGCTGTCAAGACTGAGCTCCAACTTGCAGACAGCCGCTCATTGCTGTCACAGCAAACGTGAACTTAGGGGTTCTTGTCACTGCTGGTGTCAGCAGTCTCCACAATTCCCGATACAGTACACAGGACTTGTCTACGCACATAGGTAGCGATTTTATTTTTTTGGCAGAACGTCCGATTGGTGGTACGTTTTCACGTTCTTGCCAAGAATCTGACATAGGAGTCTTCTACTGACTGCAGGTGTTCCGCTTCTTCGACAAGTCCAAGACCGGCTATATCAAGGTAAGCTGTCGTCGCCGTCGTTGAATGTTCTAGAATCTTCAGAGAGTCGGACCTGGTCGGTCCGTTCGCTCTGCGGGGATTGGACCACGTCGCCCCTTCAGTACTTTGCCAGATGGGGCCCGGAAGGCTTTTGAATAAACCTTTGAGAATGGTCAGACGCCAAGTCATGGAGAAGACCTGCAATGCGATCACGGACTCCAAGAGGAGTCCTCGCGAAATTCTGCCATTTAGCATCGGGACCCACAAGGGCTAGCGTCTGAAGATGTTCGTAATGACATCAGGACTGTTTATACTCCAAACGTTCATCGTCAAGAGTGGGGCTGTCACAAAGTGTGACCTGAACTGTGCTGCGTTTCTGTCTGCAGGCTGACGAGCTCAAGCGAATCCTTCATAACTTGGGCAAGTTCCTATCTCAGCGACACGTCAAGGTGAGGACACTTTCGCGTGGATCACCGGAATGCAATTCCAGTTGAGCCTGCGATCCATCTTCAGAAGCTCCCAGACATAGGCTTGGTCAGCTTGTCGGTGCTCATTGCGAAAGGTTTGGATCGATTTCACTACTTGACCTCTCCGTCATCCTTGAGCAGAGTCGATAGTTCACGTATGCTTGATCTGAAAAGGCAATGCTTAGCAGAGGCCTTCAGGGCGAGTCTTTACGATGCTTGAGATGAGGTCGCCAGGATTCGATTCGACATCAAAGTCGAGCTCGTTTTGAGCTCAGTCTCAACTTGAGAGTTTGTACTGAACTCTTCACGCCGTATCCGCAGGATCTCGTGACGTCCGCCCTCAGCGAGACCAGGAGCGCCCGTGATGACCGCATTGCTTATCGTGACCTGACGGATGTCGAGATCAGTGCCACGTCAGCATTGAAACAAAACGAGTAGAACGTCAAACTGCGGGATCCTTTGGAAGCAATGGTCAGCGGAGTTGATGGGTGGTCGCTAAGAGGGGCAGTGAAGAGAAGCACTGATCGGACTTGTCTGACAACGTTGCGTTGATATTGGGGACGTACAACATGTCAGCTTCCTCGTTAAAACAAGCCAAAAGGGTGGAAGAGCAATAGCAAGGAATGACGTGCTCCAAATCCCCGTGCAACTTGGGCCCAAGATCTCTTGACACGTTTCTTCTAGTATAAGCCCTAGCACTTATGCAAGTTTCGTTTGTATTGAAAAACCGCAGTCCTCGGCAAAAGTGAGGACTTCCTTCAACACGTGAGCGACCATGCTCTCAAAGCATTTCAATGGAATGGTTGCAAGCTACTCTAGCCTTACTCAGAAGGATCTCAAATTCCTGCTTGGGAAGTGAGAAATAGTGACGCATGCACAATGTCCAGCATCTTCAAAGATGACCAGCAATTCACTTGCCAACTTCATCGACTGGTAAAACAAATTCCTAGCTGCATCTTTTGGGTCTTCCATGTCAGAATAATAACCCCAGATGCAGATTGGTCCATGAACCTGGCACCTGCTATAGTATGGTGGGCGAGCCGATGACAATCTTCTGGCCGTTGGAGTGCGCCTTTTGGTAGAACTTCAGCCCTTTTGTTGCGGCGGCCCTATACACGACAATCATGATCGCAATTCGAGGCCCACATGATGTAGCCCATGCAAGTTGGCCTTCACAAGCTACCTAT